AACTGATCACTCATTACAGATGCATAAATAGTTCTTAAAATTTTTATGGTACGTAGCTATTGTTTGGAGTAAGACAGCAACTTGTACCACTGTTAGGTGATGCAAAACTACGAAAAGTAACCTTGATCAGTTATTCTTAGTTCAGTGCTAGTTTCAACATTGTAAGAAAACACATACAATTTTTTAAAAACACAATGTTTTTCAAATTAAAAACACTTTAATAATCTCATTAAGTACATGCAACACTCCAGAAGCTGTAAAGCATGAAGTAACATGAGAGCCCCTCCTTTACAAATTCTTACCTGTAGTTCAATTATTTAGATGACACTGCAATAATCTAACAGTAAATGTGATCAGTTGTGTATATATATGCAAATATTCTCAATGTTTAAAAAGTGTTATCTCTGCACTTGAAGAGATTCCTAATCACACCACACCCTCTTAATGTAATGAGAAGCAAGCACAGAGTTAGAAATTATACAGAGCAAAATTAAGTACTGGAGGCAAACATTAAAATAATTCTTCTGGTAATAGTTCTAAAAAATATAAGTAGTCTGTGTGATACTTAAGTCAGAATGTTTGATATCCTTCCTGAACTCATCTCGGATGAAACAGTATATAACAAATCACTGAAAAGGCTGTTATTGCTTAAAAAGTGGTTATAAATCTGCTGCTCTCTCTTGATGTTCAGATTAACTTTAATCGGGACTACCAGTGTATTTCCCTATGAACTGGTTACTGTCCAAATGTGTGAACTCTGAAGGCAATCCACTATTGTTGCTAGAAACTCCAACCCTGAATGCATCTTTCAGTTTAAATTATAAGGTAACTTTTTCAAAAGCTGTAGAATTGCTAATTTCAGCAAGTTAACCTGGCCAGTCCTCCCTATAGAAACATTTAATAGTTCTAAGCAGTTCCCAGGTGAGTTTTTAGATGTAGCTTGAATGAGCATGAAAAAAGGGGAAAAACTGCTAAAGAAAAAACAACATGTAAAACATCCATTTTTCACCATACAAAATTCTATCATTTATGAATAATAACCACTATAATAATTACCTACTTCTTCATTTCAGTTATCCTAATGTGCAATATCATTATACAAAATGCAAAGCAATATGCAATGTCCAGGATGTGTTAGCATCTATATTCAAGATTTCACTTAGCCATACTGAACAGTAACTCTGAAATCAACCTAGTTTTATTAAAATCAATGGGATTTTGTGGTCATGGTTAACATTTAAATCGAAGGCCACAGTATGCAAGACAATCAAAACTAGGACAGCAGCTTTCTTTCAGAATGCAAAACTCCTACTTTACAGCAAAAATATAAACTGCCTATGCTGACTAGCAGAATTATCTTAATAAATTTTTTATCTGAATACACAGGAGAATTTGTTTGAGCAGCTGCAATGGGGAAACCATACAGATCTATACTTCCATCATGATGACCACATGTAGACTGCCAATACAACCAAAACTCTTGGATTCATACCATTTGAAGCATGATTACAGCATCAGCAAGGAAATCAAAGAATACTTTCTTTAAGCTTTAGTTACAGCTTCAGTCACAATCCAGTTAAAATGAAACTGTGTAATGCAAGCTTCCACGTTCCTCTGGAACAATTAGTGTTAGCTAGTTTCAGACAGTTTCCCATAAATGTCTTCTATTTGGGACTGGGCAATGGCTATGTAATAGTATCCAAATGTTGCATATCTAAGTGGTAAGGATCCTAATTTTTCCTTTAACCTAGACAGACAAGATTTTCCAATGCAGGACAGATCATGACATCTGTGTCTCAGTAAAGGGACCAGCAAACTAGATGGCATGCATGAATATCTGGTAGGAGTTGGGACAATGTCAAATAAAAATGAAGATACACTGAACTTCACAAAGAATACAATTCTACAAAGTGAAATCTTAGTTTTAGGGTACTTCAGGATATGGATGTTTATGTTTTGATTTGAACCCAAGCTCAAGAGTAGTGAGGGAAAGACAGAAAGGATTAGCATGAAATATTTTTCCGACTCCTCAGATGTTCTTCCTGGCAGACCAAAATGTAACTACCAAGGAACAAGGGCCTGCTCAAATCACGTCAACATCCTACCTGATATGAAGGTACCTGAAGCTCATGACCAAAAGGAATCCAAAAAGCTGAACCCCTAAACTAAGTTGAACTAAACCAAAAGCTGAACACCACCAACACAACAGGATATGGTATTGAAGCACAGCTTTGAAGGACTGTCTTCTCTGAAGCAACATAATTGTGCAGCAACCTTATACAACACAGTATAAGTATCCTCACAAACTCACACATTATAAAAGCAAATTTAAAATAATAATACAAAAATATTTTGTGTATGTTTTGAGGTTGGGTAGACATTGACATAGAAAACGAATGACTGCATGGCACACTGCTAATGACTTAGCTTCAGAAGAACAAAACCAGTCTTTCAGGTTTATTCCCTGGTAGTGTCAGACCTTGCATGTCTATTGCTTCTGGAAAGGATTAATAATAATTCATGTATAAGCAGTCAATCAAATGATCCCTGAAACTGTCTAAAGTATCCCCTAGCACTGACTTATGTCTACACAGCATCTTGAGAAAACAAGATCACCAGAGAAGCCTGAACAAAATGGATTCACTGGATAACATCAAAGATAAAGAGCACAGCCAGTTATTCACCTCAGCAAGGAGGAAGTTACACAAGTCACTAGTAGAACTGAATTCTTGGGAAAAGGTGAATTGTCAATTTGTCAACAGCACAAAATTTAGTAATCTGAGACAAAAAGACGGCACTTAGATCTGGAGTTTTCAGGGACAGTACTAGAATTTAATTTCAAGTCAGCCTTTAAAAAGGGAAAGGATGCAGGAATTATGAAGCCAAAAGTTAAATTGTTAAAACAATTTAAATTGAAGAAAAAAACCTTGAAAATATTTTCTCTCTTTTTTGGTATGTTAAATTAAAATTCCTAAAGAAAATAATCTCTAAATGTTTTGGGGTTTTAGTTCTGGGATTTTTTTCCATCCTGAAAGAACATCCATTTCTGCTATTAATTTTCACAGGTTTTTGTCCCATGACCTAAAGAGAAACTATGTACTAATATCTCAGATGGTAAAATTTTTTGTTATCCAAATCCCCACATTCACAGATCCAATTCTTTTTCCATGTATATTCAGAGAAGCCTAGACTAAAGAGATTAACAAGTAAAATACTTGTACAAGACTAGTATCTTTTCTATTAACACAAAAATTTCCAAAATAAAGAAATAGAACTATACTGCACCTAAGAGATAAAATATTCTAGGGCATATAAACTTATTTGCCAACTCCAACTGGCAAATTTTGTTAGTTTTGTTGGGCTTTTGTTTAAGTTAGCATTCTACAACCTTTTTATCCAGCAAGTAAAGAATGAACTCCTTTCAGTTACACTGCAGTGTAACTTGAATTAGTAATATCTGATGCAGAAATACTACCCTTCATGCCTAATTTTATCTCCACGTTATGCATAAACTTGTAGGACTGTAAGTTTAAAAAATTTAAAAGCTAGGTCAATTTTTGGTAAAAAAATTATTACATTTCTAAAGCTGTTTTAGAATAAGGAAGAAATATACTTTTTTCCCAAAATTCATTTTTTCTAGGAAAACTGGTAATTACAAAAGAAAAACAATTTTATAGGATAAAAAAAGAAATGCAGTAAAACAGAAAAAAAAAGATAACGTTAAGTAACATTATTCCAAATTTTCAAAATCCAGTAAAGTTAATTAAATGTCACAGTAACCTTTCCATTATGTTATACCTAACAATTTCTTCAACTTTCTGACATCATGGCTTTTTTCAGAACCAAAGAGCAAAATTATTTCTTATGTTCTTCAAGGAAATATAGGAGACCTATCTGTATCTGAAATATTCAAAATCCTTCCCACAGTGTTTCAGGCAGTAACACACTGCAATTCAGCCTTTCATCTGTTTCTGCAAGACATCCTCTTGAGGTGACAGCATTACAAAACAACTAGCAACACATGTCCTGTAGCAATCATAACCATCAGCAATTTCAGCTGAAACCATTTCCCTAATTTAGTTTGTCCCCCTTTTTCTCCATGACATTACAGGCAAAGGGTAATTGCCCAAGAGATCACACTATACAGCAATTTTTGAATGAACAGTGCCAGAATAAGCAATCTTAAAAAGTTTAATAGTTCTTCCCCCAGAATTTTGATAAATGGAAGTCAACAGACAATGAAAGACATAACATTACCTTGTTAAATATGCAAACATTTCAGAAGTTCTTATTGGTTTAGAGTAATGCTGACTGTTCAGATGGTGGCAGAAGAACTAATTCTCATTATAATACTTACCCGTAGAGAATTTTCTTTAAAGTGCAACACAAAAATCCAAATTTAGTAACAAACCACCAAAAAAAACCCAAGAAAATTGTGCAAGCAATGAATAAAGAATAAATATTTCTGTTAAGAAACCAGAAACTTGTAAAGGTATTTGGTAGAATTTATAATACCAAATTGCAGTCGATCAGTATTCACACTCACCCTTCACCCCCCATATGTCTAGGTAAATAAAAAACTAAATACTTTTGCATATTACGTATGTTTTATTGCACAGCATCTTGAAGAACTGCTGGTATTCTTTACATCTGTCTTTGGTTTTTAATGGAGCTTAGTTCTGGGCTGGATTTTTAACTTTTTTTTGCTGCTATGAAAATAAAAATATTGGCTTATGAAACAAATAATTTATAATCAAAATAAATTTCAAAAATACATTGCTATTTCACATGTTTAAGGATACCAGAAAATACACAAAGTAAGTATTACAAAATTATAGAAAAGCAAATAATAAATGAAAAATTAAAAAGTTTATGATAATATTTCTTGAAAAATGTATGCATTTAATCTACTAACTACCTTTATAAACCATTAAGTGTTCTTACACTATCTAGTTCCAGGAAACATGAGAAACAATGTTGGAACAGAACAGATGAATCCATTTTAGATATACTTTAGACATGTTTATTGTTAAGAGGAAAAGCGGACAAAATACTTTTGAAATAGTAATTGAATAAAACAGTCAAACAGCATTTTAACACCAATAAGGACTGTACAAATCAGTAAAGTTTTACTAAACACATTTAAAGCAATAGTAAATAAACCCTGTTAAACACTTATATAAATGCAAAAATATTAAACACAGCTGATAAAAATACATCTGGAAATAAAGTCTAAGTCACGGGATTACTTATTTCTTCATATTATTCAATACTATTTTACCTAATGTCTGGTTTTATCTGTGAGACTATCTTTATTATATTATTTGCTTGTTTGCCTAGCACTCATCACCATACAGTTTATTATCCCCACATTTTTTTCACAGTTTAAGAAGTAAGAATTTAGTATCACAAAACCCCGATTTCTCAGCGGGAATTAGAGCAGCAACATTTAAAACGTAAAGGTCAAAAGAATGTAACAAAGGCCATGTATATCCATTACAATCCACGTTATCCTAACTGTCATCATCATCACTACTACTGTGAGCCATAATCCACTCTTTGTAGGCCTGTCTTTTCTGAAAGCATGGTAAGGGAAGAAGAAAGCAGAAGTATTAGTTTAAAAGTACTAGTTTGCCTGTCAAGTTTGTTAATGAAAGCAAAATAAAACCACAGAAAACAAAGAAATTCTGAAGTGATATTCTAAGTTTAGGGCACAGTATGAGCACACAAAATAACCTATATCCTATTTCCTTTGATCAGCATATACAATCTCTAAACCACCAGAAGAAGTTGCATTCCAACCTAACCCTGCAATCTTTTGAAAATCTATGATACAGTGACAACCGTGGGACTAGTCACCAGACCTGTATGCAAAGATGCATTGCAAAAGGGGAGAGAAATCTCTTTATCCATTAGAAAATATTATTCTATTCCAACTCCTTCAAACAGTAGACATGCAATATACTGACCCTCATGCAAAACAAAGTAACAGCTCTAGTACCACAAATATTAAGAACCAAAAACATTAGTATACTTAAGGGTTAAATCAAGACACCAAGTATCCTATAGCAGAATTTAATATCTGGGGAAAAAAATAAGCAAATCCCTATTTTCTGATTTGACTGTCTACAGGGAGATCTGTCTACTCTGCTTAGAATTTTGAAAACATTTCTTGAAGTGTAATTATGCCTTAGAATCATCAATAGCAAAAACTAAAATGAAGCTAACAATTCTTCCGTTTCAACTACTTTTACCTGGTACCTCCCATCACAAAATATCAAAGGCATTACAAACCTCAGTGTTTTTTAAGTTGGATAATTGAATGCACTGTATACAGCCATACAATACAGAAAAATTAGAATTACACGTTACATGGCAGATTTTTATAAAGGTTTCTCAGAAAAAAGACAGAATCATATAAATTTAAGAAGCAAAAGCAATGTAAAGTCAGGTCATTAGAGCTGACTGTTTGCTAGTATTTGCTTTAGCAATATACTTTAAAATAGATAAGGGGATGTTTTAAAATTTATTTTGTTAACAAAAAGAGGATAAAAATTAGTAACAAATTTATTCTGTCCACCAGTAGTAGTTTCTAACTACCAGGGGGCAGAGGGTAGTTAAGGCAATACTGCTTTATAACACCAGTTATAAACTGGAGAGCACAGGTTAAAGCCATCTCATCACAAGAAAGGCACAGGTATACTATTTATTATCAAAGCATTACATTACCAGTGAAGGAATAATGAACATAGCTAAGGTGCCCCCAACAGATCAATCATGTTCTATCAGAAAATGAATGACAAACTAATGAAATGCAGGAGAAACAGAAATAAGAGTGGACCTCAACATGGAACAAACAGCTGTGGCAATCATCAAAATTAGTCATAAAATGCTCTCCAAAGGCTACTTCATTTTTATTTACTTCTCCAGAAAGGTTATTCTGGCATGACATTTTCATGGCACACTGTGAATCCTTCCCTGTGTATTTTTAAAACTGTTTAAATTTATACTATCACAAATTACTACTTTACTTGTAATAGTTGAACATTTCTAGAAAGAAGTTTTTATTTCTAACAAAAGGAAAAAACAGAAACTCAGTAAGCTGTGTGCGTCATACCTGAAATTATTCCCCTTTCTGAGGGGAATCTTTTGAGTCAAATTTGCTTAAATGGCAGATGAATCATTAAAAAGTAAGTGTTGTTCAGCATATACATCCTGCAAACAGTATTCCAGAACTGCTTATGTTCTTCCAATGGCTTCAGTATGACATAAATACAACTATTTCTAAGTGTCTTTAAAATGCTGTTTCACATAAAATTGAGACTTATAAGTAATTGTTTAAGCTATGTATTATAAAATTACTGAAAAAAAGGTGTATTTATCAACATTTTCCACAAAAAAAATTTAAAGGCATAGAACTTTTCATTTGGACATATAAACCTTTTTCCTTTTTCAGAATGCTCTGTTCATAAAGTTTTACAGATATACTGATTTACTTTATGATGTCTTCCTCAAAAGTTGTAGCACAGCAGCCAAATCCCCAGTGCGGTTATATGCTTAAGAAATTAAATTAAATTTCTTCACTACTGAGTAACTAGATAAGAAATGGATGGGAATTTAAGAGGGAAATTCTAAAGTATTTATTTCTATGTAAGATGAGTTTAAATGTATGTCAAAATTTATCTTTCATTTTCTTCACCTGTAACATTTGACTTCCAGTTCCATCTCGTAATCTGTAAGGTCTAATAACACCATCTTCACCAAAGAAACGAGGTGGTCGCAGGCTTATCACATCTTCTGATGAATCTGCAGCCCTGACAAAACAGAAAATTTAAAATATATGTCAATATCTCTACTCAACTGTATTATTTAGCTAAGGAAATAAATTGTATATTTTGTATACAAAATTCAAGTACTTGTACAACAACTATTGTTGTCTATATACACACTTTTGCACTGTAACAGACATTACATGAAACAGTAACAGACTCAGAAATCTACTTCCGAGAATCACTATTATCAAATTAGATGGCACAGAGTAGCACACACCTGCAAATACTTAATTAGTGTCTAACTACTGTATTTCAAAACTTCAAAAGTAAAGACAACTGTACCATATAGAACTTTCACTTTGATATTTTTCTTGCATTTCTCTGCTAAAGAACTTAAACAGGAAAACAAAAGAGACTGGCTGGCATTCTTATGGTAACAAAAGTGATCCAACTCAGTAAGAACAGGGCCACCAAACAATTGCATTTACAGTTACTAAGTGCCTCTTCAAAACACTGTCTCCTCCTTCAGCAATGAATTTGTTAAAGTGAGACTATCACAATATTTAAATGTATCTTAACATATTTCTGAGACTGGCATCATCTAGTAGTCTTGGAATTTATCTCATAAAGCAGTAACAGTATATAAAGTAATTTAAAACGCATCTGAGAAGTCCTTTTTTTCCTGCGTATTTGGGGTAAAAGTTAAAAATTATCAGTTGAAGGAAGTCTCATCGCTGAAATATTTAAACTACTATTTTCAGTAATGCTTAAAACGCCTGAGATTTGTGTCTGTGTTTTTAAAATTTTATCAAATGTGTATTTTATTAAAGAGCCACCTATTTATTATGTAAACAACACAGAACTGATACAAAGACACAAGGTACTACTAGTATTACTATCGTCTCTTTCATGCCACGTGATATTCTGTACATTTATTTTACTTACTTTTTAATACCCTGAAATGTACTGCTTGCCATATCTATGATTCCACCAGTGGGCCTAGCTACTGCTCCCACTAAGCCTTTTCCAACACCTTTGAAAAAACCAGCTGCTCCTTCCTCCTGAGCTCCTAAAAGCATTAAAAGCAGAAGATCATTATAAACCACCGAATTGTTCCTAAAATCTTAACAAGTTTTATTAGTATATTTATTTAATTTACAGGTATATTTATTTAATTACAAATCTTATTTGTTACACAACTATGTATTCTCCACACTAAGTTCATAAAAACAACGTTTAAACTGTAAGTCAGCAGGAATAGAAAATCTTGACAAACAGTTCGTAACTCTGATTTACAACAGCTCATCAAGTATCAAGAATTTACCACTGTGTGAACAGTTAACACATCAAGACCAAACTTACCTCTTATTGGCTTCGTAACTATTCCTGTTATGCCACTGACAAAACCCTACCAAGATAAACATAACAGACATTACAAATAGGCTTCCATATAGTATTTTTCATTTCTAACATCTTTCTTTCTACTTCATTGGTGAAAGGCCTCAAAGTACATGTGTTAGAAGTATTCTAGAATTCACTACAAGCTAAGAGAATTAGAGGCACCTGCTTCACAGTTTCTACTATCACTCAATTGTAGTTATATACCTGCCAAACCAAAATTAAAATTAAGAAACTAACAAAAAACTAGCTAAAAAAATTGAAAACTAAAAACTCTCCGGTGAACACAAGAGCCTGGTACTCTTGCCTGCACAAAAATAATTAATTTTTGTTTTCCTCCTTACAGAAACTAGTCCTTTTCCACCACGAGTGATACCCTCTCTCAGACCAGTGGGTTGTTTATTCATGGCTTCTCTCCTTTTTTGCTGGTAATCCTCATCCATAGTTATTGCAGCTACTCCTTTTGCCATAGCACCTGTGATTCTCGAGGCAGCTCCTGCTAATCCACCTATTGGAATATAAACCAAATTAAAATTCCAATGCAATTTACAAATACTCACCTCTGTTGTTTACTATTAGGCAAACTACCATACAGTGCTGAAACTTACCCACAGCTCCCCCTACGAGTGCTTTAAATCCTAGTGCCATTCCTTCTATAAATTCCTCAGGACCCTGGATGGCTCCCTATGAGAAAAAAAGAGTACATTAATGATGAGCTTTGATAGTGTGCATTATATACTTTTAAATCTTACAATTTTTATTGGGATTTATATGTAACAAAGAGGATAACAAGATGACACTGTGTGATAAAGTGCGAAAGCTCCCACAAAAGCTCCTGTGACAGAAGGACAGACAATTTTAGAATACTAATTAATTCCCTGGATTCTGATTATTTTGAAGGATTTATTTTAAGGTATGAACTGCAGGAAACAGCCCTTTGGAAGTTAAGTTAAATGGACTTCTCTGTCCTTTTTAAGCCCACTTGAGTTTTCCAGGCATTTTCACTTGGAATTTTCCATTCTAAATCTAAATTTGAAACCAAAAAAGGTATCAATATAGATTTTCAATACAATGTATATCTATATACTTATGAAAGGGCGGTAGAGAATTTTACCTGGTATGGCTCATAGAAGAAAGCTTCTACTCCTTCAGACAAGCCTCTTATGAACCCAAATGGATTACCCAACACGTCAAGGCCAAGAATAAGAACATACATTTGTTTAATCGCCTAAAATGACAATAGATTTTTGTGAAAATATCTCCTATATTACACTGAAACAAAGGCAAACAATGTACTATCTCAGATTAGAACAGGTAAAGAAACATGAGTTCAATATAAAAACCTCAAAATCACACAGAAAAGTAGAAGTAGTTGTACTAAGAAAATGCGAAAATCAGTGAATAAACCACATTATGTCAGCCAAGAAAGAACAGTACTTAGAAGTATTTCAGTAGCCCCTTATTACTAATGATGAATGGATGGAAGAGGACTAATTCTTTATGCAAAGGTATTTTTGTTGGATTCTCTCCACTGGATGACAGGACTTTCAACAGTACACAAAAGCCAAGAAAGAACCATAATTCATATAGTAGCAATGTTCAAGAAAATGCATTAGTATTTTAATGCCAATCACAGTTCTATCAGTGCTCCATCGTGTTTGCTTTCCCTCTCTATTCCAGCAAGCTGTTTTGTTATCCATGACATTTGGCAAGGCAATAAAATTGTATTAATGAGTAATTGGTTTGTATGCATTTATTTAGCCTTTGTACATAGATACAAGGATGAAAGTACTTTTGTTTAGTTTAATAGAATCTAAGTGCATGGCAGCACTTTCAAAATATAAATTTATCAGAACACTGACATTTTCTTATTCTCACCTGTTTTGAATAATGCCTTACAACTGCTGATTGGAGCTGCTGTGTAGTACAGAAGTGATACTGGAGCTCAAAGAATGCCAACCTAAAAAAACAAAAGAGAGAAAAAGTATGTCCTTACTATGCAAAGCAAAATAAAACAACTTACGCAATATTGGTACAGTTTTGTGAGTGATTTTTAAATTTGTACTTTTAACCTACTTAAAGAGAATATCTTGTACATCTGTAAGGGTGGCTCCTATACTCTTCAGCAGGAGATTCAAGGATTGAAATGGTATCAATTCATTCTTTCTTTCTTCTTTGTTACTATCTTCTCCACCCGTACTGAGTGAAAAGCTCAAGTGTAACTGAAGGAGAAAAACGAGATTGGGAAATAACATGGTTAGTTGTTAGAGGTACAGTATTTGTATCTTTATAATGTTTTAGATGATTTAAAAATTGAGTTAAGACACTTCTAGTCTGACTGAAACTAGTCTGACTTTGTAACAGAATACACAAATACATAATGTAGGCCAAAATAGCCCATTGACATTTTAAGCCGAAATGAAGAATTTAAACTATCTTTAAGAAAACAAGAACTTCAAACTGTTTACTTACATTTTCAGAGGTTTCTGGATTCTTTTAGCTATAATTTAGATTATTAACTCGTTTTCAAAACATTTAGTTTCTCTAAGTTATACCCAAAATCAAAGCAGACAGAAAATGACAACACAGCATATTCTCCAAGCAAGAATGTAATATAAAAGCTTGAGAACAAATAATTCCTAACACAAGTTTTGCAGGGGCCAAATAACTACTGGAAATGCATAAAGGAAAAATCCTACCTGTGCACACTTGAAATAACCAAAGCATTTGTTTCAAAGAAATCAGACCAGAACAACATTCAGGAAATTGCTCTAATGGCCTTGGTGGCACAAAATGGTACAAATCTATCCAGCAGTTTTAAAAATCAGATTAAGGGAAGTTATGCCTGCTTCTGATTCTCTGAAGATAATGTCCCGCGACATTCATTATGTTATAACAGAGCTTAACTATAGCTCATTTCAATGTTACACAGCTCACCTTGCAGAATCATTGTCCCTCAGCGCATAATCACTAAAGATGAATCTTTTAGTAAAACTTCAAGCCCATTTATTCCACCCTATTTCCTCCCTGCAATTTTTCTTGTCAAATACAATTTCTAACATCTCACAAGATACTGCAAAGAGGTGAAACTCACTATCTTAAGAATTGTTATATAGTCGATAAAGTCCTAACACAGTTGTAATAATGTCAGCTACACACTAATCTCCTACCCTGGCTGTGTATGTTTTTTAGAAATTATGCCATTCTCCAATCCATAATACACTGTGTGTACACTAACTAGAGCATTTTTCAAGGAACTCTTAAATAATTATATGAAAAAAAATTACTTATAAAGAAAGTCATAGGAATGCAATAGTAAGTTAGGGGCAACAATGAAAATACTTTCCTAGCGCCCTTTTTTTTGATCAGCTGTTTTAATCTTTATTTCCATTGGCTACTATCCTGCACAAGACAAAAAATTTTCAGAGAACAAACTCAGTCTGTAATGCGGAAAAGGAATACCTTAATTGGAGAGATGTGGAAGTATTCATACAAGCTGATTTGTGATGTATCCATTGATGACACACTCATTAGTTCTTCTTGAAGAGATTCAACATCCTTTTTGAAAAGTTCTAGCTGTTAATGCATTTGAAAAAGATACTTCTTCAAAATTTGGAGTATAGAAAAACTACTAGTCATTTGTCACTGATACAATACACGACTAATACTACTTATACTCTCCTATGTACGAACTTCTCTCCTTGTCCATGTACCATATGGTTTAAAGCCTTCTTTGCATAGCATACAAAATGAGCATAAAGGAAACAGTCTATGTGTCTCCGGCAAAAGCAATGAAAAACCTCACAGCTTCACATTATTCCCAGATACACAGAAATTAACCATTGATATGGAATAAGAAAATAATTTTTAGGTTTTTTTAAATACAAGTTGAATAGTTACAAATTTAAAATCTATTTATCTTCAAGCAACAAAAGGTTTCTTCTACCTCTTGGTCACTTGGCACATCAGTCTGTGCAAAGAATTCACCAACTGCATACAGGAAGCCAAGATCTAATCTGAGATCCATCTCTTGAATCAGAACCTTAAAATACCTACACATGAAACAAAAAATAATTATTAAAGTGTTCCACAAAAACGCGTAACACTTAAAGCTTAGTATAGGGTATTTAGACCACTTACACAACTTCAGGTACTGGTTTTGGTGGGGGTTTTTTTGGTGTGGGTTTTGCTTTTGGGGGGTTGTTCAGTATGTTTGTATTTTGTGGTTGGTTTTCTTTTTTTATTTGTTTTGTGGTTTTTTGAGGGATTCATCATTGCTGGTGAAGCACAGGTTTCCCACTTAGGCGTCAGATAAACACATTTCCAAGTAAACAGAAGGATTTTAAATATACAGCAGCATTTAACACTGTATATAGCACCATTATACATAAGATTTTTTTCTAAATAAAGATGACTAAAAATACGCATTAAAAAGACATATAAAAATCCTTGCTTTACTCTTCAGTTATGTGGATAATAAAGGACACTGAGCTTTCATCTCTGTTGAAATGTTCTGAGTTTCCAAGACTGAGTTTGTGTGAAAATTACCTTTCATTATGTTAATCATCTATAATAAATTTAATTTTAAAGCTTGATTAATATACCCAATAGCAATAGAGACGGAACACGTCAAAATACTTACTTAATATGAGATATTTGTGAGTGTCCTGCAGTTCTCATGACAATACTGACATCAGTAAACGGTTTAGGAGCTATGAAGATGTCAAATAAAAAAGAGATCAGAACAGACTGTTACATGATATACATAACTTCCTAAGATTTTTTAATGAACATGTCATATACGTTCAGGGTTTTCTCAATCCTGTACAACAGGATTACATAATGGATATGACTGGCAAAAAACTAAGACAGGGAAAAGAGCAGGAACAGAAAGTAATAGGAAGACAAGGATGAAATGGAACATCAAAATGCTATTTAACTGAAAATGCTAATTTTCAGTTAAAAGCAAATTAATATTGATATAATCTTAGATTTATGTAATTTCTTTAGTCATGGAGTAAGATTTTCCAGTGGCTGGTACAAAAATGCAAACTGAACAAACAAAAAAGAATTCTGCGGATTCATGCACTGTAGCTTAAAACCAATTATATTTAGAATGAACAAGTGACATCCTACTAGCTCCAGAACAAAATTGCAAACAGTATTTTTTGTCTCAATCCAGAATCCTTTTTGATATTACCTGGGTTTTCCAAGTGATTTCAATGTGAAAAAATTAATTAAAGACTCCAGTTCATCACATAGTGTAGAGACATTGAGCTCTATGCTCCAAGCAATGGAGAAAGCTACCCAAAAACCATACAAAAACATAATTTGCCATCTGGAGAGCTTATAAATGGTGCCTCACTTAACAACTTTGATCTCAGGCACATTTATTTTCTTACTACTTAAGATTACTTCAGATAGGTTACTAGGTCATGCATTGCATGAGCTCCAGCAGTAGGGAAATAGTGGAAGACTACAGATGAGAAATGAATCCTCACTGCCCCAAAACTCCAAATGCAAGTAGCATAGAAGGAGTGCGACAGATTCACTACCATCAAAATTAAAGACTTATCTTATGAACAGAAAAGTTTTCTTATATATTAGTCAGCATTAAATTTTAGTGGTGGTCTGAACTGAAAACCTCTTTTTAAGCTTATGCAACTTTCATGTTATATGTTCTCCAAAATCAATGGAGTAAAGTGCCAAAAAAGATGCTCTTAAAAAGTATGATAATGACAAATAAAAGACAGTTTCTTTTCTTCTGTTAATTTTTAATTGTTGAAACAGTTTTCTGTATATCTTCTTTGTAGAGGTAACTGCTTCCTTATTGCTACCATTATTATTTTTATTATCTGTAATCAGAAAGCTCATGCAGACTTCACCTGTTAAACGTGATAAATCTGATAAAATGGTTAACTTCAGTACAAGCAAGTTATCTTGTTATTTTAAAAGGAAGGATTATGTTAAACTAAAACAAACCTGAATCCAAGGTGATGGACTTTGGAGGTTTAATAGGATAGAACACAAAGGGAAATATGGCTCCAGGAATCTGGTTTTGTATCTAGTAGGGGTAAGGACAGGACAAGGTGCAGCACATTAGCTTTTCAATAGTGAAATATTTTAAAATAAGGAAAAACTCTAGAGACATGATCATTACCTGTGGCCTTACACCAATCCAAATGGAGAAAAAAGCCACTACTTTACTTACAATATATTTATTTTCAAAATCTAATATCCAATTCTAATACTTTAGTAAAGCTTCTTTAAATTGGTAGTAATAAATGGTCCATAAAAGTTTTGCAAAGTATTTGTTTTTAAAATCTTGAGCATGGCAAGACAAGAAATTTCATGTCTCTTTCTTGCTTGTTATACAGAAATGCTCCAAGCAAAAGCAAGTAAGATGAATGTAAAATATTTTTTCTTAAGTCAAATTTAAGTCAATTTTTTTCATATGTCAATTTTTTAAAGTCGTAGTTGTCTTCCTTTTTTCCCAAGAAGCATTTAAGTAGTATTTTCAAAAATTGAGAAGCACTGATGCAAATTGAATTGAAAATATGAGAAATCCAAACAATTCTAGAAATTAACCCAAGTTTCCATAAAAGTTGCTCTTTCAGAATAAATAACAACTACTTTTTTAGATGACTCACTTGTATCCTGTAAATTTGAATTCTGAAAGACTTCTGATGTGCAGAGGAACTGTATTCCACCTTTAAAGCTGGCAGATAATTTCTTCTGATAGGAATCTCATTTGGCTGTTGAATTGTCATGTTCATTCCATTAGGAGTTAAACACACCTATTGAATTATTAAAGAGTGTTTAAAAATCTTGCTTTATAGAATATACTTAAAAATTTACATTTTTAACCAATATTGTAAAGCTCAGCAGTAGAAATTCTGCAGCTTTTAAGTTAGATGTCACAACTTCCCTTTATTTAAAGCAAACAAATTGCGCCATAAATTTCAATAGAAATAACATTACAAAATGGTGCATTATTTGGGGGTTACTATCATTTAACACATAGCTATCTAGAGGAAAAACTGAACAGTGTAATGGACTATGAATGGCTGAGACAAAAACTGGATTATTTATCTATCCATTGTTTATTTTCCTATAGCACGTTTCTAGGGAGTGTCTAGAATTTTTCCACAGACAAGGACTGAGTATTTGGAGAACAATGTGCTTCTGCATTCCAGAATAATTTCTGAAATTTCATTTTCAATTTTATGTGGTTGAATGACAGCTAAATCATTCCACAACAAGCCCACTTAAAAAATACAGGATTTCAGGCAAAAACAAACAAACCAACCTCATATTAACATATTTACTGGTATAATATATGAACAAAATGCAAAGCTTCCTTAGTGTAGTTTTTATGCTTATGTAGCAACACAACCTCCAAAAATATTACACCTCAATTTCAAAGTCAGGCACTAACAACAAAAGGTCTGTAGGAAGATATCAAAAGTTTGTGGGATTTTTCCTGCATTTTTTAAATAGAGATAAAGAAGTGTTTTCAAATGGAGTAGGTAAATCAATCATCTCAAATTTCACCATAAGTTTTATCAAAGACATCAAAATTAATATATTATCTTTTTCTTGAACATACATATAAACAATAGAATTAGAGAACTATCAGTATTACCAAAACATTAGATTCCAACTCAATAATTTTATTTTCTGAAGGACTTAGCTCACTGTAATCTCTGAATTCTTGTTCTAATTTATCAATTTGCTTGACACTCATTGGTCTCCATCTTGACTTCTTCTTGGGTTTTGTCTCCCACACGACATCAGAACTTCGAAAACAAAACAAAGAACCGAAAGAGGATTAGCTTTTTGAAAACAAGTTTTCAAAACCACACCCACTTTAGTGTGACTTTTAATAGATTGTAACTAGGGAATGAGAAGCCACAACATAAAGCACTACTGTAGCAAACAGAAGCACCCAAATCACGCATTGCCTTCTTGGTACTAAGCAGAAGCCAGTCTCTCCAATATGATGAAGAAAAAAAGAAATTAACAAGTCTGTGAAACTCCCCACTTTGATGAAGAAGGGTATGTAGAGATACTGAAGGAAGTTCAATTTCAGCAGTACTGCCATCCATTGTTCTACAATCTCAATGTAGCTTTTTGCTTATAGTCCTGCATTTGTTTTTGCACTTTAAATTTACTAAAAATTGAAAAGTTCAAGTCAAGACAAAAATGCCTCCTGCACTGTGTCTTATTTTTGACAGCTTGTTTATTTAGTCTTTCCATCTAAAACCAATAGGTGGTGATTTTGTTTTATGTTTCCTCTACTGATTTCGTGGTGGGAGTTTGGGTTTGTTTCTTGTTTGTTGTTTTTTAAAATGTTATCCTTTCTTCTGTCTCTGTTTTATTAATACAAATAATTAATCAACTTTAAAGGGCATTAGACATTTTTCCACCGCCTCTATGAGAAGCTCTGTGCCTGATTTCACCTTATAAACAAACTTAAAACATAAAATAGGGCACAAACCAACACTGTATCAGGCAGGTAGAACATCCTTCTTTCCACAAATTACTCTATAGTCTACAAATACGTAGCTTTTCAGACACAGCCACATAACCTCTTTTAGTTACACCTGTGTCTGCGTTGAGACACATCAATGGCAGAAAAAAAGAAGGTGAGCTGAAGTTCAAAACAACAAAAACTACAAAAAAGAGTAGTGTCTTCATTGCTGAGAGTTCCCCACCCCTTATTTTTTTCTACCTTTTTAGGTTTTGGGGTTTTTTTGTTTCTCCTAAAAAAACAGGAAGCCAATTTCAACAGTACTGTCATCCATTTTCAAGAAATTTGATATCTCATCAGGGTTTGACAAGGAAACAAAACTAACTATAAGCACTACTAGACTAATGACTATGGATGACTGCTTTCAAAGAAAAACCAACTTAGTGAAATCCCAACACTACTGCGAATCTTGGCAATTAGCTGCCACTGTTTCCACTATGTCTAAATATCAGAGCACAGTTTCTCAGAGGAGGGCAGGGACTGAAATTTTCTTATAAATTATGGATGTGATTACGTGAAGCCTATACGTATGAGAAGTTCATATTTGTTTGTTTTTCAGTTCAATGCGAAGAATTAATCACGAAAAAAACTCTCACTCTGTCAACCTCATTACAGTGAATAAGAAGAAGTGTGTGGATTATGGCAATTATATTCAAGTGTCCCTTGATGATTCCAAAGAGACCCTGTTCAAATATATGACAGCATACACTTCCAAAGCATTACATAGTTTCTTTCCTGCTTCTCTCTGAAATATTATAGTAGGAAACCCAAGCAGTAAAGCACTGGATCACCATATTAATCAACCAAAACTAAAGGGACCTACAAGTTTTTGCATCAAAATTTCCAGTGCAGAATTCAGCTGTTTTGTAGTGAAGATAACAAAACCCACTGAAACAAACTATTCACAGAACTTACTCCTTAAAACTCTATTATCACTTCTTAAAATAAGTGGTCAGGAAATATTTTCTGTTCAGTGTTTTGGGAAGTCTGCCACACAGAGTTACAAATACATGTTCCAAAACCACATACATCTAAATACAGTTAGCATATGCATTAGTACAAAACACAGTGAAAACACTTCTCTTGATAGCAGGAAAAGATAGTGATTAGGTTCGAATATTATTAACCCAGACGTCTTTTTGCTCCTTCAACACAAGCCAAAATAAAATTCACAGAGTGAAGTTAAACATTAAAGTTAAACATTAAAGTTAAACACTTATACTGAAGTTAAACGTTTTATGTTGTGGCATACAAAGTTACCTTGTAATTCCAATATAGGACACCTCTTGTTTTGTATAATTATTAACCAACGAAATTCCAACGTCTTGCAAAGACAGAACAATTTCTTGTTCTGCTAGTTCTGCTTTTACACTTTCGTATGTCAATTTAAATACATTCTCATCTTCAGTGATCAGAACAATACGCTGCAAACCTTCATAAAATGACATGAAATAGACAGCTTTTCTAGAATCCACAGTGAGTATGTCCATTTTGTCCTACAAATAAGAGAGGAAATGTTTTTACAACTCTTAATCATTCTACTTTACATAAAAATGCTGGAGTCTTAACAATACAACAACAGAAGACATTCTTTTAAGGTACAGGGAAAAAAGTAATTACAAAGTTTTATGACAGCCTCTCACCCCACACACGCACACTTTTCAACTGAAGACTGCTTACTGGCACAAGCTCTGGCAAACAAAGTGTTGATACTGTTCTGTGTTAAGAACTCATATATGAGACTTGTGATCATAGTCATTAAATACAAAGTTTCATGCATACACTGATGAACAGACATATAAAGAATCACACACCACTAAAAGGAGGTTTTGATAAAATAATAATACCTCTTTTGGGCCAATTTCCTCTGTTCTATTTCCACATCTCCATTTTAATTTCCTAGATCCTGTTGGGTCTGCCCAAGTATACAGTACTGCCTTATTTGGCTGAAGATAGTCTTCTAATTCACTGAGGGAGCTAGAAGAAAGTATTTTTAAATTCAAATGTCCATGAATATTTTGTGTCAATGACCTTGCATTCTAGAATTTCAACAAGAATATGAATTATATTTTCAAGTAATGAAAACAGAACAAAAATAATGTTATGCATGAAAAAACATGCACACGAACATTCTCAGAACAATAATAAGAATGAGGGTTTGTACTTCAAAATACATACATATACTTTAAAAATAAATTATATTCAGTAGATTTTATATACTCATTTTCTTCCCCACTTTGTGATCAACATTTTCAAACAAATGTGTTTTAATCTCCATTCCCTCTCACATATAGTTAAAAACTTGCAGAATTGTCTTCTACAGCTCTCTGGAAGGAGTTACCCCAGGAGAGTAAGTGGAGAGATGCTGACCTCTGCTTGCTGGGATCCAGTGATTTGAACCATTCCCCTACATTCAATGCTGTGCCAGCGTTGGGAGCCAGGGGAGGTTTAGACTGGACATTAGGAAGATTTTCTTTCAAAACTGGAACAGGCTTTCTTGAGAGGCAGGAGATGCCCCAAGCCCTTGACTTGGATAACACCCTTAATAACATGCTTTAACTTTTGATCAGACCTCAAGTGGTCAGGAAGTTGGACTAAATGATAGGCCCTTCCACTCTAAATGCTGTATTCTGTTCTAATTAAACTGAAACTTGGGATGCCCACAATTAATCTAAAAAGATAACATTTACTAATCTTTACAGAGAAAAAACAAACTAAACAATCATTCCTCAGGCAAACAGAAAGCAAACAGGATTTGACTAGTAACTCTTCCACTTTCCAAATAAAAATCTTAAAACAACACTTCTCTGACTGAAGGGAATACAATATAGGTTGTTTGGATTTTAAAAAAGAAATAGTGCAAGAATGCTGCAGGTATACACTTCTTAGCATTGCACAGTATCTGCATACAGTGGCAAAGCATTATAAGGACATTACAGGTAGAGAATAAAGTAACTCTGTGCAGGTACAGAAGTGAATATTCACTCACTGAAGAAAACCAGTATTTGTTAAAATTATCTTAGTTTCATCCTGGCTTGGCAAAATTTATGTAACTACCTCTCACAGCCCCTACATCACATAACTTTAACCCATTCTTTCAGATAAATCTCTTTTGTTACTTATTCTGCACAGTGAGCACCTGTACAGTTCCAGAAAAGCACATCCTTTGCCCCCCAGCAGGAATGTACATGTCACAAGGCCACAAAATTCATATAAAAAACCACCACAAAACAGCTCACCTGTTATACAGTGCTAGGTAGTTCTACATTGCAAACAATTCATTGTCTTCCATTTACCAAGCAAGAGATTTTTGGGTCCTCTGACAAAATTTGACAGCCATTACTTTTAAACAGGCTTCTTTAGAAAATGCAGGCTTACAATATACAAAATTATAGTCACATGTCTCCATGCAAACGTCCACACTAAACCTTTTCATACATACCTTTGTCCATACTCAATATCCTCTTTGGTGTGGTTTATCAACAGAAATGGAGCTGCACCATCATGGTAATTAGAAAACGTAATCACTGTGGAATGTTCAGTCAGATTGACATCCACTGCAATTCCTCCGAGCTATCAGTTGTAAAAATTATGAAAATAAATAATGGTGGAACGGATTTCCAGCAAAGCAAATGTAATTTAAATATTTTGAAAAACTTTTCCTCTCATCATAAGAAAAAGCTATCATGCAGTAAAACTAGCCATTTTACCACATCTTCAAAATATGTCCTTGATCTAAATACTAAGTAGAAGGTATTACACATAGTAATTAAAACTATGCAGGAGTTCTGTACTGTGAAAAGTTAGACTGGTAGTAGACTAACCTTCCATATTACAAGCCTACACTTTGATGCCCTCAAGAACATTATATTACAAAAACCTGTCACTACTTAAAAACTACTGCTAGGTGAGACTATCAGCAACATACAAGCAAATTTATGAGAGTCAAAGTTACTTTTCAGAGAAATTAATATTAATAATAGAACTAATATTACTACTTCTCACAAAGAATACTTGCACAACAATCTGTATTTTAGCTCCCCAGAAGTGCTCCCCAGAGAAGCACTTAAAACAGAATACCTACTTATATCTGTTTGTACACACACAGAAAAGAGAGCATGAGAATGCATAAACACTTCTCAGCTAAGGTTTTGCAGTACTTGATTGCATGGGAAAATAAACTTTTGAGAATGAAAATTAAAAAGTGATTTATGCTGTTCTATCTAACATGTAAACACAGCAGGCAATATGTTACCTTATTGTCCAAATGCAATAAAAGACAGTTTTCTTGCTGATCAAAATTTATCTTCTTTGGAGGGAGATCAGAATTTTCTACTCTAACAAGCAATTTGTTGGCATCATTTTCAGGCCAAAAGGGAATGCACTAGAAAAGAAAAATGAGAAATTTCCAAGTGAGAATACAAATGAGGCATTAAATGCATTCACATTAGCCCAAAATTAATCTACTAAATTCCATCCAAAAATGTATCCGTTAGGATCAGAAACCCTATTTTAAAACCCTAAAAGTTATTACTTACCTGAATACAAAAAACTGAAAGAAAGTCAAGAAATAATTCAGACTACTGTGAAGAAAGTGAGGAGTTAAGGAGCGAAAGAGGAAACAGTAAGACTTCATTCACAAAAATAAGTACATTAAAAATGGATAAAATACATAAAATCCAGAGTATAAAATAGCCACAGCATTGAAAATGCCAAGCTTAGTAAAATAAGAGACGAAACTGTTCTTCCATTAGCAGACCTGTTTCCAAAGAAGTATAAATTTCAAATCAATCTTACAGTGACAAGGAATGACAAAACATGATATTAGCATTAATGCCACCCCAGAGTGACTTGAGTACACAACACATCAGCTACTGGCAGTCCTTTTAACAGAGCTTCATACATATTTAAAAGTAGATATACACACATAGGTATATGGGTATAAAACACACAGTACAGAGCCTTAGGCAGCTAAATCAGAGTATGTTCTGCTATTCACATTCACAACTGAAATCATAACCATTATGGACTTAAAAATCTCAAAGACAATCTCTCTTCAATAGTTATTTGCTAAATGGAGACAACCAGGAAATAGGGAAGACAAAAGTTTTAATAGTAACTAATGAAAAGTCTCTAACTAATTAATATAGTCCTGCCATGAGAACAAGCTATGATTAACAGTAACTCTCAGCTATCAACAGCCAAAGTCTTTTTAGATAGACCATCTATCCTGTATTTCAAACAGTTGACATGCAGCATCCTAAATTTTAGAACCATTTTTCTCTAGCATAGTTTAAGAAATGAGATGCCCATATTTAATTGCATCTGAATCCTAGAATTAATTCTTCAGTGGTGAAAGACTAGTTCACTAACTTACCATGCCACTAAGTTCCCTTTCCCATTGTTTCTCACACCACAGGAAGCAGGAAGACAAAGGAAAAAAATATAGTTAAACGGTAAGATTGAAGGTGTTATTTACATCAACATGTATTCCATAGACAAAGGAAATTTAAATTGTGTTGTAAACTATAATAAAACACAGCATGTAAGCCTCAAAGCAGAATTAATTGAGCCCAGAGGAAATTCGAGGAGAATCAGTCAACAGCAAATGGAAGTTTAAAATCCAAACCAAGTAAATAAAAATGATTGGCTAAACAAGACATTACCTAGTCAACTACAGAGAATTGAATTTTTTTGGTAGTAGACTTTAGACACAGATTGTGTCACATAACGTTGTTTTCAAGCCTTTTACCACACACTTGCTAAGTGCTTCACTAGATGTTATATTTATACAACAATTTTGCTTCCACAGTGGGATCTTAAATTTATATTTAGTAGTGATCTTACAAATAATCTTCAGCAATGTCTTCTTTCTCTAAGGATATTTGTTGATCAACTGCCTTGCACTATACATAGTTCAAAGGACTGTCCTTAGCAAGTCACTGCACACTAATCACTGTCCAATGAATTCTATTGTAATCTTTGAAGAACAGTGGATTTTTCTAAAAATAGTGATTAAGGTTTCTGATATATTTACTACATTCCAGGCAGGGAAGATGTCTCAGAGATTAGTTCTACATAAGAATTGCTTTCTTTCCTGAAAAGACAAGCTATCTGTCACTAAGAAAGAAGAGTGAATTAAAAAAATCAAATCAGCAGGAAAGTTCCCACTTAACTTAAAATGACAAAAAGTAGAATAGTGGGAGCAAGCCAAAATGTGCATTAAAATTTCTGCAAGCTGCTTTGTTTTTTGAAGATCAACCTAATGTAAGAGACTTATGTGAGAAATACTCAAAAAAAATCACAGGCATTAGTTAAAAATCTAGACTAGCAGAATAGCAGAGCTCCCCATCTCAGCAACAAGATCAGATCGAAACTTGCTCCTGGAAATTGTTCTGGATTTAAAACAGAGATAGACCTAAGAAAGACCAATATAGGCTTGATACTACCTACATTTAGGAGACATGAAAAATATATTGGATTAGGCAACTGAATGATAAAAGAAAAACCCTGGCAGACCAAATTGTCACGACATGGACTTTTAGAAACTGCCTATCAAAGGAAAAATACCGACACAATGTGAAAACAGGCTTTAGAAGGGGATAGAGATTCTTCTTTTGACCTGTACTGTTCTATTTGATAAACTGCCATATCTAACCTTTTAGAAGTTTTTAAGAGTGATCCTAAGATCCACGATTATTCCCTGGATACTTTATTACCGAAAAGACTAAGATTAATCAATACAATTACAAAACATGTAAGAAACACTGACATTTGTGGGACAAACTGGAAACTCCTGCAGGCCTACAAATAAAATAGACAACATAGGAAACCTAGAGATGATATAAGCAGAATGTATTTCAACTTTAATAACTATTACCTTTGTGTAGTTTTTGCCGAAATTTCAGAACTTTCTGTAAATATTTTGGCTTGTTCTAATAGCAAAGCTATATCAAATATAAATCACAAAACAAGAAATAACACCATCTGACCATACTTCCTAGGAATTAGAAATTAGATATGAAGGTATCCATATCACTACACATACACTACTATGGTGATATAGTCGTTTCAGATCTTTATCAATAAACTAGACTCGGAATCATACATGTAAAGAACTCAAAAACTACGTAAGGCCAAGCAAAAGTTTAGTTCAGAAGAACATAAGAATACTAGGAAAGAGAACCAACAGGCTTATGTCAAACAGTCTACTGTTGAGTAAAAGCAAAGAAACTTTTTTTTGAAAATAGTAAGTATCATGAAAAGCTGAACTGACTTCAACGTCTAAAGATCTAAACATCTTTATGCACACTTAACAAAAGCACAATGGAACAACATATCAATTTCAGTTACTGAAATAATGCTACTTAAATGACATGTTTTTAATGACTGTATCATTAAAGACAATATATACAGCTAAGGAGCATGTACTGAAGATACCAAAAAAGTAATAGCAAGATCTAGTTAGGAATCTCATTGAATATATTCTTTTAACTCTAGCAATTTGGTTTGTAAACATTTTTAGTAACTACTTAGACTATTTACAATGCTGATATTGAGGTGATGGAGTGTACCCAAAGACTGGCAATGGAGCTGCTAAAGGATCTGGAGCACAAGTCCTATAAGGAGTGGCTGAGGGAGATGGGATTATTTAGTCTGGAGAAAAGGACACTCAGAGGCCACCTTATCACTCTCTACAACTTGCCTGAAAGAAGGATGTAGCAAAGTGGGGACCAGTCTCCAAGCATCGGGGCCAAAGGAAACAGCCTCAGCTGGCACCAGAGGATATTTAAAGTGGCTGTGAGGAAAATTTTCTAAACTAAAGAGGAAGTCTGGCATTAGAATGACTCCAGGGAAGTGGTAGAATCACTATTACTGGAAGTGTTAAAAAAAATTGTGGATGTGGCATTTGGGGATCTATTTTTGTGGTGACTCATTTATGGTAGTGCCAGGTTTGTGGCTTGACTTGATACATTATCTTAGAAATCTTTTTCAAGTTTAGCAATCCTATACTTTGAAGATTCTAAAGGAAATCGACTGAGCCTTCAACCATACTATCTGTTAGGCTAAACTCTGTTTTGGATAATGCTCTTGTCAAAGGGGAAGGGGAAGGATTTCACTCTTCCCAGAAGGCACTACAGATCACTTACAGCTTTAAGAAATCTCCAACACTGGCCCAAACAAGTGCTGCTTTTCCTACGTGTCCTGCAGAAAAGCACAGTGGCCCCAAGACCCAACACACATACAAAGCATAATTGGTGATACTGCAGTGCCAACAGCCAAGATCCACACCCAGTCTGCAACAGACTCTGCAGCACAGACAAAAGCCCTAAAGCCATTTTCACACCACTTGGCCTGAGGGCCAGGGATCTCTTTCTAGAAGTATTGGCTGAACACTTAAAAGCAGCAGTGAGACCAAATCCTGAAGAACCATTTAGATCTCTCTGAACTGATCCACACGATGGAATTTCTTCCCATACCAAAGCAGCTTGCTGCATGCCAGGTCAGCCAAAATATTCTACCACATACTACTGCTAAACTGAACAGAAGCTCTAGTGCCACTGTAGAGAGATTATAAAGTAATAATATAATATAGTAAAGGTGTTTTTCTTGTACTATTTATGACAAGGTGACAGAATAAAAAATTCCAATTACAATGTAAACCAGCTTTACAGTATGTCCTAATGCAACACTGAGAAATGGTAAAGGACACAGATGGTTTATTGAAAAAGCATGGTATAGTCAGGCATTGTCATGGAACACTACATATAGCTCATGTTTTCCATCAGTTCAAACCAGTTATTTTCTTTAGAGACACAACTTGCAATAGGTTCCATTATAAGTTTACCTGTTGCAAAACAATGGGAATCCACTTTTCCTTGCCTTCTTCAGCTACTTCCAAAGTGTATGTACTTCTATTTGAAATCATAAAAAATGGAGTGAAGGTTACAATTCTAGTAATATTGAAACTGCTGTTGTTTATGGTGACACCAACCTGTGAACAGAAAGACATTATTTTAAGTACATTTTTTAAACCCCATTTATATCTCCTGAAAATAATGAATTTGAAAGATAAATTTAACTCACTTGATATTCCTTTTTATGACTCTTGCATTTCACAGAACCATGGCTTCCAACAGTGTCCAGTGAAAACTGATCAGACAGTTCACTGTCAGTTACCCTAAGCTGCACCTGTGAAGAAGCATCCAGAATTAATTTTCAATTTAAAAGTCACTGACAACATTTAAAACTTATATGTATGAAGTAAGCATAAACATAAATGGAAATACTGGTGTTTCTATCCAAAAGTTAAGACATAACAACTGCTAGTATCATCTCAGAAATGTGTTTTCTACCATGCTTAGTTATGACTCACGTGGAATAAGCATTTTAAGTGTATGACATTCCAAAAGAAGCAATCACATAAAGATGCCTTAAAAAGCATCATAATTAAAATTTCAAAGGAAAATCAGTGCACTCATGTAATCTTGCTCATACATCCATCAATAACATTCAGCAATAAAAAAACTCAGGAAACTCAAATGGTAAGTTTAACCTTAGCATTCTATGAACCTAGAACCAATCTACCAACCACCATTGCAAGTACTAATTTTTCAAGTAGCATTCATTGTTCAAGTACCACAGCTTTACATTTCCTACACAATTGGTATGTCTTATTTGGAATAAGAACCTTTATTGATACAGTTGAAATGTAAAAGGAATTTGTTTTATTTAGAAAACACTTTGCAATGTACATCTTTCAAAGTGAGGATCTCTTCCTTAACAACACCCCTGATAATGTAAATTTCCTATCTCAAGCATATTTGACAACACGCTTATTTTGAACATTGTTTTTAGACAGAAATATTATAGGTTTCAAGCCCTTTACAGCGCATAGGATAGAGTAAATACATTTTAAAGAGTAAAAATGCTTTCAATTCAACAACATAAGCTGTCAGGTTTGCAAAATACAATACCTTGTTATTTTGAAGGAAGTTTTTAGGCTGAAAAGAAAAAAGGAGTGGCTTTTTGTAATCTGGAGGATGCTTGCGGTGAATACCATCTGCTTTGTATTGTAACATTCGACCGGTTTTATTCACCATCCAGTAGGGACTGTGAATTGCTATTATCATCTGCCCAGTTGTGTAGGTCACATGAACAGCAATATCCAGTTCAGTCTTATCCAGCTCTGTGACACAGTGAAATGTTGTGAAGCTGATATCAGGCAGATTGCTTTTTACATGGTACTCGCTTCTCCAGTTTTGATCAAGGTAGTTAAGCAACTGCAAATCTAGTTTTGTTTGGTCCAAGACTGCATTATGAATCTGGGCAGAACATCCTTCTTGTAGAGTGTCATATTTGTTCCCATTTCCCTTAGAAAGACAAGCAGACACCAAACAGGATACACTTACATTAATCACATACAAAATTCCTATCAACTTTTATTTTTTAGCTAGCTTTAAATATTAAAATACAAGCTTTTTAGGCACAATTTTAAAATACCTTTTGTGCTATTTAACTATGTTACTTTCCTAAACATTTAGCTTAAAACAACATTTTGCCAAGAGAACCTTAATGTATGGTCATCACTATCCAAATCAAAAAGCCCACCCGTCACCAAATTCAAACACATTTAATATCTTTAAATGACAAATTTCCTCAACACAGTATTTTCCTCACTAAATTTAAATTGGTAAAAGACATACAGAGCCTGTTGCTTCCATACATTTGGCACAAGCTACAGTCTCCAGTCCTAGTAACTGTTTATTTGTGATGAAGCTTTATTATTAGATTTTAGTATTTGAATTCAAATACTAAATATTAAGACCATCTGAAAAAATCTGACTCCCAACTTTATTTTTATTATCCTAAGCAACATCAGTGGGACACAATTATATCAGATCCATAGAATGAAATACAAAGGGCTGAGGAATCAACGTCTATGCTACATGTTTTAGGTATTTTACTCAAGACTATCTCTCATGTGGCACTGGAAAGAATGCCCATTAACAGTCAAAGTGCATCTGATTGTTTAATTTCATCTGGAAAGAATCTGAAGTCTGGCAATAGGCTGATGGCAAAAAGGCAGGCCTGTGAGAATTTGTTAAATGCATGTTGCTGCTGAAAGTCAGTGACTGCACTTAAAATGCTAACATAGGGTGATCCACTTGGCACAGTCTCAATAGAAAAAGCTGCACTATTTAGTTAGGCTGAAGTTGCACTTGGGCAACTGAGTGACTCTCACAGGGCCCAGCTGGTACAGTGTTAAGTTTTACTTTGCATATATATCTGAAGTATGGCTTAATGAACCACATTTCATATTCTGTGATAATATTTCAATTCTGGAAATATACTTTATTAGACTATGTAAGACTTGCCTTTGTAAGATCTGTGAACTTGCTTCACAAATATTCCACCAGAGCCCCCTTGTTTTAATCTCCATTTCAACCAGCGTTCACATTTTAAGTGGGAAATACCACTAAAATTCAAGCATTATGTAATTACCTCTACAGAATAAGTAATTTGGTAAGGAAGAAGATTGCGGAGAAGAACAGAAGGCCATAAATGAACAACGTATGGAAAATCCCATTCATCTTCTGCACCTAATGAAGTTGTCAATGAATCTTTTACAGGAACAATATTGATGACAAGTGATTGGTTAGTTGACTTCACAGATTGGCATTTCCTTTGTAATAGACTGTCAACATTTTTCATAATTTCATCAAACGTAATTCCTTCACACATATCATATTCTCCCACTCCGTTTTCATTGGCTAATGGCTGCAAACTCAATATGGATCTGTAAATGAAAACATTTTTAGACACTTAACACATGACTGAATGTTTCAAGTATAAAAAATACTATGCAACAGGGACATTCTAATACTATTTTTATTTAGGAAGATTTCTAGCAGTAGTTCATTGCCTGCCTTTATCTTGATTAAACAAGGAATCAAATGATGAACTAGATCCCAAAATTTCATACTGTTGGTAACAGCAGGGGTTTTTTATTCCATACCTCCACATGCTTCCCTTAGAAAGAAAAGGTTATTAGAGATTCTTATTAAGAGACTACTGAATTTCCTCACAAGTGCTGCTCTGTTCCTGTTCGGAGCTAAAGGTTTGGATTGACAGCTTTACTCCTAGAACAGATGTGCAGAAAGTGTCCTTCTTTTCAGTCACATTAAGCATCAAGTTAGTTCATGGATTATTTACACACATGGCTTTTATAAGGCAATTGCTTTAATACAGGTGCTCCTGACTGAAATTTTTGTTGTTTTAACACATTTCCTGACTGCCTAGTGGAACTCATCTGCAAAATGAATCAGAACATCACTAAATCTTATACAGATGGTTAGATATATCAATGAATTAATGAATCTACAGTAAAACACAACTTAAGTAAGGAAGAAGATACAAAGCTTTTCCTGTAAAAAATAAGGAGAGTGTTTGGGAGAAAATAGAAGGAAGAAGTCTCTGCAACCATAAAAAATTCATCAAAGCAAATCTACCTACCTAAAACTTGGTAACAGTTTAGCTAAAATGTACATTCAAATTCATTGCAGTTATCCATTATTATGCCAAGTTTTTCTAAGGTTGATTAGTCTTTTTTTACATCTTTGATAAACTGTAAAGCTTTTAATCTTTTACTTCAGAATCAAACAATCAAAAGATTTTCAGAAAAAAAGAAAAAATCTGCACTAATTCACCGAATATCACTCAGTAAGAACTGTACTGTGTGAATTACAATCATTGTGTTCAAGAAGTACCCGAGCTTAGATTTTTAAAGTAGCTTAGCTAATTTAACTTGCTCATAAAAATGGATTTCAAAATACTTCCGATTCAACAATGAACTCAGATTACATGCTCTGAGAAGATCCTACCTAACAATGACAGCACAGTATTATTTCAGTATTAGGTAGCAAGGGTAAACAATTTTTTTAGCATAATTATATGGATACAATAATCAAAAATGTATAAACATATTCTACAACAAAATTAAAGTACAATAAAGTACCTGTAAGAGGAAAAGGGTATGTTGAATTCATTTGCTGGTGAAGCAGTCCCTAAACATCTTCCTTCTTCAAAGACATTTAACGGGATTGAAAAGTGATTCCTTATCTAAGAAAAATAAAAATCCAGCAACACACATTAGGAAAAACCGTAAAGATAAAGTATATTTTGAGCTTAATAAAGCAAGGATGAGAAGTCTTGTTTTTCGTCTTATCCACATACCATTCAAGGTCAGTATTTCAGAAGAACTGTCTCTAAAACAGTAAATCTTTCTAAATGATCTGGTTGTGCAGTTTAATGCTACATTTTATTTATTAAATGAATATATTAACTGCAAAATGCTTTTCAGGGAGAACCAACAAGACTTTGAAAAACCAAAGACAAATAAATCTCAACTATATGGTAACTTTCCAAACAGTGGTCTCCTAAAAATATAACAGATACAAATTTCAAAAATCCATATCGTGAAAGTGTAAGAAGTCAGAACATTAAGGTTAAATCATTAATGTCTGTTCCAGGGCACATAGTTATCTTTCCTGCAAACATTCTTTTTTATTTATTTCAAGGTTAATTTAATGGCAATAATTAGCTCTTAGGAAAAAAAAATAGAAAATAACCAAACAGTAAAATTTTGCTATTCATCAAGTCATAAACCACTTTGAGTGAAAAAAGGCAACTGAAATGTAACAAGAACACAATTTGTATAGAACTGTAATATCTGATTCATCACTGTAGCTCTAAACCATATAATGTCTATCAAAAATACTATTTAATCAAAAGACATATACACTCAAAGGTCTCACTTTTCAACTGACACTGTACTAAACTTGAAAATAATGTACCAATGGTACAGGATGAAGAAAATTAAATAACCTAACTGAAAGATAACTTGTGGAACCAAGGTAAGATTAAAAGAAGTTTCATCACTTCATACAAAGCACATAGTTCAAGACCAAAATTCGAGCTAATATTAGTTAACATTACTAATGAATTATCCTGATCCAAAATCTGACTGATGTCCACCCGCATCCAACCCATTTGTCACTTTGAAAACGCTTTTTATTCTCGAAAAATCAAACACAAAGCCAAGTCATATGGACCATTCAGGTAAGTTTTTAAAACATATTTTTAAATGTTTATTTAAAGACTACAGGATCATTTTCATTCATTAGAAAATTAAAGGTATGGATATATAATGACCTGAATCGGGGAACGTATAGTTATCATCTTGCTTCCTTCAACAGTGTCAATTTGACTGACAATGGACCTTTCAACACCTGATTCCTCGTGTCTCACTTTGTAAATGCATCGACCCACTTTAGTCAATGGAATCTTTTCCACAGTAGAATGATTATGCGGACCTAGAATTTACAAGATGAAACATAAAACACTCAAAAGGAGCATAAAGAAATAGCTGAAAGACCAAAATGTGCATTCAATAGTTCTGTGTCATTCAATCTAATAATAAAAAAACGCCCACCAGATGAAAAAGTAAAATCAGCACTCTTAATATGCTGCTCTTGCAGGGTTACTAAGGAAACAGCAAAGATACTTTTCTTGACTCAAGAAAAAGAGTAAATGAGTCCATCATTCAAATATTTAAGTGGGTTTTGCTACTGGAAATAAAATTAGTGCTTCATAGGAAATGTTTACAAGATGTAACAGCTTATTAACAAGGTACAGGTCTAATATTGTAAAAACAATTCAACTGACGCATCATATGGTTGAGATTGAAAAGCTGCCAATTGCTACAATAAATCAATTCAAACTGTAAACACACCATTAAAAATAGCTAAATTCTAATTTTAGCTATGGTTTGTTCAAAACAATTTAAAACAATCTTTTTAAAAACAGCCCTCTTGAGAGTAACTTCTGTTAACATACATATATACAGTTCTCAATTTTGAAACAAAAACTATTTTGAGCAGCTGAATTCTAAAATAACATATAAATGCCAACAAATATCTGACTGCACTAAAGATTATTACAGTAATAAGTTACCACAGTAGAAAACCTATGCTGCAAAAATTAAGAAGTACAATATATATAACTTTAAGCTGTAAAGGCTAAAGCAGGATTTCAAATATTGCCAAGCAACTAGAATTCAAAGAGACACTTCTTTCATTTTATGCTGTCCTCCAAAATTTAATACAGTCCAAGACACTGTATTAAGCATCATAAATATTTACAAAAACAGAAGATGTATGAACTTTGCAACTTACAGATCTGAATGTAAAATCTCTTGCTACTCAGTGTTGTCATTGCTGTGAACTGGTCACTCTCATTTCTAGTTCTGACAAATTCCATATTTAAACTCTCTTTGTCTTCTAAATGAAATATTTTTGCTCCAAACGTAACATTAAGGACGCTAAAGGAATCACTAGGCGAGACTGTGATGGGAACTCCTAAAGAATTTATTATTACAAATGGTGCTCGGTCTTTTTTGAAGACATCTGAAGTTTGACTAGCTGCTTCAGCAAACGCCTAGAAAGCAAAGAATTGATACAAAACATAAACATACTGAGTAAGGCTTCACCAAGATGATTTCTGCAAGTATTCATCTAGCAATTCTAACACTGCATAGTTAAGAAATTTTTCTTACCGTGCCCAAGTTACTTAACATCTGCAGTCCTAATTTGGACAGTGTAATGTTGAGCTGGTCTTTCGAGGAAACATTTATTACTGTTTTATATTCTGGAACTTTGTAGTTCTCTTCTTCTTCATCATCTGATTCAAACAGTGCTTTTTTAGCCTTCTTCATCTGAAAGGAGATGTTTAAAGAATCCTTATCTAACCACTCATTCTGTAGAAGCAAGTTTCACCTCAAAATTCTCTATGTCTCCCTTTCCCATTTCTATGTCCAGCCATAGTTTTCCATTTTTTTGTTGTTCATGTTTTTATTCTCAAATAAAAACAAAGAAGAGAATAAAAGAAGAGACAAATCATATATTCAGTAAGTCAATGAAATTCCAGTTAACAGCAGCTAAATTTATGATTATTCAAAAGTAAAGAAAATATATACTAACATATCCAGTAAATACTGTGAGATAACATTAATCTTAACCTCTTGAGTAACACTGTGTAAAACGTTGCCCATAAATGACTTCCTAATGTTAAAACAGCCCCCAAATTTAGTCTTGATGTGTTTCCAAATCAAATACTTATTTTGTTTTTATTTGGTTGAAAGAAAAAATAAAAAACCTTGATGGAATACATTTCTCTAGCCTTCAACACTTCTGGAAATTATGTTTTTCCAAATGTTATATTTCATATCAAGGTGAGAAGACACGTGGTTTGACTCATTATTTTCTAACTTTCTCCTGTATTATGTCTTGTACCTTTCTGCAAAATTGTCAGGGGTATTTTTAATAGCAGTTTCTTAACTGCACTATCTCAGTCCATAGTCTTTATCCTTCTGAGGCTATTACTGTGAAAAGTTTTTGATAATGATAGTCCAAGGAAAAGGGTGAGTCTTTTATTCTTAGCAACCTCTCAGGTTAAAAATACTTAAAACAGTTTTGAAAAAGGTCAGGAATCAATGAAATGAAACAGTTAAGACAGAAGACAAACAAAAGGTACCTCCCATCCTTCGATAACACCTTAACTAGTTTCAGACCAGAATCTGGACTATTTCCAGGAAATATGAACACAAAGTGGTAGGCGCACCACTCCCATAGTACTCTTCTTGCTACTCAACAGCTACCAGTTTTTCCAACACAATTTTGCTATACACACTAATGTGGAACAGGAGCAGTGGCTTGCCTTTCCAAAGTTACTGAATGCATCATTAGCATATAGTCTATAGGACAAACTGATATAAAGCTGTTTATGGATTACTTCAGTAATCTAGTAAACTAACCTCGGTATGTAATAAATACCTAATTTATTACTACAATAAAATTTTGCCACCTGAAAGACGATATTTAACAGATCTGTGAATCTGGATCTTTCCTTGTATAAGAACTGGTTTCATTTACTACTTGGGGAAAAACTCTCAGTAACCAACAAGAAGGAACAAAATTGTTAGATTAGTCTCAGAAATGAAAGGTGGAGAGCATTTGTTTTTTCTAAGGTATCATAATGTTATATTTGAGTTCAGCTTTGGAAACTATACCTTGATTTCAAGAGTCCATGGCCTGAATAAGTCAGTCTTCTCAACTTCTAGTGGTTCAAGCAAAGGTTCCCACACACCAAACATCTCATTAAAATAATGCACCTATCAAAATCCAGAAATCAGTTAGGAATTTACATAAAACTTAAATAAATTCAGATTTAGAAGTATATTAATTATTTTGGTAATCTAAAAGATTCATAATCAGATTGCACTTTCAGCTGCTACCATAAAATGAAACAGACACATTAGAGAAATAAATGAGGCAGCTAAATCTCTACTATGAAGTGAGTTCCAAATAAGTGGTAAAAATTGTACCACTTAAAATACAATTTTAGCTTAAACTGCAGGTGCACTGGAATTCAAAAGCACTATAAATAAGGAAGAATCTCTCTACAACAATCACTGAATTTTGCCACTGATTTCCAATATGAGTCAGTTTGGATGTTTTATGAACTTGTACCACATTGCATATTGTAGGAACAACACATTTTATATTCTAGTGTAATATTAACTAAAGATTATTAAAGACTTTTAGTCAGTTGCGATTCCAATAGTTAACACTGATGCAACAGGTCTTTAGGAACTTGCAAAGAGTTAAACGTGAGGCTGCCTAACAGCAATTACTGTGTCATTAATTAACATTACATCTTAATGCATCAGATTTTCATTTAAATTTAGCTGTCTTAACCCCTCATTCTCATCATGCTCCCACAACAACTATCTGCAGTTTAGTTATCAAATATATGGGTTATTTTTCTTTTATTGTCTAAATAACATGTATGTGAGATTTAGACAATAGAGTACAGCATCTTAGGAAAACTTCTGTTTCTTTATGTAAGATTCCTCACCTCTAGCTCAAGACGAGAATGTAGATTGATTAGAGTACTCCAGTTCTTGACTTCTCCAACAAATGAGGACTTGGCTAAAAGCATTGGCACTGTTCTGTGCCCAACTCCAGCTTCAAGTGTTAGAAAAACAGATTCTATATTAATTTTCAATGACTCTCCTGTGGGAACCAGTTCGGTGTTTGGATTTTTATCTTCATTTTCATTAGTCTCTTCAAGAAACCACAATTTCAGATTTTTTATATCTTTCTTATTCCATAAATCAGGAGGAATTTGACTAATCTCTTCATTCGTTGTTTCGGTAGTTTGATAAAGGGCTGATGTAATGGTAATTACTGTGTTTATGATTATTGGTGAAACCTACAAATAAGAAATTGGAATAACTGGAAATGAGAATCTGGTACAGGAACAGCTGGTTTCAGACACAAAAGCATAATGAGTATCTTACAATAACAAAACACTTCCATTTTCTACAGGACTCTCATTTGAACAAGCAATAGTTCAGTCTTTTCAGATTTGCAACCCCTGCCTTATTTCCAGATGGAAGCTTTCTAAACTACATCACTCAATGATTTATCTGAACACTTCAAAACTTATCTCTGCCACTAGCCATTTTATAAAACACAGATTTCAAAACTGAAGCATAGTGACACAGTTGTTCACTTTCCATTTTATTCATTTTGATATGCTTCATTAGGTAGGTGACCTAATGATGAACTGGAATGATTCCCCCCTTCAGTCATTCCTGAAGCAACTTCATAGCCTGCTGAGTAGAAAGTAGAAAACTAAAAACACAATACAAGTCTACTTACTTCTATTGTCAGAGATTTAATAGTTAGATCAGCTGTCTGTGGATTAGTACCTGACTGTTTCATTTCAAAGAAGAAGTCACAAGGCTGCAATACCTATACAATAAAGTAAAAACAAGTCATATAGAGAAAAAAATATTTTTAAAAACTTACTTTGAAATCATACACATAAAAAGTACAGAAAGAAAACTTACCAATATTTGGTTCTTCAAAATTAAGAGAATTCTGAACACTAATAATACATTGAAAGAAATAACAAGTATCCAGAAGCATTACCTCAGGCATTCTCAATCCTTAAAGATTGAAAGGTCAGCTACCGTAAAATACATTACACTTCAGTAACTCCATTCTTATGGTAAAGTCTGTAGACACCTTCAATGCACTGCACCCTCATGCCTCTGACTTTTGAGAATCAGTTTTTCAGTTGCAACAGAGCAAGGACATAGTTACATTTTTCCTGAACAACAATATAACTGCTGGAATCACAATCACTCAGTTCTAACTTTGTTTTGCAATCAGTTCCTGAACACTTACACTTGCCAAAGTTTACCAAATCAGAGGTATGCTATAAACAAAACCAGTACTATGTTTATTAATAGAGCACTCAGATGTAATTAGATTCTACTGACACTGTACAGACAAGAAAATTTGTTTTCCAATCCCCATCTGAGATGGGGACCACACTTCTCCCAAATGATTTTGATCCAACAAAAGTTTTTGTCCATATTATTTTTTATTCTGTTGCTCAAATTACCTTTTTTCCTTACTCTGTATTACATTCAGGAATGAAAAACAATAGATTCCTCTTTATACCAACACACATATAAGAAATATATAAAGACCTCCTCATTATTTATGCTATTTTATATATAGAGGTTAGTTTCCCTGCTTGGCGTCTGGACATGACACTTTGGGATATGGTTTAGGGGTGACTATGGTAGTGCTGGGTTGACAGTTGGACTAAATGATCTTGAAGTTCTCTTTCAGTTTTGATGATTTTTCATCAAAAGGATGAATTCATCCAACCCAATTATTTGCTGTCTTAGGTTACAATGAAAGGTGCATCCAAAAGTATGTACTCTATTACCATCTTCATAAACTGTTAAAAGCAGGTGGGGAAGTGTTCCTTATCTCTCCATGACTCATCTCTGGTAACTCCCTCTGGTGGGAGATATCTTCTGTTAACGGGCCATCAAGCCTCACTGCACGACTGATAAAATTACATCATCCCACTATGAGATGCTCCACCCAGGGGGAGGAAACAAGCATTCCTATCTGCATAAAATCTGAGGTTTGGAACATCACAAGTGGCCTTATCCCCTGGATTCCCAGAGAACAAGAGCTCCATAACCACCACTGGACCTTCTGAGAAAGATCAGACCCTTCTACAGGATCACTGCTTCAACAGAACCATATTTACCACTTCAACAGGATTGCAGCCACCATTTAATCAGACTGCTACCAACACACTGACCAACAGGGTGTTAGGTTGTATCCTGACTCTGTCAATGTTTCTGTATTATTGCATTTATTTTAATTTTCCTATTAAACTGTATTTCTGACTTGGAATCTCCTACTAGTTTGATTTCAAACTAGTACACTTTCCCAGACTAAAATTAGATTGTTTACATAAAACTTGGGTTCAGAGCTTTGCTTACACGTTTTCAAAAGGAGCAGTTATGCTCCCACCTGCAGGTAACTTTCTGCAGAACTATCTGCATCTTTCAAGGAAGGTACTGTTTCAAGCACTAAAACTAGTGTCCTCTGAAGTTTTTTTTTCCCTATATATAGCACAAGCATCCTCTCAGATTCAGGTCTTTTCCCCTGTTTCTACAGTCTGAGATAAGAGATTCCATCAGAAGATATTCCTGTAAGACAGAGAACTTGGTGTGAAGCCTTCCAATAGCTTTCTACAAAGAAAGTAATGTTTATGCCGCATTTGCCAGCTACAAAAACAGAAACTGAACAACTTGGCATTGTTTTGCGGCTATCAATGCTAGTGCATCACTTTCTAAATAACTAGCTTAACATTTTAGTGCAATTAAAGACTGTATGCCCAAGGAGTAAACTGAGGTGCTATGATTCTACTTGAAATTGAGATGAAAAGGAAGCCCCAAGTCCTTTCTGCTTATAGCTTTGGTCTCTCCTACATTACTCCATAAGTAAGCAAGCATTAACAGAGAGCTGAAAAAATTTGCTCTTCAAAATTCATCTGTGGTCTGAGGACATGGGTAACTGTTGTATATATAGTCAATTTGAATTTTTTCTTTGATGCAACAATATCATCACAGAGTTAACTGAGGAACAGTCTGCTGTAGAGGCAGAAAAGCTGTAAGAAACTCCAGGAGTCAATGCACTTCCACCTGATCAGTAACTAACAAGTCTGATTCTGTGGCCAAAATACAAATAGGCAGTTTTAATAGGACCTTAAAATAAAGGAATTTATGAACTAAATAAACTATTTCCTGATATGCACTTCCCTCTTATTTTTTTTGGGACACTATTATTCTTTTACATAGCTATTTAATACAAGGTTTTAGACCGATATCACTCCAAATTTACTGTATTGCATTTGACATAGCATACATTTATTATTTATTTGGCTTACATGGGATGTGAAAGATAACTAACATTTTACTCCTTGGAGCTGTGAATTGTAGTTTGTTATACAAAGCAAACCCGACTGTCACAGATCAAGATGACTCTTTAGGCATATCAGATAAAAGAGAATAAAATCAACAAAATGTTAGGCATATAATTTTACTTATATCGTAAATGTATACTACTATACTGGTATATACATTTTAATGATGAACATTTCAGAAATTACTTGTATTTTAGTAGTATAAGTTAGCACCTTTTAAATACACACTGAATGGTTCCAAACTCACCGTAGTAATGTTCTCTTTCCTTTCTTCTGGAAGAAATGGGCATGCTTTCATCTGTATCTCTCTAACAGCAGCTGTCATGTTGTACTTTTCAGGGCTACTTTTAATGAAGACCTCACACTGTGTTGTAACCACCAGCGCAGGAGCATCACTTCTTGTTAAATCAGCCACAAACACAATCTCTGGATTTTTAACAACAATGTTCATTTCCATCGTAGATACAGGCTGCACAGAGGCTTCAGAAACATAAATTACATTAGTTTAATTGTTCAAAGATTAAATTTCAATTGTTTTCTTGTTGTGATTTAATTATTAATATTATTAATATTATAATTAATAATATTGATTATAATAATTATTTAATTCTTGTAACTTATAGGGAGGCCTTGACTATTTGGGGTAAGATCGAGCATAAATAGTGTTAGCAAATCAGTAGATCCCCGCAACTGACACTTCTAGGCTCTTCACTGCAGGTACAAAACCATTTAATATCTAATTACTCCTGGGTATAACAAAAGACTTCAGGAAGCTTTTCTGTCAAAATGATAAGGATAACAGTATCACCACTGTTATTACCTGTGGCATTAACAAATGTATCAGCTCCACTCCATAACTACATCTGCCAACTTTGATAAGAGTCTTAGGAAAATGCTAAGCACATTTTCTGCTCTCTGGAGTAGCAAACCCTCATTTTTCCACACAACAATAGTGCAGCATTACTGATGCCTAATGTAAACACTTGTAATAAAAATATACTTTCATATAAGATTTCCTTATCTGTTTAGACTTTGATCATCAGGAAATAATCACAACAGGCCTGGCTGAGAGGGACACAACTACGATACTTGGGAAAATAACACCAAAAAAACTGGGACTTGCTTTGGCATACATGACGAGAACTACCTGAGGCCTGGAAGCATAAGAAGATTATTTCCTGCTCTTAATGGACCAATTTTTGATGTCAGGTACTCAAGCTCAAAGTCTGTTTTCTGATGTAGGAAGAAATGCAAATCAGTGGACAAATGAAATGGCATTTCTAGGCAGCAATATCAGGCAGGCAGTTTCCGTGTGTAAGCACAATATAATACGTGGCATTATTTTATTTTAATACATTTTTAGATGTCTTCTTTCTTTAGTAAGACCAGACTTCATTTGGAAACAAAGACTAAAGGTCATGAATCTATTTCCATGGTGCAAAGAAAGCAACATCAATGGTTACAAGCTGTTCTATACATATAAACATAGGAAACACCTTTAAAGGAATATTGTATTTTTTACATGGAATTACAATACCAAAATTAACCTGATACTCCAATACAGGTTTTAAACTATTTCTGTTGTATACTGGTATATACCTTGGTCCTTTACATGTAGTGACTGTTTCAGATTTCTCTGCGCAGCAGCACTTTCTGCTTTAGCTTTTAGGAATATATCTGCTACAGTAAGTAGAAACTCCATGCTTGCACAAAGATATATCTCTTGAACAATAACATCAAGAACAGTGCCATCTCTCCCCTGCTTGTAGTTTACATCCACCATAACTTTCTTTTCAAATCCATGTTTCATTTCCACCATTCTGAAAGATAATGAAGGAGGCATCAACAAGACCGAATTTAAAAAGCAATACAAATAATTTTAGAACATGCCCAATAAAAACAGCCCAAATTTTATATAACTTTTAAACTAACTGGAATTCCATACACTGTACTAAAGGTGTTAATACTTTTTAACAAGACAAATCATCATATTTCCTTGTTTTCACATCAAATCACTTCAGTTTTACTGAAGTTTGATAGTATTCATGAAACATCATCTCAGTCTGACTTAGAACTACATTAAAGTGGAAACTGAAATTGTTTTCTATGCGCATTTATTAAATTTATATTTAAAGTTCAGTTTATTTAATTTTATGTATCTAGTACTGCTCTCTCATAAAGATACGTTGAACAAAAGGTAAGTGAAACACATAAATCCATAGTAACATGTACTTTAAGAACTCCTATACTAAAACAATTGCAGTTTCAACAGAATACTAATAAAACTAAAATGCTATAAACTCTTTGCCTATCTCTAATAAACAGTGAATTATGTAAAATTACAGACCTTGGTGTAGCCTTCTGGATCAACTGTCTTTTATCATCTAATGTACAATTTGCAAGTTTGACAGAAGCATTCATTGAACCATCTGACAACATTTTCAGAGCAGCTGACATGAGAACTAATTTAAACTCTGCAAGCTTCAAAAGGTCATCTCTCTGATCCAAACTGTTAACCTGTTTAAATGAAACATTTGTAGATTTCATTACAGGTAGCAAAAAATAATATACAGTTTTATTCTAACTGACGATATTTTCAATAATAATAAATTAAATAAACCCACTATTAATTCAAAAGACAACTACAATCAACAACATACAATAGAAAACTTTCAAAGAGGAAAGCTTTGCCCTTCTACCATCTTTCTAAAGCAAGCTTACGTAAGTGAGAGATCGAAGTTTATAATAAATTACAAACTTTTAGTCAAAAATCTGGTGGCAAATTTTGTAAGTTTAAACCAAGATGAATATAAATGCATTGACATTGACAAATTTAAGAAACTTTCTCCACCATTTTGTGTGTCCATGTATCCATCTCTACAAGTAACTAATGAATGTGTTTCATTCTCTGCATATTTTTCTTCCCAAACTGTATTTTAAATTAATATAAATTTTCATCAGATTTTTAGTTAGATGATAGAAGATGCCATATATTATGTACTACTGGTTATTCTATTTCTTGTAGTATCTGCCAAAAGTGATTTAGCTAAAATAGCTGTTCTGTCATTTCCATCATATTTGCGATTATTCCTAGAACACACTTTCTCTGTCATAAAATAAGCTATTCTTGTTCAGAATTTCCAGGACTCTATGCAACCTTAAATCTGCTGATTACTCTTTGTAACCAAAATTATACTTACCTGTTTTGAATTCGGACTATACAACACTAAAGTCAGAGAGTCAAATCTGAAGTCCAGTTTTAGTGTTGTTTTTATTTTCATAGGTGAATGCAATTCCACCACAGCTGATGTCACTACAGTTACACCTTTCAGGAATCGGAAAAATGGTTAATATTAAGAAAATTACCAAACTGCAAATAAGGGAAAAAACAAAACAAAACATCCTCACTTATGACCATAAAGACAGCAACTTCCCTTTTTCTCCACATATAAATCCATCCACACTTAGTACGCGTTTATCATGCTCCACGAAACTACTTTCGGCAAAATCACACCATGTTTGAGAATATAAAACACTTCCCTTACATATTCTTAATGAGATTTTTACCATCTTTAAAACACAAATGTACAACTTCCCCTCAATATTGCACAGTACTTTGTGCAAGAGTGTTGCAAAGAATACAAATTTATTTTCATCCTCATTTGTTTATCTGCCACACTGTTGCTGATCTTCATATTTAAAAAGGAATTCAACAAAATATAGTTTTCTTAACTTTACTTGCTTTTCTTTTTAGTGTGTGCTGGACAGTCAATAGGCAGTGACATATATTGAATAGGAACAAATTTCAAGGCTGTCATCATTACAACAGACAAACAGATCTAAATCAGAACAGCAATTAAACTACCATATACGGGAAGGAGAGTAAAATGGAAGTTTTCTGAAGTTGGGATGTTAACAAATGTAGTCGACAGACTTTTAAATGCTGCCTTGCATTATGGCTAGGAAAACAGGACCCTTACATTGCATGTCATGCTCCAAAACTCACTGCAGTGGCTCAGTTGCTCCTATTCATTATTATTACTGTCAGATACAGATCAAACCACAATGTCAAGATTACAGGTCCACTGGCAGTCAACCAACCTCACCAGCCAAGGAGGAACTAGTAACAGCAACAAGGACAGCAGCAGCAGTGGCTACAGTTGCAGGGCAAAATACCTCTAAGAGCCTGGCAGGGGTTTCCCAGAGTGAGGGAAACCCAAGAAATAGGAGAGACTTGGCAGGGTCCAGTAGCTCTCCCTATGAGAAGCCTTCAACCTGAGGGCCTTGCCAGAGCAACTGAGGGAGATTTAAACGACTCTAGCAAGTATGAGCAACTTGGAGCACACTGAAAAGGTGGGCAAACAGGACATGGCACAATAGAAGGATGTGGCACAGCTGCAGCAGTTCCCATGGGCAGGGCATGTATGACAGCAGAGTGACACCCCAGCTCCTGAGGAGAGCTCCTGTGGCTTTCACCTACCCCATGAGAACAGACAAAACAGTGATCTCCATAAATCCAAAAGCCATTGCTAGAAGGAGCACAGCAACCCAGACTGAGCTTCCTCAGAAGCATGCACCCGTTCAGGTCTGCAGCTGCAGGGAGTGTTTGAGCTTGGCATTAGCACCAGAGGGCACAAGAGACTACACTTGTGTGCAGTGGGACCAGGTGGATGACCGGCTGAGCCTGGTGGCTCTAAAGAGGAAGTGGAGAGCCTGAAGAGTATCAGGGGATCTGATAGAAAAATAGATAGACTGGTGAAAACTCCTGAGAGAAATGCAGGAGGTGGAAGCTCAGCACAAGTCAGAGGAACTCAAACACACTTGTCATCAGACAGAAGGAAGAGATCTAAAGGACGAGGAAACAGGTCCCTGCTGGGGGCAGCAGGAGAATCATATCCCTTGCCTTCACAGGCAACCTTAGAAAATAGGTATGAGGCTCCAGAACCTGAGCGTGAAGCAAATGATAATAAACATGAATGTCTACCTGGGGGATTGCCCAGAGTGGGTCAGTCAACCAAATGCATCACAATTTCAGATTAAGTAAGAGAGAAAGAAAAGTAATTGTTGCAACTCTCTTCTGAGAGGAACTGAGGGCCCTGTATGCCAGCTGGATCCCACAGGGAAGTCTGCTGCCTTCTTGGGGCTCAGGTAAGAAGTACTACTAAGAGTAGTACTAGGAGAACTACTACATGAAGTAGTAGTACTACTAGGAGCCGAGATCTGGAATACAAGTTATGTTTTCTTCAGTCTTGTCAAGAAAATCATGCACCAACCAGGGTCCTCCTGTCTCAAAGGGGAAAAAGGATTTCAGCTTAGGAGTTAGCAGGGCTTGTTGTGAGAGCTTTAAATTAGATTTGAAGGGGAACAAAGACAGAGCCAGGCTTGATGAGATAAGGTGTAGGAAGGAGAGAACTACAGTGACCACCCAAGCAGCAAAAGGAGGCTTAAGATGGAATACATTCAGTGAGTACAAGCATTCCAAAATGTAGCCACAAGATAGACTGAGGGGAACCCTTTGCACAATCAAATACTTCTATAATGTGCCTGCACACCAATGCACACCGTATGGAAAACAATCAGGAGAAACAAGAAATGTGTGTGCAGTCAAAGGACTCTGACCTAATTGCAATTACAGAGATGTGATGGGATAGCTCACATGACTGGAACATTGCCACGAAGCTATATTCTGTTTAGGAGAAAGATTCTATGTGAGGAAACACCTGGAATGTATCAAGCTCTGTCTTGCAGTGGATGATGAGCAAATCCAAATCTTATTGGTCAGGATAAAAGGGCAGACCAGTAGGGATGTCTCTGTTGTGGGTGATTGCTGCAGGCCACCCAAGGAGAAGAAGGAAGCGGATGAGGCCTTCAACATGCAGCACAAAGCTGCCTCAGAAACAACAACACTGGTTCTTGTGGAGAACTTTAACTACCCTGACATCTGCTGCAGAACCATCACTGTGAAACATGAACAACCCAGCAGGTTCCTGAAAAGCACTGATCACAGCTTCCTGTCACAGATCATGGAGGATCCCACAAGGAATGCTGTAGCTGCTTGACCTCACACTAACAAGCAGGGAAGGTCTTGTGGGAGATGTGAAGTTTGAGGGCAGCCTTGGCAGGGTAGTGATCAGGAGACCATAGAGTTCCCTACTGGGTGAGGAGTGAACAATGCAGCAATTAAGACTGTAACAATGAACTTCAAGATAGAGAACTTTAGCCACTTCAGGGAATTCTCTTGAAAGAATCCATGGGAACAGGGGGAAGAGGAGTTGACGTTCAAGGATCACTTCCTCCAGGCTCAGAAACTGGCATCCCAATGCACGCCAGTGAGCAAGTAATCAGGCAAAGGGGCAAGAGACTTCCATGGAGGAATAAAGAGCTTCTGTCACCTCTCGCACACAAGCAGGTGTGAGAGGTGCCTCTGGGATGACTCTGCTTGAGCAGGTAGGTTGGACCAGACGACCCACTATGGTCTTTTCCAACATGACCCATTCTGCGACTCTGCAAGATCCTCTAGATTGATTCAGCTCCCTGATTATTGCCCACTTCTCCTTCTACAGGTTGGCAATGATGACATTGAGGAAAAAAGTCCTACGGCAATTAGAAAGGACTTCAGGATGAATGGTTAAAGGCACAGAAGCATAAGGTGGCGTTTTCCTTGATCCATCAGTAGCAGGGAAAAGCACTGAAATAAACAGGAGAACCCACCTGACAAACACATTGCTTTGAAGGCTGGTGACATTATTGGAATTTTCTTTTTGTGACCATGAGACAATTGATGTAATACCAGTACTGATGGGAAGAGATGAGGCTCATCTGTCTCAAAGGGGTAAAAGGATTCTTGCACGTGAGTTGGCAGGACTGATTAAGAGGGCTTTAACCTAGATTGGCAGGGGGGTGGGAATAAGACCAGGCTTACTTAAGATGAGCCTAGGGGTGGGAAGCCAGGGTTAGGTGTAAAATCCATAGTCCAGCTGAAGTGCAACTGTGCCAATGCACATAGTATGGGTAACAAACAGCTGGAGGCCACTGTGCAGCAGGAAAGCAATGACAGAAATGTGGTGGGATGACCAGAGTGATGCACTGAATGGCTACAAACTCTTCGGAAGGAGAGGTGGTGGGGTGGCTCTGTACATTAGGAAGTACATTTGACTTTACAGAGCTCAAGGATAGTGATGGGAGGGTGCCTATGGGTGACAATCAGGGGGAAGGCTGAAAAGGCAGATATCCTGGAGGGAGTCTGCTATAGACCACCCAACCAGGAGGAGGAGGTGGATGAACTATTCTATGATTAGATGGCTGATGTTTCATGATTGTCATGAAATCCTGTGAAATTTTAACCTCTCAGATGTCTTCTGGAAATGTTACACAGCAGAGAGAAGGCAGTCTATGAGATTCCTTGAGTATCTGAAGATAACTTCCCAACACGGCTGGGAAGCAAGCTCACCAGGACAGATGCCCTGCTGGATCTACTGCTTACAAACAGAGAAGGGCTGGTGGGAGATGCCATGGTTGGAGCAATCTTGAGCACAGCGACCATGACACATGGATTTTTAATACTCTGGGGTGTCAACAAAATCTTGGATTTCTGGAAGGTAGACTTTGTCCTGTTCAGGCCACTGGTTCAGACAGTTCCTTGGCAATAAGCCCTTAAAACCAAAGGGGTCCAAGAAGTCTAGATGTAGCTTAAGAAGGAAATCTTACAGGCACAGGACCAGACTGTCTCTATCTGCTGGCTTGGCTGAATAGGGAGGACTTCAGGGGGAAAAAATCAGAGTTTATGACCTTTGGAAGAAGGAGAAGGCAACCAGAAGAAGAGTACAAGAATGCTGTTAAATCACATAAGAGAGGAAATAAACAATCAATTTGGCCACTGCTGTGAATGAAAATAAGAAGTGTGTTTAAAAATACATTAACACCAAAGAGCAGGCAAAGGAATAATCTCCACCCTTTATTGGATGTGGACGGTATACTGCTGCTAAGGACGACTGGAGGAAAAGGCTGAGGTACTTCATGCCTTCTTTAACTGAGTCTTTAAGAGCGAAAATTATTATCCTCTGGGCAACTGGCCATCTGAGCTGGTAGACAGGCTCAGAGAGCAGAAGAGACCTGCTGCAATCCATGAGGAAGTAATTAGTGACTGCTGTGCCACTTAGACACTCATAAGTCTGTGGGGCCAGACAGGATTCAACCTGGTGAATGACAGAGCTGGCAGAGGAGCTTACCAAGTCACTCTTCATCACTTATCATCAGTCCTGGTTAATTGGAGAGGTCCCAGATGACTGGAGGCTGGCCAATGTGATGCCCATCTACAAAAGAAAGATCCAGGGAACTACAAGCCTGGCAGCCTAGCCTCAGTGCTGGGGAAAGTTAAGGAGCAGATCATCTTGAGTGCGATAACATAGCACAAACTGGACAATTAAGGGATCAGGTCCAGCCAGAATGGTTTCATAATGGGTTTAGGAAAGGCAGGTCCCGCTTGATCTCCTTTTTTGGCCAGATGACTCATCAAGAGAAAGAGAGAAAGGCCACAGATGTTGGCTACCTGTACATTAGGGAAGTCTTCGATACTTTCTCCCACAGAATTATCCTGGAGAAACTAGTAGTCCAGGGCTTGGACAGGTACACTCTTTGCTGGGTTAAAAACTAGCTGGACGGCTGGACCTAGAGAGTGGTGGTGAATGGAATTATATCCAGTTGGCAGATAGTTACCAGTGGTGCTCTCTGGAGCTCAATGTGGGACCAGTTCTGTATAACTTCACCAAGGATCTGCATAAGGAGATCAAGTGCCCCTCAGTCAGTTCACAGATAACACCAAGTTGGCAGGAATGTTGATATGTTGGAGGGTTGGAAGATTCTGCAGAGGGGTCTGGTCAGACTGGATAATGGGCTGAGGCCAGTAGCATTAAGTCAAACAAGGTGAAGTGCCAAACTCTGCACTTGGATCACAACAAACCCAGGCAGTGCTACAGGCTGAGGACAGAGTAGCTGAAAAGCTGCTCGGGGGAAAAGGACCTGAGAGTGCTAGTCAGTAGGGGCTGAATATGAGCCAGCTGTGCCCAGGTGGCCAATGTCATCCTGGCCTGTATCAGCAGTAGTGCAGCCCCCAGGACCAGTACAGTGATTGTCCTCGCCCTGTACTCAGCCAGTACTCAAAGTAAGTCCATACTTCAAATCCTGTTTCCCGTTCTGGGTCCCTCACAAAACAAGGACACTGAGGTTCTGAAATATGTCCAGAGAAGGGCAATGAAACCACTGAATAGTCTGGAACATAAGTTATATGAGCAGTGGCAGAAGCAGCTGGAGATGTTCAGGCTAGAGAACAGGAAGCTCAGAGGGGCCCTATTGCTCCCCACAACTACCTGAAAGGAGGTTGTAGCAAGATGGAGGGCTGGTCTCTTTTCACAGAGAGCTAGTGACTCACAGGGAACGACGATACAGCCTCAAGCTGAGACACGGGAGGTTCAGGCTGAATGTCAGGAAGGATTTCTGCTCAGGAAGGTGGTGGAGTCACCAAGAAGACCTAGAAGTGGCACTAAGTGCTGTGGTTTAGTTTACATGGTGGTGTTGGGTCAAAGGCTGCATTTCATAATCTTGGAAGTCTTTTGCAACCTTAATTATTCTGTGATTCCACAATATTGGTATACACAAATGAGTCTGGCATCCATTTTTAAACGCAATTCCAACAGAAGCCATACATTGATAATAATACCTAAAAAAGCCAGATGATATAATTTTAGAAGCTATTACCTGCAGAGTGCTGAGAAGTACCATGCATTTCACTAGAATGACTAGTTGATGCTTTTGATTCTGGCAAAGCTGTTGATGCACCCGAGCCTTCACCTGCATTTTCATTTAGTGTCCTCAGTATTGTGGTAATATCCTCCTGACTAAGAATGAGCTTTAAAAAAGATTGGAACGGAAATCAGAACAATTCTGTTCATGTAACTTTCAGTAAGTAAAATCTAAGCTTACAAATAAACAGATAAGTTAATCTCATCTGAGTCTCTGTTCAGGATGCTGAACATTTTTCTCAAGTTCACACAATTCCTTACTGTAATTTCTAGAAATCAGAGGTCAGTCACACATTATTTTGTTTTTATCCACAAACTTTCACCACCAAGTTACAATTTAGAAACTGGAATGTCAGAATACATACACATGCACAGTTGGACTTACAGCTGACCAAAATTTTTATCAGCATTTAGTCACAAGGCACTTTAAAGTAATAGCTACTTTGCAGTAATACTTACAAGCTCTATTTCAAAATCTGGCAAACTGGTTTTCCTCACATACTTCACAACCTTTATATTTTTAATGTTAAATTTAAATTATGTTATGTTTAAATTTCAATTTACGTTAAATTTCTTTTTTTATGTTACATTTAAATTACCCTAGGATGAATCCCATCTGGCCCCATAGATCTGTGTCTACATGGCACAGCATTCAGGCTTGTCATAGGTACAAATTCAGCACTGCTATTGAACAAACCAATAAACCCCAACTTTTCCAATCTTTCATTGAATGACATTGACAGATAAAAAGCTAGAATAGAATAAGCATTTTATACTAGCAACAGTAATTCACAGTACAAAGTCTGTCTGGATTATCACAAATGAAATGCAGTGCTTAAATTAGAACAGAAATATATTAATTTCCTTTTCCCCTATGAAACAACAAAATCTGTTCTACCTCTATGTCTTGAAATTAAACAATACCTAAACTACTGAGCCTGGACTTTTATAGAGAAAAATGAATCTGTTTTCCACAAATATTTTAACAGTTGCTTTCAGAAAAAAACTGCTTACGTTCATAGGCTTGAGTCGGCCAGATATTTCAATATCAGGAACTTCATTATACCACGCAGCAGCTAAATTTCGTTCAACAGCTACTTCCAGACTGACTGGCTGCAGCAGCTGTACTTCAGTTTGCAAAGAATCTTGCTCATAGTAAGATCTGTGAAAAGAAGCAAAATACTCGCAGCTTTCACATATTGCACATGCTTTAAAAAAATAGATTTCTGTCTTTTTCTCGTCTTTTTAAATAATGCTATAAAACTGCCTTTATACTATTCCAAGTAGCTCTAGTTGAAGCTTTACTCCACCAAGTAGATCTCCTTCCTTTGTAGGGAAGACATATCAGGCACGTATCAGGCATGCAACACACAAACATGTTGAAAGTCAGGACCTCCTACCTGCCCTCCAGTGAAGAGCAATTCCTTCCTTCTTCAGTACCCTTCAACTGTCTTTGAAAAGCCCCTTCCACTCCCTCTCTGCCCATGAGCCCCCTGCACTAAGGGCCATTTTCAAATAGTTCTTTATGGCTATCAAACCACATACCTTTGCTGCTATGCATAGCTTGAAAATCTCATCAAAACAGTCTAATACAAATACATATAGTCTGTCCTAAAATAATGAACAATGCATAAATTTATAGTACTATTATACTACACAATTTACCCTGAACAAACATTTTCTTCTATTTAAAGATATGCAGACTGCTCGTTTTCCTAAACCATACATTTTCTTTGCTTTAAAAAAATATTAGTTTGCTGTTATATTCCAAGATAATAGTCTGCCAATCACCAATCATTACCTAATTATTTAACTAGTCTTTGAAGCTAACTGAAGAATTCCAAACGGAATAAATGAATTTTAAAATTATTGATACTACATTACCTGTATAACTTCAGTTCACTCAATTTCACCGTCATAGAGTCAATAACAGGTGGGACACTGCATCGTGTTTTTGTTTTAGCAATAAAGAATTGGTTCTTCACCGTGATTAGACCAAGATCAGCCACCAGGACATTTGCAGACATTGCTGACTGTGGAATTATCACAACAGGTGCTTTGATATTGATATCTAGTGCCAAACGGGAACTACGCTCTGCTAAACCTTTTACACCTGTAGCTGCTTTCTCAGCTGTTCGAACAGTTGCTTCAGTAAGAGCTTCCTTGGCAGCTTGAAAATTATTTATAAAAGCCTAGGAAAGGAATAGAGATCTCAGGAATTAATTATTAAGAATCACAGTACTTCAAAAACACTAAGAACCACAGTTACTTAAATATCGAGCCATCTGAAGATGTTATTTTTGCTACACATTTTATTCAAATTCTTTAATAAGATAATCTTCCCTCAAATACGATAAATTATGCATATATAAATATAAATTCTACACTAAATATTTGGAAAATTAGATGGTAAGAGAAATGACCTTGTAATATGACTTGTAATCATATGAACAGCAAAAGATTTATTTACTTAGCAGAATTTATGGAAAGGGCATGATTTTCATTGTTTCTTATTTATATTTCAGTGTTATAAATAATGAATGGTATGTATGTTCAACAGCTGTCACAAATCATCTAAGAAAAACATTACCGTTAACAATGGTAAACCTTTTTGCTTACTCATCTGCTCCACAGTAACAAACAAGAAAAATAAACATCCCAAGCATCAATCCCAGGAAAAAGTTTTTACAACAGTATGTAAGAGCCCTCACACAAAGAGATACAACCCCATATAGAACACTCTTTCTTGCTCTGACAACTTCTCTTGGATACTAAGAAACAGTATCAGGAAAATTTAACTTACCAAAATAGATGAAACAAACTTGTTGACAAAAACTACTTGAATACACCCAACAGTTAGATAAATACGATTGTCAACAACATCCATATTTGTATACGCAGTGCCATCTGTAGCATTCACATATGATACCATTCTGAAGTTGAAGACTTCTTTTCCTGTGATGTAAAGAGCCTTAACAAGAAAAAAAAATAATATCTCTACTGTAAAAACTTACATACTGGAGAAACTTAACTTCAAAACAAAATATAGTACCTCACAGCATTAAGATATTTTTAGCTCAAGTGTCTGAACAATACATGAAAAAAACCCTGAATTTAAAAAATCCATTGAAATAGCTGAAAATATTCAGTTTACATCTCAGCTTGAATAATTTTCTTCACTAAATCAGCATAGTAAGATTCACAATGAGCAGCTGAAAATATCACAGTTGCACTAATTAATTTCAGTGTAATAATTACTGGTTGTGGGAGCAAAATCCATCTGTCACATAGAGAATGCTACTACCAACAAATACATCAAACATAACTGAAAAAAGTCACAGTAGAGAGTAGAGTCTTAAAAGTTTAACTTAGCATCCATTAAAAAAAAAAAATCAACAATACATGCATATACCTACCTTTTTATACAATGCTGTCTCATCAGAATCCACAATAATGATGTTCTTCAATTTTGCAGTCATATCAGTTGCTGCTTTCTTCATAATCACTTGGCTATCCAGACCTCAAAAACAAGGCACACGAAGTCTATACACCATTATAGTTACAAAGTTTTATACTTTTGTGATTAAAGTTTTGTTCCTACCTTCAATGTGAATTTCAGCTATCCTGTGGTTTTTCTCTCTGATAAAAATACTCAAACATGATAAATCTGCACAGATAATGAGGTCAATAACATCTTCATACTTTGATTTTTTTGATGCTACAGGAAATAAAAAATAACAAAAGTTAATTTTCTTCAACGAGGACATGTTTTGGTATCCCTCTGAACTGCAAAACAAGCAAGAGCTTAATGCTCCTCAAGTATAAGATAGTCACCACAAGGCCATCAATTTCCTTATTTCATACCAGGAAAAGAAAACAATAAAAACCTGACAATGGTTTATGGGTTTTCTATTTACATTGACTTATTGCGTCCAATACATAGCAAAGGTACGCCTTGACCTATGTCAGAAAACTATACGTGGCTAAGGATACAACCCTACAAATACAAATAATTCTAAGCAAAATTTCTCATATCAAACATCATTGACAAGTTTGCAAAGATAGAAAATACATTTGTTTTATTCTTTACTTAAGTGAAGAGAGAGGAATGAAAAGAGGAAAAAATAATTAAGAAACTTACTTAATTTTTTAAGAACATCCTTTTTCTCCTCTGGTTTTTCATGGACCGGTTCTTCTGCAACTTTAGTTTCTTGTTTAGGTAGAAGATTATTCAGATAGTTCATAGCATTCAGCAGAGCTTCAGTATGCAAATGAACATCTAGAGAAGAAAAGTTCACCTAAAAGAAAAATTTTTGTTTATCCATATGCCTCTCCTCCCAGACCGAGAAAATTATGTTAAAAAAAGATATCATACCTTTATTTTCTGTAGAACATTTTGATAGACAGTTTTCAGTTCTGGTCCTTTAATATCAGTCTATTTCAGCAAAAGTGCACATAAAACAAACAAATCAGAAGTTTGTAAATTCCATTTACGAAAAGTTATTTTCAAAACCACCACAACTTAAGATGTCAAAGATATTCTGTTGAAGGAGCAGACAGACTTTGCACATGACACTCAAGACATTAAAAACATCAGTAAATAACAACATCTGCGGCGTATTAATATGATTACAGTTCAAAAGCAAAGTCTACTCTTTTCTAACCTTTATATACTCCAGAGTGAGAAGATCATCTTCTACATTATCCAATGTAGTAACTATGTAAACTGGCTTGCCATTATCATCTAAAACAACAACAAAAAAAAGAAAATAAAAAAGAACACAGAAATTTACTTTTTTTTAAAGAAAAATATTTAAACCTTCTTAATCTATAAACTGCCAACTAGCTGTCATTACTGTTTAATCTCAAAACCTCTTTTGCAGATGTAAAATAATTAAACGTCTCTCAACAATCATCAGCACCAGAATGTATTTACCAAAGCACTTAATAAGAGGATGAGCTCCTGATTTACTTTCCCTCAGTCCTGCATTTAACTTGGGAAGCAAATCTTCCTTATTTGACAAAAGCCCTACAGAGTTTTTCAAGACAAATTCACAGTGTTATCTGTGCATAATTCCTTGACCAGATTATAAATACTTACCAATATACTCTGGGCACAGAAGACCAACTTCACGAAGGAAAGCATTCCCAGTCATGTCAAATGTTCTCATTTTAAGTTCAGTGCCTAAGCCCAAAATACCAAGCTGGAGCACAGGCATCTCAGTATCACCAGTAAGACGGCATAATTTAATTAAGACCTAAAAAAAAAGAACCAGAACACACATCCAAAAACAGTAAAGGATTATAGGAAGTATAATTTCTTCATTTTTATACAGAATATAATATATTCACTTACATTTTATTGGTTAATGTCTATTTGTGTATTGATAATTTAACTTTATACAGTAAATGCCTTGGAAAAAAATAAACAATTCAACAATTAGTACTGGTTGCTGTTACCATAACAAAAATTTCAAACATGCATGTGTGTAATACCGAAGTTACACAAACTAATTTTTTTTAAATTCTGTACAGCACTCAGCAATATTCAATACAGTCAAAACTAGATTTTCAGTCAGCATTATTTACTACTTTCACTGGAATTGCTCTGAATTTTCCTGCTAAGAGTTAGAGTCCCAATCTGAATGTCTGGAAAGAGGATTTACTACATTTTCACCAATGCATGACAATACTATTGTTAAATAAATAAGTAGCTGAGCTGTTGTATCCAACTTTGACAACCAAACAAATACATGTATTCTTCCTTGCCATGTAATGCTGTCTACAAATAAGGAAAATCAAAAGAGAACCCAGTAAGTAATCTTAAACTATGAGGACAACAGAGGTGATTTCTAATAGATTCCCAATTTATTTTTTTCTTAAAGATTGCAAGTTAGTTGTCATTAGAAAATAATGTGAACACAGCATCCTCCTTTTTCGACTAATAGTTCTAAATAAGGTCTTGTCATCACACAAATAGTACATTTCAGTTTTATTTGTAGTAAAGGTGTAGTATATAGCACGCTACAAGCTAACTGTGGTGTGTTGAAGACATTCTGTAAGCCCTACCATAAAACAAAATTTGTGAAGTTAAATAAATTTGTATGATTTATTTTTAAAATAAACGTAAAAGTAAAATATAATTTTTTGTATTGCAGAAGTAACAGTGTCATAAACATGATGGTGTAATGACAAAGTTAACGATAGTGTTAAGAGGTCACCTCTTTTACTGGGACTGATACAGTTAGCAAGTGTTCTTGTATTTGAATAAAATACTCTTTTCTCCCCTCACAAGCTTGAAACATCAAGAACACAGAAAACTCTTACAACAAAGATGTTACAGATTTATATGTCTGGGCAACAGTATCTGGGAAGAACTAGAACCGAAAAATAAGGTGCCTGTTACAATATAAAACATTAATGAAGTTTCCCCATTGACCACATTAGTAACTGGAAAAAAAGATGCCACAAGAACATATTTAGCTAAAACAAATATGTAAAGTAATTTCTGAGACATAGGTAAAGAAAATTCAGTGACAAAGTGAGTTGGGAAATCAAGTGGATAAATCAAAGCATTTCAGTGATGACAAGGATACAGAGGTACAACTACGACTTGGAAAAAACACTGAGTAGTTCCAGGGAAAAATGGAGAACGAATACCTCTGCAGATATGGATTTATAAACACAACAAACGTGGAAAAAATTAAAGTTCTGATGTGCTTCAGGGAAATTTTAAAAATAATTTTACCTCAGCTACTTCAAACTTCAGCTGGAAATCTGTCATATTTTTCAAAGATTCTTGTTTGTGTAGGGTTTTTCGCCTTGTACTGACAGCCTGCTTGACGGAATCACTTGGGACTTCAAAAAATGGCACATCTTCCACAGGACTGCTTAGTGCATCATAAAATTCTTCCTCTGATTCTACAGATTAAATCATAATAACATTACATATGTAGCCAATTTACACAGCCAGTATTTTATAGTACTATGACATACAGTTTTTACATCTACATCTATAAAAGCTTAAATGTGCAACTATCTAGCTGACAACTAACAACCAATAAAATCTGTTTCCGAACCACCTCAACTCCTGCCTCCACCAGCTTTATACCTCACATACAGCTGCCTCCATCACATCATCATAAACTTCAGATCTCATTAGCTAATTCCTTCATTAGCATTCTCTTACTTCTGGCTTTGCAAAAGACAGCACAAATGAAGCTTTGTCTTGCCTTTGGACCTAACAGCTTAACTTGCCTGCTGATCAGACTGCTGTTGACAGTACAGGATATTGACACTGGTCTCAATAACAGGCACACTACTTGGGATTTCTCCCTGCTGCCTCCCATTTCAGAAAGACAACTATCAACTATTAAGCTTTTAATCTACTTTACATTAGTGCAAAAATATAACCAAGATAAATAGATTGCAATGTCTTTTGAAGGTCTTCTCCTTCACCTAAAAAGTATAAACACTGAAGTATAAGGTACCTGTGGAAGAAATATCCTAAAAAAACTCAACAAATCACATGAAGTATTTTTTCAAGTTTAAAAGCAGCCCTGAGTTTTTGGAGGGTGAAGACAGAGAATTAAAATAAATCACTTAAAAGGACTATATAACTGTATGTATAGTATGGATTAAAAATCAGATTTGATTCAAATCCAAATCCAGCTATTACTTTCTCAAATTACTTGTTGCCAGAATGCATTTTCACTTCAGCCTAATTTTTAAGAACTGAAGGACATTTCCACTCTACCTTTGGACACTTAAAGGAACCCCTATAAAAACAGATGAAGATGCACAAACACGTATTTTAACACATACTGCATACACGCAGAATTTAAAGCTATAAAGTAGACATAAATAACTTTGCTGATAATTTTGCCAGTGTTTGCTAACCACACAAATTATTAACTGGAGAAAGGAGTAGTAGTCTCGTTTTCTGTTTCTCCAGTTAAGTGTTTTGGCAACACAAACATGACTGACACTGAAATAACACTGATATATTTGATTATTTTTCTAATGCAGCTACTAGATGATATGTTAGGATTTAGCTAAGCTGTTTTGAACAGCTAGGCAGTATTGAACACAACTGGCTCTCCCGCAGCCAATCTTCTCCTTTATCCAGTAGAAGTTAAAATGTTTGCTTATAAAAACAGCAGTTTCTAACAGTCATCATTTCAGTACTCGTAATTTAAGTAAATCCACCTAAATAGAAGAGAAATCTTTCACCATAAGAAAATAATTAAAACCAGAGGACTATGTACACACTAAAGCTAAAAGTTTCCCACTATTTCAGATGCCTTGACAAAAATAAACCCACCATACCAAACAAAATTTTCCTGCTATGCCCTCAGGAAGGGAATGACAAAAAACAGCATACAGAATTTTATTGCTATGAGAAAATACTCAAGTAGTTTGTGCAGTAACAATTATAAACTAAACAGAATATAACACTATTCAGCACTCAAGAACTTGAAACAAAGCTTCATATCCTTGCTTACAGCAAGAATACTAAATTAATTCAAAGAACTCAAAAACTTGACTCACTTCTTAAGCAAGACTTTAAAATAGATTATATTACCTGACTCGGCCAATGAGTGAAGATCCAGAACAGGATACACGCCTTGAGATACATGTGGTGCTGAAAGCATAGGGGACAGTACAGCCTGAAACAGGAGACAATAAAATTTTTACTTATTTTTATTGATCATGCTACTGCATGCATATATGCTGCATCCAAGTTTTACAATTTAGGGAAACTTAGCTTAAGTGCAAATCAATAAAGTTACACACTTACATTACTAAAACTATATGAATGGGGAGAAATTAGGCCTAAAATAGGCAGAAGCGACAGCTATTGCACGTGCATCTAACTAGAAACAACATACTAGGAAACACAGTGAAGAGGTTCAAACATTCAACTTCATAGTTCAAAAGATGGTCAGAATTGGCACATTATATAAAAAAATCATAAAAGACAAAACCTAGTGCCTCAAAGGACAACAACACAGCAACTTCAGAGAATAAGAAAGATCAATGGCTCTTTACAAAAATAACAAGTGCCAGGTGGGTAAAAAATAAAAAAGAGATACACAAAACATTAGAGGAGAGAGGATTGCTTTGTATTTCATAGAATGATAGAAGCGTTTAAGTTAGAAAAGACCCTTTAGATCACCAAGTCCAACTGTAAACCTACCACTGCCAGAGATATGATTTAGTGGTGAAATTAAATGCCACATCTACAAGTTTTTTATATAGCTGCAGTGATGGTGACTCCCCCACTGGGCAACCTCCTCCAATGCTTGACAATCACTTTGGTGAAAGAATTTACCTAATATCCCATCTAAACCTCCTCTGAAGCAATCTGAGGCCATTTACTCTCATCCTGGCACTTTTTTTTTTGGGGGGGGGAGAAAAGACCCACACCTCAGTCTTTCTTGCAGTGAGAAGCCCAAAACTAAGCACAGGATTCAAGGTATGTCCCCACCACTGCCTAAGACAGAGGGACAATCACTGCCTTGGTCCTAGTGGTCACAATATTGGTGATGCAGGCCAGGATGCCCTTGGCTGCCTTGGCCACCAGTGCACACATTGGCTCATGTTCAGCTGCCTGTTAATCAGCACCTCCACTTCCTTTTCTGCTGGACAGCTTTCCAGCCACTCTGTCCCTCTGGAGCACTGCTTGGGGTTGTGACACCAGTGTGGGACCTGGCAATTCACCTTATTGAATAGCACTGCTTCAGACTTTAGGAAAAAAAAAACAACTAGTAAAGTACTAAGAGGAGACCTCAAAGTATTTCTCATCTTTTTCACAAGAGGAAGCAGAGGGTAGACATTGATCTCTTCTCTCTGGTAACCAGTGACAGGACTCAAGGGAACAGCATGAAGGGGTGTCAGGGAGGCTTACAGTAGGAAAAGGTCCTTTCCCAAGAATGTATTTGAGCACTGAACAGCTCCCAAGGGGAGTGGACACAGCACCAGCCCAAGAGAGTTCAAGAAGTGTTTAGACAATGCTCTCGGGTATATGATATGACTTGTATCGATGGTCCTGTGCAGGGCTAGGAGTTGGACTTTGATGATCCTTGTGGGTCCTTTCCAGGTCAGGATAATCTATGATTCTGAGTCTTCTACTGTGAAATGCAGTTATGCACAATGCAGAGTAGTAACTGAAAATATGTGAGATGCCACTAGAGCACACTCTAGAACACGAATCCTCCACTCCACATGGCTTCATACATGACAAATTAAATTCTCTTAGTCTCAGAAAGCAATCTCAGTAATCTGAGTTTGTAAAGAATTCTCACCTGCAAGTTCCAAATGCACGTGTATTATATATGTGCCTCGCACAGAGTATCAAAGTAAGAGGAAAACGGTGCAGTGTGCCTTTTCTTCTTGAGTGCCTTTGGCTCTGGACTGCACAGCCGACAGCAGTTCTTCCCCGGCACCACCACACCTTCCTCCCACCCCTGTTACTGCACCTTTCATAGCTCAGGCTCAGACAACTATTCACAAAAGTCACAGTATCAAATCTATACATTTTGGCAACAAGAAACACTCATCTTGAACATTGTTTCCAAGGCTACATTTTTCATCTCACTCCCAACATTCCCACATCTCTCTTGGTCTCCAGTTTATGTAATCTGACTTTACTGAATGCATTCATGTCTACAAGTAATAAATAGACAAAGTATTTAAGAGTCTTGTAACTGTGAAAGTGTCTCATCTATAACACTTCCATGTTTTAAGTAAACAAGGCGAAAAAAACTGTGAAATTTGACCTCATAGTACCAAATAATGAAAAATAGCCTTAAACGCATAAGTGTCTTCTTGGACTAAAATGCTGAGTGCAAAAATGTAGAAGGATCTTTTCCAAAATGTCTTCTATTTTTGCAGATCAAGAACACATCCACACTAACTCAGAACAGAAAGAAGAAAACAGAAGTCTGAAAAAGGATTTCACATCCTTTTCAGTTCAGAAATTATGTGATGCTAACAAAGTTCAGAAGAATTACAGTGGAAAGGACAAAAGCATGGGAGTATACCTGCTACTGCCAAAGCACAAAATCCACTCAAATTAACTGAATTTAACACCAGCAATTGAAGTCTGTTAAGTTCTGAAGTAAATGGAAGCTTGAGCAGGTTTATGCATAAGTTTTCATATGGATTCACATATAATGCAATTATATTTATACTTGGTCCACAGTCCTTCCTCACCTCATCAAGTGTATATCACAACTAATGTACAGGTAATACTATTTACTTCAAGGTCACCTAAAATATTCCAGATGTAACAGTTTAATTCTGTAACTAAATTCAAGTACAGTCAGTGTTACAAAGCACATGACAATCATCTTATACATGCAGATTATATTTATGTAAAAGTAAAGTCCCAATACCTACCCTCAAAAAAAGTTAATCTATGATTAGCTGCACAAAACAACAGAGACTTAGGCGGCTTTTGTTTTTTGCTGGTATACTCTTAGTATATGAGGAGTGAAAGAAGTGAGAATTAGCTAAAATTTTAATGGCACCACTAAAGAGATGGCAAGAACCACACAAAGAAGAACAGTCTTTACTCTCTACATATATTTTCAATAGGTATGCATGTCTAATTTTTGCATTTACTGTAATTAAACATTATGCTAATTTAACCCACAGGAAATACCGAACTGCAGCAATGGCTTTCCAGAACAGTGCAGAATAATTTGCACAAAGATGGAAAGATAGTTATCAAATAATCTAAAAAAACCCCAAATACAAAGATGACCACCAGTCCTGTAGAACCAAGTGTATGTTACTAAATAACCGATTGTTAGAAGTATTTACAAATGACAGAAAAATGGAGACCCAAATTTCATCTTTGACTTTTAAGATTTTACATATATTCTAATAATAGAATATTATATATAATATTTATACATGTATAAAACATAACCAGATCACACAGACTAATGTCCAAAATTAGCAACTGTGAGTTAATTTCCTAATTTAGTTAAGAACAGCTCAAAAGGTGAAATATATTTTTCAATATACTGAATAGTAAGAAGGGGATAAAACTTCGATTCTGAAGAAGGTATAAACCATATTCACCAAGGAAAGGGGGCGATGAAAGATCCTCCTAATCATTACAAGGACTAGGAAGAACTTCTACCCCTGAGCTACATTGTGTAATGGACTTGAAAAGGGAAAAGCACTGAGGTCAGCTGAAAAAAACCTGCCACTTTTGCCAGGCAGCCATTGTTTATAAAATAGATAGTGAGTATTTTCTGTTTGGCTTTTGAAACTCTCATCTAACATATCGTAATACTTGAACTTCAAAAATTCCAGCATTTTAATATTTTCTTCACAACACAAAACAGCTGAACCCAAATTCTACGGCACTATGATACATGTGAGAATTTGAAGATACAGTTAAACTAATCCTCAACAAAACTCAGTATATTTGTTAGTCAAGATAATTATGAACCATGAATTAATTCCCACAGTAGTAAAACTCTGAGGAGTTCTATTTTATATCCAAACACTGGACAGTTATTTCATTATTATTGGCTAAAGTTTACAATAAACTAACTAAATAGCAAGAAAATTTTCTACAGCTTTAGAGAAAGAGCTATTGTTTCAAGAGGCATCAAGTCAATGCTTGTTCATCACTTTCCTGAGCACTTTTCAGAACTGGAATGCTAATATCAAGAAGGCATTTTTCTGATCATTTTTAATGAAATCTCTTTTAAAAACCTTACCTCAGTCATTTTTGGAGGAGAGCTGGTAGCAGGGGCACTTTCTGGCTGAGGAATGCTATCAATCAGCTCCAAGATACTTGTCACCTTCTGGTCTGATATTTGGATAGAAAGTAAAGGCAATCGTCCTGACAGTTTGAACCTGTTTTTTAAAGAACCAAAGTCAAAAGTTCCACAGTTAATAAATCTTAAAATTATTTAAATCAAACTTCACATTATTTTTCTTCCAAAAAACACAGAAGTCTTCCTGGTCAGAAAATTCTTCATCATTCCATTGCATATAGTGTGTGTGTGTATATATATATTTATATATGCAACCCTTCTGTTGCACACAGAAAAGCTACTTGATAGCAAATATCCACTTAGTAGCATAATTTATAGTTCCATTTGCTACAAAGTCTTACGGATTGGGACTACAAATAGTACTAATAACCACTTCTGGTTAGTTACGTAAGGCATATTTTCTTTGCAACTAGAAATTGCTTCCTCATGTTCATGCATTTAATTACTTTCAATAAATCACGTAAGTGAGCTTTTACACAGTTTTTTACAGCAGAGAAGGTGGAGGTGTTTTTTGCACATGAATGTTTAGGGCTCAAAACATCAAAAAAAGAATACAAAATACTTCCTAGAGCTCTTGTATAGTTAAGCAGACTATAGCAGTAGTCTAGATATCTAACAAAGTAATAAACATATAGCAATACAGGGTATAAAATAACCATCTTTAAAAATGAAAACAGTAACACATACTTTAAGTGTATTTGAATAGGATTTGGCAAAAAAAATAGAATCACATCAAACATACTGAATTTTTAAAGACTTAAAACACAACTTAGTTTCTCATACAAGTGAGTGTAACAGATCTAAGCAGAAAATTTGCTCAAGGAACATATTGTTCTTTTATCACAACTTCTTTTTAAAACACATAAAGAGGTCTGTTCAACAGGTAACAGGCAGCATCAGATGCTTAATGCATAGTGTGTTAGGAACAACACAAGCTTGTTGTGTTTGATGAGCTTAACTCACATGTAAGTCTCCAAAGTGACACAAAATATAAGACTGAAGAAGACGTGAGAACAAAATGCTCTATATTGTCAATCCATCTTAGCTAACTTCGATACTTACGAATCTGAAAAAACAGCTTCTGACACTTAAGGAAGCACAAAATTGTACATGTTAAACTGTGACAGTAACTAGTTTTCTTCATTTTATGAATGTCTTTGCATCCTTACAGGATTAATTCTCAACTAGTACTCTTATTCTTAATTTCAATTCTGTCAGAGAGAGATTTAGACTCTTTTTTTTTCCTTTTTGTCCTTTTATTATTACGGAGGGGGTTAAGGTAGATGTGTTTGAAGGACCTCTCTCTCTCTACTGTGGTCCTCAACTGTTGGAGAAGCAATAGCAATTAAATATACAATACCAGTACTCACTTTCATTGCCCTTAAACCTCTCTATAAAAATTTGTGTACGTTTTAAAGACATTTTTGATGAGTGTCTGTACAAAAGACAGCCCATACAGTTAGAAGGAAGGCACTCAGCAGATACAAAGCAGACAACTGCAAATAATCTGGGGTGTCTACACTGCTCTTTAAACAAAAGCTTTTAAGGTTTGGGAAACCTCCGTATAGAGAATCAATTACACTCCGTTTGTAGAGACTGAGGCACAGAGAAGCTAAGTGCTTGAATTGATGAGGAAATCTGTGTAGCAACTTCCTTCAAGTTCGGTCTGGAATGCCACCATCAAAGCTGCAAATAGGTACATTCCTTTGCATTGGAATTTTTATTGTATTTATAATGAATGCTATTATACAGCATTAACATTGCTATCCTAATACCTTCTTCATACACCTTCAAAAACCATATGACAGACTTTCAGACACCTCCTCCAGAAAATGGAGGAACCATATAACTGGATAAAACAAGAATTAAAAAAAATAGAAAACCTTACACAGACTTAAAACTACAGAATCGTATTAGTGTTTCAAATGTCAAGTAACAGAAAGGAACATCCTACTACCAGAAATGAAAGAAATGCAGATATTCATATCCAGAATGAAAGTCCATTTTAAGGATTAGAAAATACGAGTAGATGAAAACACAGATGAACAGTGAAAGTCCTTTGATACAGCAGTCATTAACAAAATTACCTAAATTAGTATTCTCCTCAAGGCAGCAACATAGAAATGTGCCTTTCTAAACAAAGTCAGGACAAAGCCTAGGAAATTCATTACTATTTCGTACAAAATCACAAAGAATTCAAATGAGTTCAATGGTCACTGAAAGACCTACAATCAAAGAATCGAAAAACAGAGACAACCCAATCATCTGCTTCTCAGATGACTGAATGTAAAACAGGGGCCTTCCAAACTAAGAAACTAATTTTTAAAAATCTACTACATTAAACAACAATTCTGATACTAGGTTTTGCTGCAAAACTAATATCTTTCCACTCGTTTTTCTCAACAGAACTACGCTGTTCTATGCAGACAGTTCCAAACATCAATTTTAAAAAACTCTGGGAAAATATGATCCTGGATTTACATGACCTTATACTTACAAAAACTGAAATATGAAGGAAAAGATACATGTACACTAAAAATGCATTTTTATATATATATATATATATATATATATATATATATATATATACTTGATGTGAGCGTAATACTGTATTCAACTATACTAAAATTCACAGTTTAGGGGATTCTTGCTGACACAAAAGCTAAAGTTAACCTTAATCATTTGTGCCCAATGTGATATAGAGAAAAATTACACAGAAATTTTCCAGAATCAGTTTGGACACATTAACTGCCAAAGCACACCTGGTAGCCAAGACAGTTAGACAGGTAGTATTGCAATACTGCAATATCTGTACTCATTGAGAGGAGGTGCTCCTTAATCCAGGTTATGCCTGTGTAATTTTTGAGAGATGTGAATTACAAACCTACCTTGAAATTATGTAATTCTGTTATATGACCATAGAAATGAAATCTCACTTTCTAAGATAGAAAGATACCTGTAAATTGAATTCCCCTTATTTGATCTTCTTCACCAAACAGAAATAAATAAGGAGGAAGTACATTTGGATATTCTGTAAGCATCAAAATTTAGAATCTGGCCTCCCAAGTTTCCAGAAGGTGGCAGCATTACCCCATGCGATCATTCATCATTATTAGTAGTATTTATTATTTTCTTCTGATTAGTACAATGTCCATAACTACCAAGATTTTGCTAAACAACCCTAAGTGCAAACTCAAGACATTATGAGCTGTTTCTTGGAGAAGTGATCCATAGCAAGTAAACTAGCTAGAGCAATTAAGCCAAGTCAAAAGAGAGGGAGTATGAAAACACACCACTTTTCAAAATATTTTTTGGTACTTATAGAATTGATTTTAAATTCAAATTTTTAGCTCGTTGATATTTTCAACGAGAACTGAAATGCAGCTATTAGAAAGGATGAATTAGAAGAGGCAGTAATATTTTCAATAAAAATCTTTAAATATGTTTAACATACTACTATAACATCCTATTGCCTTTTCAGTATCTCAAAACTACTCTTAACTTATTTTCTATTTTTCTAGATAACTGTATTTTACTTCCAATATTTACATATATCCAACTCTAAAGTGCATAGTTATGACTAGATCCTTATTTTTTTCCTCTTTTTCCCCCTCAAAAAAGTCCTTAACCATAAAATGACAAAACTGGGAAAAATACATACCTGGGCATTCTTGCATCTGTAACAACCATAGCCCTGCTAAATTCCAGTTTTACATCCAAGGGCTGCAAGATACACTGAGGTGAATTTTTCAGCTTCCGAGCTTCTCGCCAGTTCTCATCTAGAAGAACAGAGAAAATCTACTTTAGACATTGAAAGATTCCTTCTCACTACACATCACAGAATTCAAATATCTGATATTAATATATATTGCTAAAAATTCAGGTTCCATGATCTCTTTTACAGTTCTATCAACAGATGCATTTATACATGATCTGAACATCAGACATACAAGGCTAATAATTTCTCCTGTTTTCATCCACACAGCTATCCCATCCATGGGGTAGACTTTTAAGAACCCAATTCTGAACAGGCATGGTACTGGGAGTTTAGACTCTGGATTCTCCCCTAGGACCAAAGGATTAATAATTAAATGCTTAAGACCTCTCTGATTATGACTCATGCTATGTTGCTAGTTTCCAAAATACTAAAGTTTCCTTTGATACCTTATTGAAGCAAATTGACTCAGATTCTTGAAGTAGTTTGATTCTCATCATTTTTTTAATCCTCAAAAAAATTATCAAACCTACAACTACTTTGGATTCTGCTTTAAATCTGGAGAAAAGCAAAGGCACTGAAGGAAAATATCATGAACAAAGTAATTACAGTCTCACATTTATTATGCAACAAATCAGATATCTTCAACAAAAATAATTTTATTATATATTTGTTAAGATTGGAATTAAGTCTTAAAGGTATGTTTTGGAAATTCATGACATGTTCATAGTACTGAATTTAGAACACTTACGTTTGAAGAAATACATTCCAAAAGATTCTCTTTTGCATCAGCTAAAAATATGAGGCACAACAACCACTACATTGTATTTAGTCATACAAAGAAAGATTACTTTCATGAATACTTACCATGTTTGCTGTACAGTAACTGCATACTGCTGAGCTGGACATCAAAACTGTCATAAGCTCTTGACATTATATCTTCAATAGAGGTTTGTCCTACTTTGATTTGTGATAAATCAGAACGACTTTTGCTTGTCATCTTAAAACAGGTAAAAAAACCACAAAATCATAAATCAATTCCAGAAATGCTCAGAAAGCACTAATTCTACAAGAATTTGTTCCTACCACAACAAATTTTTCAGTCCTCACTATAGGTCACAGGGTCTTACAACTATCACAGCACAGTGAATATCTAAAATTCCTAGCCTGCACCAAAACAAAACAGAGTATTAACACCATTTCTTCCTCAAAGAAAGAAACAAAAAGCAAATTAAAATATACTATATACTCTGTACTAAATAATTTTCATTAATAAGTCGCTTATACTCCAAAGCATGAAGTCTCAAACCCTATCAGTAATCATTAAAATAATCATTCAGAATTTTTATATAAAAGTATTACTGTGATAAACAAATCAGACATGTGACCTTTATTTCTGAACCCTGTTGAATTCAGTTGTTAGAGACAGAAAGATTATTTGGACTGTCCTTCATCAATGTCTTTCCTTTAATATCAGTCAATATTCCTTTGATTCAGCTTTGGGACACTCATACTTTTTTGCTATTTCACATTTGTATGTGCCCTCTCTGATGTTCATCTCTGGATTCATATTCAGTTTTGTCAAACCCAGGTAATATTCAAAAGAACATAAAGAGGTTCAAAAACTAGCATCTAAGATTCAGCATTTATTTTTCAGTACTGCTGGACTGTAAGTCCATTGTACCTTTTACATTAAAAATAACTTGGAGATGCAAACTCAGAATTACTAAATTAATAACCCTATTTATCTACTGAGACACAGTTTTAGTTTCACATCCCATTTTTCCTTCTGGGGCTTGATCTTTTCAAATATGCAACTGAGAGAAAAAGACTATTTGTTTTGTGTAAGGCATAGTCATTCAACAAATGACCCACCTCTCACTTAAGCATATGTCACTCAGAACTACTAATCATATCCTGAGAGACAACTGAATTTTCTCTTAGGGTATTTGTAATTTCTATTAAATCAGAGGAATCAATCTAGGAGTCACATTCACTACAAAAATTGCTCATCCAGTTCAGAAAAAGATCTCACAGGCACACTGAAGTGTGATTTTGAAATGTATTCTTCTATGTAATTCTTCCAAGAGTAATCTTGTACGGGTGGAAAAGGGAGTGAACTATTAGATCTACGATTAGATACAGGAGACTGTCTCAAGCACATAAACAACTATGAAGTGCCAACTCTACAAACTGCCTACAAATGATCAACATGCAGAAGAGATGGAAGAATTATTCGTCACTGAAATAACGTGAATTTGCAACCAAATCACATAATTTTTAGTATCTACAGGGCAATTTTAACTAATTCTACTTTCTGAAGCAATACAACTCATTCTTTTCAAACATGACCTATTGCACGCACCTGCACTTGCACTGGGGCAGCCCCTGTTACTAAAGCATGGTACCACCACAACTGATGTACCTGATCAGAGCTCTGGTGTGTACATGCTGCCACCCAGGTGCGAGGCTGCAGGATGCGCCCGACTCTAATGCAAACACAACAGCAGAAGTGAGCACACCTGTAGGAGGTGTGCCCAGGTAGAGAATCCCTTTGCTTAGCGACACAGCTCAGGGAGGAGGGCAGCAAGTCGAGCTGATTGACAGCCATCTGAATGTGTGGCAGTGCCCAGGTGGCCAGAAGCAATAGCGTGGCCAGCAGAACAATGGAAGGGATTGTCCCCCTGTACTTGGCACTGGTGAGGTGGCACCTTGAATACTACACTTTATTTGGGGCTCCTCACAGCAACAAAGACACTAGGGTGCTGGAATATGTTCAGAGAAGGGCAGCAGAGCTACGGAGGAATGTGGAATACAAATCCTGTGAGGAGTAGCCAAGAGAGTTGGAGTTCTTTAGTCTGGACTAAACAAGGCAGAGTGTGGCCCTTACCTTAAAACTACCTGAAAGGAGTCTGGAAGCTTTTGAGGATGTAGGTGGGGAGTTAGTCTCCTACTCCAAGAAAAAAGCAATTGAACATGAAGAAACGGCCTCAAATTGTACCAGGAATAGTTTAGAATGGATATTAGGAAAAATTTCTTCATTCAAAGGGTTACCATGCAGGGACATAGTTGAGTTATTGAATTTAAAGGAATTTAGAAGCCATGTAGATATGGCACTTAGGGACACAATTTAGTGGTGGACTTGGCAGTAACTGGGTTAATGGTTGGACTCAAGGATCCTAAAGATCTTTTGCAATCTAAGTGATTCAGCAGTTCTGTCATCAATATTGGCTGCTGACAATGGGATTGAGAGTTGCTCTATGGAGTAGGACCTGGGGGTGCTGGTGGATGAAAAGCTGGATAATACCTGGCAAAATGCACTTGCAGCCCAGGAAGCCAAACATACCCTGGGCTGCATCTCAAGCAGTCTGACCAGCAGGGCAAAGGAGGGGATCCTGCCCCTCTACTCTGCTCCTCACCTGAGTACTGCAACCTGTGCAAGAAGATCCAGAAAAGGGCCATAAAAGTGATCAGAGGGACAGAACACATCTCCTTGAAGAAAAAGGTGCAGAGAGTTGGTGGTGTTCAGCCTGGAGAAGGCTCTGGGGAGACTTTTCAGCAGCCTTTCAGTATTTAAAGTGGGCCAAAAAGAAAAGATGGTAACAGACTTTACAAGGACCTGCTCTGACAAGTCAAAAGGTAACACTTTAAAACTAAGAGTAGATATAAAATAGATATAAGGAATTTTCTTACAATGAGAGTGGCAAGACGCTGGCACAAGTTGCTCAGAGAAGGGGTGCATGCCCATCCCTGGGAATATTCAAGGTCAGGATGGACAAGTGGCTGACGAACCTGATCTAGTTAAAGATGTCTCTGCTCATTGCAAGGAGGTTAAAAATAATGACCTTTAAAGATCTCTTCCAAGCCAAACCATTCTATAATTCTAACTGAAATCACATGTTCAGAAAGTAATTATGTGGAAATTACACAGAAATCTAACTCTCTTTCGCAAGATTTTATGATTTGAAACAAATTTTTACTAAAAAACACACAGCAATACAAACAGATAGTAAGTGGCAGAATCAATCTTACCCGGAATACAAGTAAAAAAAAAGTAAATTGCCTGCACACATGTAAGATCATTTATCCTGAAGAACACAAGTTCATCAGTGAGTAAGAAGATTGCTAATAATGTGGACAAAGTCTCTTCTATTTTATTTCAAAGTCTATTTCTTTTTCATAGTGATAAATTATAATTTTATATACTTCATGCAAGGGAAAATTCAAAAAGAGAAATCATTATTTTAAACATACCTCTAATTTTATCCAAATTATCTTAAAAAATTGCCAGTATGTTTACTTTCTCATTTTGAAATAAATTCAGTGATTAATGGGTAAGTAATAATAATATAAAAAATAAGAATAACCTTTAATCATGACAGATTAAAATCAAGAAAAGTAAGAAAGAAGTTCACTATTTTATATTGTAAGGCAATGTAAAAAATTATTAGACATTCTCCATGTAACAGCTAAAAGTATCAACAATAGTTTCACTTTAGGGAAGGAATATTTTGTAGCAATTCTTTTGCATTGAATGAATCCACTGAGAAGAGTTCAGTAACTTCTGCCTTGACTAGAAAGCACTTTAAAATAAATACCTAATACAAAAACTGCAAGAGGTACTTTCACTTAATCACCATAAAACTCTATTTAAGAAACTGTAAAACAGGTAAAAGCTGAATTATTATTTTCGGTAAATTACTGCATTAGGTAAATACATACTTTAAAACTACCAAGATCCAGAAGTAGTAAATTCGATGTATGATCATAGAATCCGTTTTGTGGAACAATGATGTATGAAGCCATGAGGTTTATTTTGAGGTCAAGAACTTTCTGAGTTTCAATAATGTACAACAAACCTGAAAAAACAGTACAATTATTAAATTCATACAGAACCTATAGAATTAAAAGAAAGCAATAAAAAGAAAATCAGGTCTAATTTTAAATAAACTCTATATGTTAGATAACTAAGGTACATATGTTCTTCATATTTTTTATGATTGTTAAAATTTTTTAATTCATTATAGACACTCCTTAAAGAAGCATCAACTAGATGAAATGATGATAGCAAACAGTGCTAACTGACAAGTACAGACAGCAACATGATATATGCAAACTCAAAAAAGTTTCCCACTGAGCAGAGATGAAATGAAAAGAACTGGAATGTAAACCGCAACTCTGAAATTACTGAGTTAACTCGGTCTGTTCCATAGATTCAGAGATTTAATTGTCTAGAATTTCTTAGTGGGAGTATCCAACTACACTGGTCAAACTGCTAGCGTTTGTTGATACTGAGATACACAAGTTTACCCTAACTCTGCTGACAAATATCTCTATCCTGAGATACCAAAGATACGCAAATATATAATCTTAAAATGTATGTTTCAAAATCATGCAACTAGTTGGGAAAATCAGACAGTCATAAGATTTGAGAACAAAACCTGTTTTTTAGCTCAGCTGAAGAGGAATGAATGGTATTGCTTCAAGTTAGCTCTGGATATTGCCTTATGATGCAGCCACAACTCATGAAATATTTACCATTTACAACAAGCTGATGATCACAGAAGTAGAGATAATGAATTATGAAGATGACAACATATCAGTCAACACAAACACTGGTAAGAAAACAATTAAAACTGTTACATTATCAAAGGTTGTCCTGTCACAGGAGAGCTATGCTAACCAGTCAAGAACTGGATGGCAACTACATTTCAGGATTTGTGAGACAAAACAGCTCAGAATAATAAAGACAGTAAGATTTTTTCATTTTGCGTTGCCCAGTTGAATTTGAGTGATGTACAAAGGTCAAGCAAGTATTTTCTTGTTTCTTTTATTTGGGAAGAAAACGCAGTAGAATCCATAAATTGAGCTCTGGTACATCAAGCTTTTGTAATGTCTTTTAGTGCTGAAAATCGTAACGATTCCAGTGTAGCAAGTTCCTTCAATTTTGCAGCTGGCACTTCCTCTACATTTTCCAGCTATCTTCTATTGCTTCTAAGAAAATTTTAAAGACCTCATTCTTGAGGACCGCAGGTCTGGACATATTAATTACATGTATGTGTTGCTATTTTTCTTATCTACCTCTGAGATTAGCATAGCCCCCTTCAACAAAATATTCTGCAGGTCAAATATTTTTTCCCTGGCAATTATCTGAGACTCAGACAAGATTCCACAAGCAATGTACCACATACTTTTACACTTCCCCATCAGATTTTTCATTTGTAACTGGAACAAGGTTTTAGGTTACTCTGGGCAACTCAGCAGTCTTGTGAGGGTACAAACAGTATTGGATAAACCTCTACAGTAATGATATGCTTAAACTGTAATAAACACAGAGCATGATTTTATATTTCCACAAATAAACTAATTACGATCAAAATCACTATATTTGGTGCTAATGAGCAGAGAACCAAGCATATTATATCTAAGCAAATTTAAAATTTCATCTCAGAAATGAATCATGAACTGTTATATCAATATACTCAATATTGTTCAAGAAATTCTTGAAAGAAAAGACAAGCAAGCTGATACACGTTATTCTGGTTAATCTGATATTAGTTCTTAATTAAATAGTTCACTCAAAGAAGAACTAATGAGTAAAAATACCACTGATTCTTGATTTCCCTCCCAATACTAACCTGATAAAAGCAGACAATTAAATAAACATTTTGCTTGAGTTTTCTTTACATCTTTATCACTTGAGCATTCAGATTTTTTATATTTACAATTTAATTATTAATAGGTTATAAAATTAAAAGAGGTTCAAGAAAACATCCATTGTTTGGCTTTTTCCTTTTAAAAATAATTTTTATATGAAATCTCCCCTCTGCATCCACTCCCATCCACAGAGACAGGATGCTATGCTGGACACATCTTTGATTTATAAAGCCTTAGACATCCTTACTGAAACAAATTAATTCCATAGATCTCAGTGTTAGTCTTCACAGTATTCAGCATTTGTATTCATGTCTTAAAATATTCATGTCTTGTTTATCTCCAGAGATAAACAAGATGTAATTAAAACTAGTGAAACAGCTGTAAAACTGAGCAGCTGGAAGGCGGATAAATATAGTTTATATAATTTGAACTGAGTCAATCCAAATCAAAATCAATATTCATCAAGGAAGTCAGAAAATCAAAAACACCTATACAAAGCCATGACGTCCTGAAAAACAAGAAATCTGAAAAGGATTTAGAAGTTAACCTAGAGGACTAATATCTCAGAATCAGTATTTGAGGAATATTAAATAACTAAGGCCTTTCACATATCAGATGAAAAAAACAGAAGATGTAAAAAATTCTTTTAACTCTGTATAGAGTAAAAATACTGAAAGACTACCTATGGCTTTGGAGCATATTTACAAATAAGTAGAAATAGTTGAAGTCTAAAAAGATACAAACATAAAATTATTCAATACCTAGAATAAATATATTGCAACGAGATTGAATAATTCAACTTATTTAGGCAGTGTGTTAGAAAGCTATGACTTGGATGCATACATCTCCATAGGGAAAGACACAGTTTTAACACTCTTAAGATATAAAATTCGACTGAGTGTGCCATCAGAAAAGCATGCAGCACTTGCCTGTTGATGTTTTTTCACGGAATTCTTCAAGTTTCATGAGAGTTGCTGATGTCAATTGCTCTAAATGTACATCTTTTGGAGGTCTGAAGAAATCCACTAAGCTATTTACTGTTATCTGTTAAAAAAAAAAAAAACAACACGGTAAATTTACTATTAAGTAGGATTTTTGACAATTTATAACTTATTCAAGTATTTACTTACTGCATCATATACTATTTCCAGTGGTTGTGATTCTATTCTAATTCTCTGATCTGCTTTCTCATCCAAAGGATTAGTCTCAAACATTATGCTTAAAAGTGAGGTACTTTCATCTGAATAGACCGTTCGAGAAGACAGGAGACGGGGTGTACACTTTTCTTGAGACACTCCTGTAACTTCAAGTGAGGCAATTTTTGTTTCAAACCTGTAAAGAAACGTAAGCAGACTGTTCAGATGCAATATCCACCTGGCTAAGTACAATTAGATGGTAAAAGTATAAAAAATTAGATGGAAAAAAACCAAAACACAAACCAGTACAACAAATTTCTACCCTACCTAATTATAAATAGCTTATTCTAAGGATTTAACACATATATCCACGTATGTTTTTTCCCTATTTCTAAGTACAATAGCATTGTCAGGGCCATTTAGATGCACAAGAGTACCATCAGAAAACACAGAAGCAAAACTTTTAAAAAAAATTATGCGTAAACTAATCAAGATCAATAGTATCTCAATATCCTACATGGATTATACTTGTATGTCTCAAAGTAGAGGGAACAAGATTTAAAACAGGAGGGTTACCATCTCCCAGAATTTTTAAGTCATTTCATTAGAAATAAAATTGAAATATTTCAGTAGATGCTTTTTACCACCTACTGTGAGAGTACAAAACAAAGGAAAAATCATCAGTTACATCTTTCTTCTACAAATCTAAAAGTGATCTGGAAAGACAAGAACTTTTCAGTAATGTAAAGTGCCCACAAACAAGTGGCTGCCAGATCACCTTGCTCAGGTTAAGTTTCAAAAGGAAACTTTACAGTCACTTTTCAAAGCACATAACAAGTTAGTAACTGGATTGTTTGCATATAACAATGACAAACTGAAAAAAAAAAGGAGGATATCCATATTAGCACAAAAAGCTCAGAAGATGCAGAGAATTCAGTCATAGAAGGAGTATCCATGATTCATCCTGTAGCTGTAAAATGATTCCACTCTAAACTGCACAAGAAATGACACTTAAATACCATAGCACAGCCTTAAAATGCCTACTGGTTATCATCACCATTTCATGAAAGACAAAACCAGTTTGATAGAGAAAGCTCACCTTATTGCTTGTGCACCTGGTCGTTGGGTAAATACTGTACTCAAGTCAGCTAACGCAAATTCTATTAGCTTAGGAGTTTGCTTGTTTTCTTTTATTGATATCGACATGCTTAATAAGTTCACAGAAAACTTCATGGCTTCATACTAGATATGCCAGAAAAACAACACAGGAGTATAAAATACATTAATATACATCTTGATACAGTTTATGAAGAGATGAAAGCTACAACTAAGTTTGAAACTATTGCTTTTATGTATAGCTTGTATCATAGCTGGTGTAAAAGTCAATGAAGAGGCAGGGCTAAACTAAAGAGTAGAGTATCCTTACAAGCATTGAGTCTTGGATATCTTTACCACATTTCATGATAAAGACCTTCTGAAGCGGAGCTAGAAAGCAGTTCATCATATCATCCTTGTCATATCACAGTAAGATCATTTATCAGACTATGTCCAAATAGTTCAAAATGTTTCTCTTTCCCATTACAATCCTTGAATTATCTTTCTTTGTATAATCTTATTCTACCTCATTTACTATCACTCACATTTTAGATACCAGTGCACTTCCTTACCCTTTATTAAGATTCCCTAATGAATTTTCTTAAAAAGCTTTTGAATATTGTAAGATGATCTGTAACTACTTCAATATTTAAAGCACAATACACTACATGTATGTTGTTATTCTTGTTAGATCAAACAAAAATTTATTTTTTACCATTTCAGAATACCCGAAAGTAAGCTTTAACCACTATACTGAAAATGTATCTAAGGATGCTCTGTTACGCAGAAAACCAGCATGCAGTAACTTCATTAAAAGGTATTAGAACAGTATTCAAATATAGAGACAGAGCTTCAAGTAATTTAAAAGTGATTTCCTATCATCTTTATAGATTTTTATTAGCAGGTAAAGCTACCGTTTGTTATCATATAGTCAGCTATGACTTACAGATTTTGGAAGAGTTGGATCCACAGCTGTTTCACTATATCCAATTGCCGCATAAAGTTTAGCCTTCTCTTCCTGTGTCATCAGTTCTTCCAGACCTGCCACATTTCAGGAGGTTAGTTAAACTCAGCATTGGTATCTGAAAAATGCAAATACTCTCTGTGCTTGGTAGCTCTATAATATACAGTAGATACTGTCAACATTACTGTCCTGAATTAGTCGAAGAAAATACCCTGTGGTTTAAAGCCAAGTCTTGTGAACCTAAAGCATGCTTTAAAATGCTCTTGTAAATTTTTCCTTACCTATTCTATTTCCTCGCTTGCTAACAGCAGAAGCAGTCTTTCGATTTATTTTCTATGTTCCATAACCTTACTAGGTTCCTCATAAATCAAACATACATTGCATGAAATAGTCCAATTTTAAAATAAATGCAAGTAAGATTGTTTACATTCCATAACTTCTACTGTACAGAACTCAGTTCAGAAGGAACTATAGAAGGAGTTGTATAATTGTACAACCGCTGTTACATGCAATTAACGATTACATCAGCAAAAGAAAAGGCTAAGAGAAAATGTAAACAGCAATAATTTGATACCAAAGTTCCACTGTTAGGGACCTAGGACTCGAATAGATTCCTAGTAACAGAAAGAATACCAGTAAATGATCATACTTGAACCCTTTACTTCTTGGTTTTCATTCTTTTTTTCACCCGACCAGCTCCATATCCAGCTAAACCAGCCACCAGAATTTTCATCGTCTTGTTTTACTCCTGGCCTGTAGATTTTCAATCCAGCCTTAGTTGCCTTAAATTTAAAAAATACTCAGGTAAGTAATTTTCTTCATGTTTTTTCTCCATTTTCCTAAGAAAAATATGGACTTTGGGCAGCTCTAACATATCAAAACATCATTAGACAACCATTAAAAAAGCAAAATGTTGTTTTTTAGTTTCCCTTCTAGTCACTTTTTCAAGTAAACAGTGCAATATTGGACCAATTTTGTTGTGCATAATAACAACCACCTTTACAAAAGAATAGAGTATGTAAAAGGTCAATAAATATTTGTTACATAGCAGATTTTCTCTCCAGCTTTTACCATAGAAAACCCTCAACATTATATGCAATAGCTTTCTAAGGAATCATTTAAAATAAATATGTAAGCAATTAAATAGCCATCACAGGCCAAATTTTACAACAGCCCTATATTTTTCATTTCAAGATGGATACCCAAAGCAATTTTGAAAGTATTTACTCTCATACTACAGTATTTACTCTAATTATTCCTGCATGTGATACATATAGTTAGAATACTAAGGAAGCCCTCCCTTCTCTCACATTCATTATTTTCACAAGTAGGGGGTGCCCTCTCTGATGCCAGTGATGATTCCAATACTGGGTCCTCACAGAAAGTGTAGGCTACACCAAAATTGACCACTGAAAGTTTGTCATGGGGATGGCAAATAAATATCAAGTGATCCAAAGGACAAATCTGCTCTCAGAACTGTAGCGTTCCACACAAACTAACTTTCTATGTGACTAATACGATACAAAAATATACAAACAATTGCAGATAAGCCGTAAATTTAAAGATACTCTAGTCAAAGTGAGACAGGGATCCCTTCTCAGCATTCAAAACCCAAAGACCTCTGCAACATATTTAGGATATAAATCAGTATTCTGTAGAGATTTGCCACATACCTACATACCTACTACATACCTACTGGCCAAAGGAAGGCAGGACTCATCACAAAAACGTAAAGGGCCTCTGAATTTATACTATTGAGTCACCTCAGAGAGATGATGCAGAATGTCAGCTTAACAACAAAAAGTTTGAAGTCCTCAAGAGTCCTCTTTATAAAGGTGACAATGTCATCAAGCAGATGTTACAAACTGAATGATCCAAAGGAAAAATGGACAGGCCTCAGGTAAAAGGAGATTAAGTCTGTGAAATTACAGGTTTCTGGGATACTGAGGGTTTGGTGCTGAAGGATAACTGCCATGGAGAGTAAGTGATGTTTAAAGCTATGACTCGTAACAAGTCCAAGGCAAAAGCAAGCACCAGAGCCCAGGGTAAGAAAGACTGCAGAGAGAAGCCAATTCTGCAAAGATGAAAATATATGTAGTATAGGAACTACAAAAATTTGCAGAAGAATCCTCTTGAAGTTTCTCTGTCCTCCATTTACAATGGTTTAGTAATCAACAAAGTCATAGACTTAAAGCTTAATCAGCAAGGTCAACTATTTTGACTAAAAGAGAGAACTACCAGAAAGGTGGGTGTAGCCAGGTAGGTCGGTCTCTTCTCTCAAGTAACAAGCAATTGAACATGCAGAAACAGCCCCAAGTTGTGCCAGGGAAGGTTAATATTGTTTATTAGGAAAAGTTTCTTCACTGAAAGGGTTGCCAAGCAAAGGAACAAGCTGCCCAGGGATGTGGTTGAGTCACCATCCCTAGAAGTATTTAAAAGGCATGTAAACGTGGTGTTCTGGAATATGGTTTACTGGTAGACTTAGCAGTTTTCTGTTAATAGTGGAACTTGGTGATCTTAAAGGTCTTTTCCAAACTAAATGATTCCATTACTCTATCCTTACTTCTTACTTAGGTAAATCTTAAAAGTCTGCCCTAGGTTGAAAGGATAACATACACAAGCTGATAAAGAGACTTGACACTTAGCTCACTGAAGCTAGTATTTAGTACTTAAAGCACTCGCAATAAAAAAGCAAAAAGTGGGCTGAGGTTTGGAATGTAAAGTTCTGGCTACAAAGTTGCCCGAAAACCAACACTGTGATCTCAAACATGATTTCTGAGGAGCATGATTTCAAGGCTAGATAAACGTAAGCCCTTGAAACTCAACTCTTAGGTATGTTCTTAAGAAACAAAAGCTTCATGAACAGCAGGATCATTTGTTTGGCCTTACTCAGCCTACATCTAATGGGTGCTCCTTTAAATACCTGGCAAACTTAAGGCTGTCAGGATGCCGAACTAGTAGTAGATTTGTCTCTTCTAAATCCTTTGAATCCTTTTTCAAAGGTATGACCTGATAACAATAACACAGATGGGTCCTAACAGATAGATGGAGATAGAACACAACTTAGAATCTCTGTGATCTGATTCTCAATACTTTGAAATACATTCAGGTAATTAGCTAGCAGATCTTTCAAGATGTACTTCTAACATTTTTCAATTACAACACTTAAAACTGAAAATTCATTTTCTTGCAACCTAGTTCTAAGTGTTACAGAAATGCATCTTAAAACTCAGGATTTGAAGGTAGTCAGGAATGCAATATGAATAACCTTTTGTAAGCAGTATAATCATACTGGGGAAAGGAAGACTAAAACTGGATAGGAAATATTTCAGGATTTCCATCAACTTGCAAAAAGTTGGAGGAAAAAGATAAAACCAAGAGAAACTACACACTACAAGACTATTCCAAAACCAAATGAGAACTAAACCAAAACCAAACCTTCCCAACCCCTTAAAAAGCGCTCCAATTTGGACAAATTGAAGGGGAACAGTCATGAATGTTTATTCTGGTTCTGTTGAAGTCCGGATAATGGTAACACAAGCATCTAAATGGGGGTGTACATACAGACAAATAGAAGGAAAAATCACATCCATAGATTCCTCTTCAGAATATTAAGCTAGAAGCACAGTATTTGTGACTGGAGCAATTGCATTTACACTATATTTAATATACTTCACATACCAAAAAAAAAAATCAAATTGCTTTCAAGCACTGCTATAAGCCGTAACTGATATTTATAAAGTTTAATTATTAATTACTGCCTTCTTTAGACTACAAACTTCTTATTCTACTTACTTTCAGGTGCCCTGATTATTAATGGAGATAGATCACAGATTTCAGAAAAACTGTAAATATTTCACTTCAGTGTCCTAGAAAGATGCTTAGACTATGTATAAACTAAGCAGTATGTCAGCCTAGGAAAACCAATGCTAAAAAATTAAGTGCAACTACTCAAGTCACGTTATCTTGCCTAATTGCACTGACCTACTTAAATGTATTTTGCATTTGCTCTACTCAGAGTAACATTTGCAAACAGAAATACTGCAAAGAGTCAACATACTACAGGTGACCACTCAATGTAACGCAGTATCATGAAAGAAAGGAATCAACTAATAAACTAGACTGTTGTGCGGTGGAGGGAGGGACCCTCCGCCTGACAGTTTTGGGTATAATTGTTTCCAATTTGACTTCAGTCATCCTTTGTCCACATTTTCCACAGTAGATCTTTCCCACCAGAAGAAGAAAGGGATTTATCCCAGATCAGAATTTTGATGGAAGAGTATATGGAGTTATTTAATTTTTGTTTAATTACAAGCTGAGAAACTAACCATGCTTTATAATAAAAAAACCACGAACAAGGAAAACTGAAAGACTTTATGATACACAATTCAATCCCCATAGCTAAAAGGCGTCTGCCTAAAATCTCCATAACCTTATGTTTCAGTTATTCATAGACTCATTTAAATGATGCAATTTTACCTCAACTTCTGCCTGTTGCCTTGCTAGAGTGATGTTAAAAATATCCAAGGCCTTTTCGAATTCCTAGAAGAGAGATAAGAAATTGTTTTTGACAATTCGACAATTGTTACATTCCACAGTTCAGTTCTACAGGAAACAATAGCAAGTAATTAAATTTGCACAATCCAAGTTAATTCGCTCAATCCTAAAATGTAAAACAAACCTGGGGGAAAAAAGCACATCAGCTTAAGCTGCTTTTTATTGCAGTTTCTAATTTAAAGATTTACATCATGTATTTGTTAATACTACTCACAGAGAAAGTAGTTACAAAGTTGCAAATATGGGCACTAAAAATTTCAACTTAGAACTGATTTAGGAACATTTCAACATTTAAGTTTGAACAAGTATCAAGATGAACAATATTTAAGCCTTCAAGAGAAAATTACTAACCTCTAATAATCTTAAGAGTTCTTCACTAGCTTCCTAGGATGTGAAATATGTTCCAAACACCACATTTGGAGCTTAGGTTGAACATTTACTTCAAGGATGCCATCAAGAACATATTTCCACCTAAAAGCAAAGACAAACACATAGCTTATCTTTCTTTTGGTATATTGAAAAGACTCCTAAGGCTTTGCAGATTCTCTAAATACAACTTCAAATTGCCAAGATTAAAATCCCCTAATACTGCACTTCTGATCAGCAGAGAAACCTAAGAATTTTATTCTTTTCCCCCCACAAAATTGACAGATTGCCATTTCTTAAAATTCAAAGGTAACTGTGTATGAAAAGTACCCACAAATCTATGCATGCACATCTGAGAATAATAAAAATATATTTGTAAGGAATCTTCTGAAAAGAAATCAAATCCTTGTAATCTGTGCTGCAAAGGTTTGCCTATTTTTAGGTAATAGCTATGTTCTTGTAATACTATCTAACATATAATGGGGGGGCTTCATTTAAACAAATTTATGATACAAAAATACCATCAGACTTATGTTCCTGATAATGGTCTTTAAGACCTCAATTACAGTTTTTCATATATTGTGTCCTCAGCCTTGGTTTGAGGTCCTCATCAACTTCTTACAACACTAGCTTAAGAAAAAATAATAAAAACAAAAGACTTCCTTTCAGAAGGAAATGAGTTCTAACCCCCACTAAATAAAAAGCAATTCCTTGGTAATTATTTCAAGTTAATAACTAACAAATTATTTTCAAAGTCTAAAGTTGCCTACCATATCTTGGCGTTGTTGTGCACTGGAACATCAGGTCTGTACTTTCTATATGGCAGATTTCGAGTCATCATATCAATAGACTCAAGAAGCTCCATAACACTGAAGTACTAGGCAAACAAATTGAAGCTGAGCATTATTATATACGAACAACAGGTATCAAGCTTCTCTTTGAAGAGAAAATCAGTTACAAAGAAAAACAAGACTAAGTTAATAGATTCTATATGAACATTATAAAATTTCAGACTGCCTATCTTACTCTTGCAAACTAACTTTTTTACCACATTACATATAACTTCAGAAAAATAGTTGGTACCTGTGGCTTATTGAATTCAACAGTTATATCCTGTAAGTTTACATCTAAATCTATTTTCGGTGATGAAAAGTCGACATCAGATCGAGGATTCATAAGGAGTTTGGCTTTAGCTGAAATTGGGCGGAATACTAAAAAACACAAGTTGATATAAAAAGTGCAATGAATTAACTTATGATGTATTAACTTATACATATCTTAAAGTATGCTAGATTATTAGTTTCAAAATGCTAGACTTGAAAACATGAATTGCACTGATACATCTTAAAATAGAATACAATCTATATTCAATTTTCAGTTCTACTCTGGCAACATTTATCAAACAACTTTTTGCAGCACCATACACCACCATAAACTTTCCTGAATGCTGAATTACATAGAGATGTTTCAATAAATAGTTTACATTTGTAACAAATATAATCTTTTTTAGCTATGATTCATTTATAGAACAAGACAGTTTCAAATATAGCATTTATTTTACTATGGGAACTCTTACTCCGTAAGATTTTTTTTGTTGTTGCTGTTATGAATGCTTTACTCTTTGATAAATTATACTCACAACAATGCTTAAAAGCAAACAGTCCATATATCTAATTTCAAGCTCAAGTAAGCATGGAACTAAATCAATAGGCATTCTACATAAAAGTGAGGCACATCACAAGAAAAAACATTCAGAGCAGAAATATTTCATCTGTTTGGCAATATCAGGCATTTGAAGCCATGTTTAGTTCAGCATTTTCATCTGTTTCAGCAATTAATCCAACAGTAAGAATTCTTATATTACTTGAGTTTATGTAAATCCTATTTTTATCAATTACTTTATAAATTATATTATAATTTATTTCATCTCAGCAAAAATACTGATATATTACCTACATATGAGATATTCCAAATTCTCTGAAAGGTTCATATTAGGGAAACATGCATTTTTGCAAGACGACACCATGAAACTTTTAGCTACACCTCTATATGGTAGTATTTCAATTAATTTTCTCCCTGTATTTGGCTTCCTAAACTTCGTTTTTATGGTTTTTATATGTAAGTATAATGTTTGTATTTACATAAAGCGATAAAATTAGAGTTCATGCTTATTACCTTCCTATCAACTTTTTAACCTAAAGACTTGCCCCAAACAGGATCAAATTTTCATTTACCACAGAACATCAGCATGCCCAGCATCTCTGATGGCACTGCTGAATTTTAAGAGTGTAAATCTTTAATCCTAAGCTTTACATACACCTATTTTGAACTTACTACATAAAGATTTAAACAACTTATAATGTTTAACACTTGTTTTCTTGCAAAAAGCATCAAAGCCAGAAACTAAAAAAGATGGGTAAGAAATCAGAAGAAATTACTAAATAATTCTCTGTCAGTCAACAGAGATTCTTTTAGGGGAAGGCAGCAGCATAAAACTGACAATGCCTTTTTTATTTCTTACTAGAGCAAACTGAGGACTTTCTTGCTGGAGAACAAGGCACTTCCAAGGCCATTCAGACTTGCAAACAGTTTCTAAACAATCACACAGATGCACATGATAAACACAAACTATGTATTTTCCATACAATGGGAAGTAAATTATCACCATGTTTGAGTGATGCCAATGCAACTTGTCGACTTAGGCAAGCAACACTCAAAGCAATATAACTTGCAGTACTCTCCCAAGAAAATAGTTACTGTTTCAAAGTTGTGTGATTACTGTTTCCACCCCTCATTAAAAAATATACTTTGCATAAAGCAGTTGATCTCAAAAATGTACTCCAACAAATCTGAATTCACATACACAGTGTGTATATTATTGCTAAACTTCTTGAATAAAAGAATTAATCAATGGATGTTAAGAAAGAGAATATATGTATGACATTCCATTCGAATGATACATGACTCAAGACTCACTTTTATCAAGGCTTTTTTAAGGCTACCTACACAACATTCACTTTCGGAAAGACAGTAACTCTTCTAGGCTTAAACTGCACTCCTTAAAGATTTTTGAGTAACAGCCGAAGTGACAACTTCTTAGATGCACTAAAAATTAGAATTACGAATGCACATTACAATTAAATAACACTTACCAAAATCATAACCGTCTGGAATCACGTTGTGGCTGGCAACTCCCTGTTTTAAGTTAACCTACACACACAATGGAGTGAACAGGAAGTTGCATTTTTATTTCCAGATAAAGTTTTTAAAGCACAAAATGTTAACATTTTTAAACAGTTCTCAGATAATCCCCCGCACCCAAAGAAAAATTCAAAATACTCATCTATATTTTAGACAGAATGATATGTCCATCTTTAGCTAATAAAATCATTGAATAGTGGTAAGATGACCATCAATTGTCTAAATTCTGTTACTGGCAGAAGACTTGTTTCTTTAGCTTTCTCAGGTGGGTGTTATACTTCCATCACATAAAAGCCTTAACATATACTATTTTTTCCTAGTAACGCTTTTAGTTACAATTTCCCAGGACACTGACATAAGAAGAAGCAGGCCTGAATGTGAAGCATGTTCTCTGCTTCCCAGTTTCAACTAGCTAGATACACTATCTCATGCTTTACTTACCAATGATTCATCACAACCACCATGGTAGAACATCTCTGATTTCACATTCCAATAAGCGAAAAGGTTATCCAGTCGTACAAGCTGAAAATACAACAGAACGTATGTATTAGTATCTACAAATTTGAGATTAATGATTTTGATTTCACAAAGTCGGGACGAATAAAAATATTCAGATTGTTACATTTGCTATAAAGCCTATACCATTACATGTTTTCTTGATCTTACTTTCTGTGGAAGAAACTCTAATGCAGTTTGTTTTATTAGCAATTCTTTCCTTAGCATACAGTTTATACTGCACCTTGTGGAACAACTTGGCAGTTTCATCATGTAAACATGGATTCCAATTCTTATCTGAGGTCTGAAATGAGAGTTAAACAAAAATACTTCAATATCTATAATTCACCAACATGTTACAGCTGAAACAAACTACAGAAAAAAGAAAATAACATCGTCATAATAAAATACCATGCAAAACAATGGGATACAAACGTCTGATTTAACATGATGAATCCATTACTTTAAGTGAGAACTTGAAAGGGCTACTTCCCCCAAAAGTATGTAAATGAATGTACACTGATAGGCTGCACACAAGAACCAAAGATACTCTAAGATTCTGTTTTCAGTATCGCAAACTGTTTTCCTTTACAACAATGATATTTTTAGGCAGGCTCTTTGGACAGATATAAGCAAGGGATTGAATTCTTTTATAATACTGGAAGCAATTAATTTTCGCTTGAGCCTAAGAAAACCTTTTCATATGCAAGGAACAAGCATTCACAAAACCACCATTTCATTCAAGAAAGTAATATTTACTTAAGACATATTTTCTTTAAGACTAGCAGTTACCCAGCAAAAACTACTGAATCAGCAACTCAGCACAATCAACATACTACTCCTACTACATAGTCTTCCAGAAAAAAAAAATTTCATACCATCTGTGATTACTACTCCTAAAGTGCAGTTCACAGATAAAAAAAAAAAAAGCTCCAGTTGAATAAAACATGCCTTTTTTTCCCCCTTTTTTTTCCTTTCCCACCACTCCCTGTTATCACATAGTAACTTCTTTTCTTGGAGTTCAAGTCACTTTCAGTAAAATATTTAGAATGAACAGCTCAAATCCAGCAAAGTATATTGGAAACCACAAAGTGCAGCAGGCAAAAGAATAGGAATTTCCTCCTAAAGATCTACTTTAATGCTAGCATTTTATCTTCAATGGGCACAGCCACCACAGTACTTATGCAGAATTTGATAAACCAAGTAGTTATTATTGTGCATTGCTGATGATTATAGGTATACATTCCATTAGACAGTACGTTACCAGAAAGCACAACACACAAAAGCACAACTTCACCTACTGGTATGTATTAATATGCTTTTCAGATAAAAGGTAAGAAACAAAATTACCTGCAAACTTAGATTCTGAAGTGAAATCCCAAATGACAAAGGGTTATCACGATTTGTGATCTAACAGAACACAGGAAAAGACAAAAAAAATTATTTAACACTCTAGAACTATATATTTGGCTAAGAATTTATGTATTTTTATGTTTTGGTCCAAGTTTTATTTCAGTTTGTTTGGCTTATTTAATCAGACTAAGAAAATTCCACAGCTTTACTAGAATTCTCTCAGCATGAAAAGCAGCTAGAAGAAACCAGACAGGTTCCAAATTTCATGTTATAGTGCACAACCCCTTACGCTGAGATACACAAAAGTACTTACGTCATCTTCATAGCGAATATGGATGTTGGAAATCTTCAGCTGAAGATTTTTGATGACCTGAGTAACTAGCTTTTCTACAAAAGTGTCTTGTTTCTCTTCCTTTACTTTATCTATGTTAAAGGAAAACAATTTCATATTTTGTTCACATTTCAGTATTTTTTTAAATTACACAAAATAATAACATCACAAATTTAGCATGCTAAGTGTTTCAATTTTCTACTACTTTGTACTCCAGTTGTTTAAAACGTATTTGCTCCATATAATCTACACTTATATTCTCAGATTTGAAGGTTTCCTAGCTTTACTACCTGCTGAGTGAAGAATCACGTGGTTCAAAAGTATGACCAGCACCCACCAATACACAAAGTGAGCCAACCATATTTCTTGGAAGTACCAAAGTTGAATTTAAAGATAAGAAATCACATGTATCAAAGAACAGATTGCAGGAAACCTTTAAAAAGCTGTATTGGTAAAAATGTTTTCATACTGGAAACAGTTTCTTATGAAAGAGGAAAGAAAATATCAGGTGACATATGATACTAAAGAAATATTACAAAACCCCAATTTATAGCAGATCATATCAATGCCCAAACATTTTTATTTTCAGAATGCTGGTTCTGCCATACTGATAGCAATTATACCTAAAAAAAACATAACTAGTAGATTTTTAAGTAACACAGAAAAAACAATAATGTAGAACATTTTGACAAAGTCTGCATCTTTCTGGATTAAAATAAAGAAAGAAGCAGCATCACCTTCATTAGCTTTTCCCACTCTTACCTCGGTCAGCTATCTTCTGCTTTGCATCTTCTATTCTTTGCAATTCCCTTTGTCTTGCCTCCAAGAGCTGCCTGGCTTCTTTTTCAGCATCATATTTTATGCCTAAATAATGTAAAAAAGTATAATATCAAAAAACCTTACATATTTTTCAAAGATACTGTTTCAAAAGCTGTAATTTTTATATTTTTGGTAACAGTTACCTAACAGCAAAAAAATTAGGTGACGAAATGTAAATTACTGAAAGACTTCCACTCCATTACTTAATAGTAATTGTCAAAAATATCTACTAGGAATAAAGCTCACAAAAACAGCATCAACCCATTCCAGATAATTCTGAAATCCCATCAGTCACTTATAGTAGACTCATCTATAGTCACTTCTTCCTATACATTAACTTACTGGCTGTGGGCACAATAAGCAAATAAACTCCATCAAGGACTGCCTCAACTGGTTGAGTATAAAGGTTTTGCCATGGAATCTGTAGGTTAAGTTGACCTATAAACATAAAAGTATATAGTTAAATAGTTGACTGGAAAAGAAATGCAGAGGTAATTAATATTAAACACGAAATCTCTTAATTATTATACTGGACAGAAAATACCCAGTGCACCTGAGGCAAAAGATGCCTCACTTAGGTTGTATTTTCTTACACAAACAACATGAGAAGGTCTTTGAGCAGAACTATCAAGTCTACAGTCTTTCCTTATTCCCCTGAATTACACTCCTCCTTCTTAACAGCAATGTCTCCCTCCTTAGAAATCCACTGCAGAACTCTCAGAAACAAGAAAAGCACGTGGGCAGCTCATACATCATCAGCTTAATACTAGGTTTTGTGAACACAGGAATCATGAGGTTGCAGTGTCTCGCCTCCACCCAAGTGCAAATTATAACAAAACATTAAATCAGTCATAGAAAACACATTAGTACCGGGGTTGATTTAAAGGAAGCATAATGGCTTTAGGCTTACTTTACTTTAAGAAACCACTAACTTTTAAAATACAATCAACTTGCAATGAGAAAACTTCGTATTTTAGCAAAACAAGGAAGGAAGGAGATGAAAAGGCAAGTGAAAGGTAAAAAACAGTTGTGGAGTCTTGTTAGACAAGGAATGAGATCCAGTCCTGCCCAACTGCTCATCTTTGCTGTGTTAAGCTATTTGCTCATTAATATTGTGGTGATTAAAAAATACTCCAGTATACTTTAACTTTATCAAAAGGAGATTCTTCAAAAAGTTTATTTTCAGAAAAGACAAACTTCAGAATGTACAAAGTATACAAATCAATGAACATATGGAAATTACTTGCTTAGGATGCCAAAAATCACTTGCAAAGAAAGGTAGTATGTTTAGAAACTCCTGGATGTGTACAAGATAAAATGCAACTTACTAATATGTCCTGCTTTAACTTTAAATGGCACATCCAACTGACTCTGAAAGAAAGAGGTTTAGAAAATTTAAGTTCAATTCAGCAACATATGAAATGTTCCAATGCAGGAAAAGATATCACAATAACCTTAACAAACTAACCTGTCAACCACAGAAAAAATAATCCATATAATAGATAAGCAAGCATTTGGTTACCAATTTGGTTATGCCATTTCCAAACACATTTCCAAAAACAAAGTCTTAGCTTCATGAGCTATAGGAAAAAAAAGTCTATCAGTATTGCTTTTGAGCTACGCACATTCTTTTAGCAATTGCTGAGAGCTCTCTCAGGGGGAAAAAAATGCACACATTTTCCCCTTTAAATTTAATCTCAAATTAATCAGATAATCTACATTGTTGCAGAGAGAGCAAATCAGTAAGTTTCCGCTTAAAAGAAAAGTGTATCCTAAAATAAGAATTAAAAAATGCACATTGAACCCAAAATATGGCTCAGGAATAATTTTTGCAACTATAATTGTTATTTTCAGTAGCTTACCAATGCATTTTCTTTTATTTCCAGATTCTTCAGTGCTACAGCTCCTAAAAGAAAAGAAACCAACAAGTAAAACTGGAATAAGCAAAGCAGTAGTGGTACACACTTCAAGTCCCAAAGTCTGAATCAGTGGGTTACAGATAAGGGGGCTAATGTATATGTCTCAAACACCAGTGGAGAAGAGCAGTGGAGTCAACCAAGATTCATTGGTAAGAATATGAGAAAGAATGGGATGTGGCAGGAAAAGGTGGCCATACAGATGCAAGTCAGAACTCTTCTTGGACAAAAGTCTATGTTCCAGCTCCTGAAGTAGAGCATAAGCAAAGGAATGAGGTCAAGAAGCAGGTATGGACTGACAACCTAAGGTCAATCCAGTACGGAGGGATCAAGACCTCCAGAGACCCCCAAAGCCCTCTGATCCATTTGCAGAAAGGTCTAGAAGAATGAACTGCAGATGGTAACTCATTTGCATAGTAAACAAGCAAATTAGCTCCGTGGCATGGAAACCTTAACTGTATAAAGGTACACACGCCAAACCTGGGCACACGTGCCCCAGGACCCTGGACACTCCATCAGCTGCACTGACGCTGGAGTCAGGACTGCTGACCTTTCTTCCTTTGTTTCTCTGTACTGCACTTCAATCTCTCATCTCTCTCTCTCTCTTCTCTTCCATCCATCCCTTATCCGAGATCTACCACCACATGTTTATACTACAAGGGGCTCATTTACACCAATTTCCACACTGTGTGCATCATTTAATAATAAAACTTTTTAAGTTTTTACAGACACTCTGACTTTTGTTGCTCCTTTTTGACCGGGGTACCTACCAATTTTGGGTGTTCCCTTTCCCCTCACAGTGGGACACCCCAGTGGTCCATGACTTATGGTTCCCAAAACTTCTGTGGAAAAGATCCACAGCCTATGTATCCAATATCCATGAAAGATGATTAAGACCATGAAAGATGATTAATCATTCTACAAAATAATATTTGAGATTGTTTCATGAAGCTTGAATGTCCATGAAAAATAACCTAAAATTACTCAAAGTCAAAATGCTGGAATCCCTATCTCAGTTTTGTAAGGACCCATTTTGAAAAGCTAGCTTCGTTTTCCTCCACCATCTGTTTCCTATGCTTGTAGAAATCTAGCAACAGTAAATGTGAGTGGAATTTTTGCCTTCAAAAGGTCTTATTCTTGCCAGGTTTATAATTAGGCTTACAAAAATTCACAGGAAGCATGTCAGTAATCTAATTTTTTAGGAGAGAAATTCAGTATACTGTGAACAAAGAAAATTCGAATTATAAGATCAATTTTACAATATACTTCACATCAAACATAATGAAAGGAATACTGGGACCAGAAAACTCGTAACTAAAACATGTACATAGTCCAAAGCAATGTCTTCTGCAAAATCTACAGGAAGAATGGAGCTTCTGTGATGTTTACTTTTAAATTAGTTGTATAGCATTAACACATGCACATGGAACAGACACCTGATACAGCTCAGTAGGAGCATAAATGAGATTCCAGAAACCAGAAGAAGATTACAGGCCTGGAAAGGAATACAACTTGAGGTTGCAAACAAAGATTTAATTGACTCAAAAATGCTTTTCTTTAGGGATGTATGTTAGAAACAGCAAAATGTATGGGGAAATGGGAGCTCCAACTGAAAGAATATTCTTGCGGTTATATAGTGCTAATGATAACAAACAACTGTTCAAATTACCACCAATTTTGGGAAATTGGATCTAAATCTCAAAAGTGCACACATTAGAAGAGTTGGCTCAAGTTGTTGAACCGGTATGAAAAGAGCTCACCAGGTAAACTGATCCATCCACCTCACAGCACTCACAAAAAACTATGAAGTTTTTAATGTTTTAATTTATTCATTGCAACCGTTTATAATCACTTTCCAGTAGAAGTCTATACATTTGACATGTGCTAACATCAGCCTCTCCAGAGAAATACTACACACAGAAGGATGCTTTTTGATAGCTGATGACACTTGCTGTTAAGACTTAAAGTACAGACACATCGACAGGAACAACAAAACAGGGGGGAAAAAAAAGGCAAAGAGCATTCCCAAAAGTAGTCTATAACTACTCTAGGAAATAGAACTATATTGTCTTTGTAGGCAATAACTAGGTGATAGTTTGATATACCATTGGTTTGATTCTATTATAAATTTATTCCCTGATAAAGCATACTCTGCAGAGACCATTTTAATACTAAAAAAACCCCATTTGCTTCTTCAAGAAGCTATCACTAATTGTAATTGTATTCATGGCAAGTAATTCTAATGGTATTCATAGCAAAGGTTGAAGTTCATAACCAAGTTACCAGGCATGAGGTGCAATTTCTGCAGGTCAGTTGAGCCACGTTAAAAACATTCACAAGGAAACTGTAAGACTACGTGACACATGAAGCAGTTTAACCGGGTTGAGTTTCTTCACTTTCACGGATGGCTATGTAAACATTCCCTCTCATTTATCAAGACTCTGACACATGCCGCAGAGACGCAGTAATTCAAGCTACAATAATTTGGCAGCCCAGATGCTTTCACAAAGTACTGCAAAGTGATTAAGGATTATCTTAAGCACTTACAAACAATATTTTTGATGGCAGAACTATTTCTCATTTTACCTGAGCACATCATAATGGCAGACAATGAATACAGAATCAATAATGTTCAATAAAGTCTTCCTATTTTGATATTTCTATATTAAATGCTGGGATTTAGAAGCAGGGTACATAATTCTTCACAGTTTTTCTTATGATTTTACAATTTTAAAAAATCACTTATGATTTTACAATTAAAATTTTAATGTTTTAGTTAAGAATCACTAGAAGAAATATACATTAGTAGAACTCCAGGCATCAGAATTTTAGTATAAAATTACTGAAACATATTTACTAAAATATAACAGTTTACTTGAAAAAAACCTTGATATGGTCTGATCACAGCAAATGGACCATCAAAGCACCCAAAAGGCTACTAAAGAGGCACTAGATTTTGTGCATTGATGTAACCTTTCTTTTTCCTGTACTTGAGAGAGTCCAAGAGACTGACTAAACATTCCTGCAGTAAACAGGAAATATTTCCAAAGCCACCATACTTGCAAAGCTTGCAACCAACTCTGATGCTTAGGATTTGAAATGCAGTTATTGACCATGCTAGTATTCTCTTTCATTACCAAAATTTAGTCTCAACCACATGTAGTAATCTTCCTTGCAATGAGTAGATCTAAATGCAACTACACTGAATCCTGACCATTCTGTAGGGATGGGAGACAAAAAAACAAAAGCCCCCACAAACAGAAGCAGGAAAACCAGGGAACAAACCCTAGTTACTGGACATAACACAGCTAGTGAATTAGTCTTGGGAGTACTGATTTTAATTGCAAGAATCACAAAGTACATCAAGATTTGATTGTCAGTTTTGCTGATGGTTGGTTGGGGTTTTTTTGGCAGGGCTGGCGTTCCCCTGTTGGGAGCAATGAGATGTCTTGATGCCAGAAATGCATCCAATGCATAATTAAAAATTACCCAACCAAGCAACCTTAGAAACTATATGTACAAGTACTTGGAGCTGTATAAATATCTAGGGATAAACATGCAGGCTACCAGCCAAAACAATAATAAAAGCCAGAACAGTTATAAACATTTATAGCAAAGTCTAGAATTTATTTAGGCTACATAGTAAAGCAAATTTTTAGATTTACTGATCCCTGAACAATGTGAATAGTTCAGCAAAATAAAACCACTGTCAAAATTCTAGAAAAATAGGTTTATAGTTTTAATTTTAGATACTCAAAATAACTTCATGAATTTGAGTGCATGAGCCAACATCTACTACCAAGGATTCAGCTTGCAAAAAGTGATCTAGTAAAATGTTTCACTAAAGAGGCCTAACTGAAATTTTGTTATGGTTGTAAACAGAAGATACAGGGGGGGAAGAAAATCAATCTACATAAAAATCCTGTAGATTTTACCTAATTAATCACTCTCTGCTGTCTTGTAAATAAAGGGGCAGGGGAAGGACGCAGATGAGAAAGAGATGAAAGATCAGAAAATGCAAATACCTTACCTAGCATCTGACCAGTACCCAACACTCCTGCTCAAATATTTTTTAAAAACTTCTGCTTTTTTCCAACAGCATTGTCAGCTTGTGAACACCTCTGATCACTTAACACAAACAGCTGCCTTTGCTAGTCATTTCCCACTTGTGTTCATGCTGTTAATTATTTCTGTTTAAGTACACCCTCTAGAGACAAGCTGTAAGCCTTTGAGGATCAGTGTCTGCCAAATACCTCATCGATTGACATCTATTGTAAAACAGATTATGAAAGACAGCAAAAACTACTGGATATCATGTACCCCTCAAGTGAATTCAAATTACTGTTCTGTAAGGGGAGCGGAGGAGGTTCCACCTGCTATACCTAGACAAGGAAAGGTACACAGAAGTAATTGTCTTTCACTACTAATATTGTAGGCCCAAAAAAAAAGTTAGTGTGCTCACAAACGTGCCAATTATCTGCCTGTATCATCCTACTAACAAGCTGCCCCAAAGAGACACCAGCTATTCAAATAATAAGTTGTGTTAAGTAAGACATGCTTGAGACATTACCTAATAAGCAAGTGTGCCAAGTCAACAGTGAATTAAGCTTTTTAAAGGGCAGTACAGAGGGTCTGACCAAGACATTGAAAAATTATTTAGACACAGTCAAAATTAAATAATAGCATCACAAACTGTAATAAAACGATTGTTTGGTCTCTCAACACGGAAACCTCACTGGCACTTCACTTCTCGTCCAAGATAACATCTCACATTACTGCAAGCATCTTTTCAGATATTTTAACTAGACCAGGTCTAGAGCATCCAAAAATATCTAACTCACCCCAATACTTATCCAACCTGTTTATCTAAGCCAAGTACTTGTACACTTGTTAACACAGCTCATTGAAACTATCTTAGTGAACACCAAACTAAAAGAGGCTAAAAAAACTGTCCTTCCCAGTATCAGCCATCCAATGGCTTTCTCTGATGGCTGCCTAACACAGCAGTCTTTTAGCTTGCTCCATATTAATGGAGTTCCTTAGGCATATGATTTTCTTCCATTACACTTTCTTCTGAGCCTTGGCTTTTCCAGTCTTGGCGTTGCACATTCAAATTGCCTTTTTTACCTCTGTAGATTGAGCTACCTTCAACTTTCTGCACTGGCTTTTATATTTCAGGTCATCAAGTTCTTGCAACATTCTCAGCCATGAGTGTTTTCAGATATCACATCTTTTTTCAATATTGAGACAGTGTATATTTTTACCCTTCAATCTGAGGGTTTTTTTAACAAGAAAAAAAATCAAAGCATTTCTGTAATTATAAATGTGTTCATGTTTTTTCTGGAGCAGTGTCATCGTAGAACTTTACCATACAGATTGAATATGGAATAGCATTAATAATGCATGATGAATTCTCTCATTTACCAAAAGCAAGGTTAATATTAAGCATGCTCATTGAAAAGTCATTATAAAAGTCTCAATTTACAGAAGCTGAAACTATGTAAAACTAGGTTTTATACATATATTCAGTCTACAAACAGGTGACCACCCTTAATTTAAACAGGCTAGCTATAAAATACTACAAGGCCACAATTAGGTCTTTACAACCTTTTAAATAAACCACTCTAGTTTTCAGTCATTCAGAGGCAAAAAACCCACGCTTTTTTTGTTGAGTTGTTTGTTTTCTTTAAAAGAGCTGATGCTGTAAAGTCACAATTAGAAGTAGAAGCTGCTCCTGTCAAGGCCCCAGGAGGGCCAAAGCTGCAGCTCCTGTCTTCTTCTTGGCAACGATGATGGGTGAGGGAAGAGCAGAAAGAGAGCAAGAGAGCATCTCTCCCCAGTATATAGATTCTTACACACAAATTACCCAATAAGCTAAAAACACAAATCCAAACCATTTCTTCTTAACCTTTTAGAATTCTAGTGTCTTAGCACGCTAGTTTACGTATAAACTACACATGTAGTCTATCTGTTCTACCTAAAAAATGTAAACAATATTCTTACCATATTTTTATTATGTCTAAAGCTATGTTCTTGGAGCCTTCCCCAAGACTTGTTCTCTACACTGATATCTAGGACTATGTTTTTCAGCTCTCACTGAAACTTGTTGATCTCTCTCTGAGTTCCTCAAAGAGGTCTCTGTTTCAGACTCCAACATCTTTTAAAATTTAAGACATTATACATATATATATATATATATATATATATATATATATATATACACACATATATGTATATACATAGTGCTTGTGCAATGCTCTAGCATCCAAAAAGCAGTGGTGATTTGTTGCAGGGGAAAAAAAGAAACAAAAACAACTTTCCCCTTTTTTTTAATTTTAATTTGATGGATTTAGGACAATTTCATTTCAATAGTACACCGTTTATGTAAAATTTAGCAATCTTATCAAGACACTGTATGAAAACACATAGCTATAATGGAAATGCTTTCAGAGCACACAGACATGCATTAAAAGCTATTAAGTTTACACAAAATATGAAGGCAAAAATAGCATTTTTTTTAAACCTTAGTTACAGAATTTTAGTAATAAGCAAGCTAAAAAATTATCCACAGACTTTAGGTCGCTACTGTGAGTGTAGAGATCTGCTAATCGATACACTCCATATAAAAACTGTATTCTACTGCTGTTTTTACTAATAGTCGCTGCCTTTTAGATAGCAGAGTGCAATTTCTAGGTCCTTGGAGATATTTGAAATGAAAGATATACTCAGATGTACAGACAATTAAAAACAATTTAAGTTTAAAAAAAGCACGTTATGGTAGACCAGGAAAAAAACAAAACTCTGCAGGTGATGCTTCACCAAAGCTGTGCAGCAGTTCTGAGGCTCTTACAGCAAGACATAGGTAGCTCCATTTATCAGTATACACTACAAACAAGCCAATAGGCTACATAGAGAAAAAATAATTTTATTCTAATACATAGGCACTAGAGAAGTGAGAAATTGTATTTCAATAAAAATATACTAGAGCCTCTAAAATATGAGAGCTTCTTTAAGATGAAATAATAAAAAAGAAATTCAACTTCCACAGACATGGAAATATATGACAGCTGAATATCAGAACTTCAAAGTAAAGGTGAGGGAGATTTTTGTTTGTTTTTGTTTCAGTTGGTTTGTTTGGTATTTTTCTTAGGGTTTTTTTTTTAACTGCGACAATGTGCATCTAATTTCTTAGCAGGTGCTTCACAGAGACCTGAGCTGCCATGACTAAACCATCAGCAACCTAGAGAACCGGAAAAAGATGCTTTTACCTTTTTTGTAATGTATGAACATTGCCCAAAAAATTTACAATGTTCCATATTTTTCATTAAATATTCTCTGTCTTCACTGAACAGAAAGAAGAAACTACGGTAACTTCAGAACTTCAGTACATAAATCAAGCAATTAGTTTGGCACAGTTTTGCTGAATGGTGCAATTAGTCAAACCTTTCAAGTAAGATTCACCTAATCAGTAAGAGATATGCAATATTAAGCCTTACCACTACAGATCAAGGACTACTACATTATCTCCAGCAGTTAGATGTGCTGTTGCTGTGTTAAGACTCCTTACAGAGACTGAAGTTTACGAAGATGCTATAAATGCCTTGACTAACTGAAGGAAAATTACTGCAGAGATAAACTAAATAAGGATGCCATTTCAGAAAACAAGGATGAAAATAAAAATGTCCGTGATAAAAAAAACTCCAGCAGAAGTTTACAAAATCTGGTCAATGTGTATGAGTGCCTAGGAATGGAATTGCAGGTAGGGAAACACTTCGAGGATGTTTCACACCTACTGTATTAATGCACCCGTAAAAAAACCCCGAACCTCTGCGTACGCTTTTGCTGATGCTGCAGACACCTGGGATGCACATTCGAAACTGAGCCAGCAGTGGTCACTGCACAGGCATTTGCTCATGGTCTGTGTCTGAGGGACCTGTGGTGCTGTTTTCTTGTAGGTACCTCTCTAAGGGGACCTCAAGAGCGCACATGCAAGCAGAACACTTTACTGCCTTCAGAACTGGCGCGTTAATTTAGTTCTACAGACCACTGCGTACCTCGCCTAGCACAGCTCGGCACCGCCTCTGCAAACATCTAAAGCATTATCTACTCCTGGTTCTTTAAGGCTAAAAATAACAACTATTCCAGACCTACAAGACGACAGCACCAAGAACAACCGGGATGTCACTGCCGTTCGCGGAGAGGCCGCTCACTCCCACAAGCACTAAAACCCTGGTACGAAAACGCCGTCAAAACCCTCGGCGCTCATGCACAGTTCATTTCCGGGCATGGAAAACGCCCGTAAACCAGTTCAGTTTCGCGTTCCCAGAGCCAGGTCAGGCTCCTCCAAGCTGCCTGCCCACCAATTCCCAAACTTTCCACGAGCACCGAGACACCGTGGCCAGCCAAGCTCCGTCCCCAGCCAGGAGACAGCACGGGCAGCTCCATATGGAAAAACAAAACAGGAGCGGTCGTTCACGCGCCTCCAGCACTTCGCCCGGTTTCTCTTGCCCCCGTTCTGCAGCTCCTCCCGCTCCACCGCCCCCCGCTGCCGCAGCCGGCTGCTCCGCGGACACCGCCTCCCCAGCCCGCCTGTCTGACCGCCCCCGAGGCTATTTTTAAGCGGCCGGGCAGGTGGAGAGGCGGCAGAGCTGTCGGGTGTGCCGACTCGGCCCAGCTCAGCCCGGTCCAGCAGCGCCCAGGAGACACCGCCCAGGCCTCCTCCCTTGCGCGGGCGGCAGGGCGAGCCCGGCCAGGCAGGAAGGCACGCAGCGGCACGAGGGCAGGCAGGCGGCTCCCCCGCGGCGCGCCAGGCCCGTACCTCCCCAGATGCCCAGCTTCAGCTGCGAGCTGTCCAGATTCACCACGTAGTCGCCAAGGAAGCGGTTCAGGACGTCCACGACCAGGGACTCAAACACCATCCTGGCCCCCGGCCGCTGCCGCCCGGCAGCAGCGCCTCCACCCCGGCTCCGGCTGCGCTGCGCCGATCCGTCCCGCCCCGCAGCTCGAGGGGCCGGCCCGCGCTGCCCCGCCCCTCCCGGCTGAGGGCGAGGCGAGGAAGGGGCGCGGCTTGGCCGAGACTACGGCAGCCGGTGCGGACTGCGCGGTTCCGTCTGCGGCAGGGCTTTGCTTGGCGGGGTCGCTCCGCACGCACGCTGGCTGCCCGCTCTTGTGAAGGTACGAGTTATCACAGAATGGGGCAGGTTGGAAGGGTCCACAGGGCCAAGCAAGCTCAAGCAGGGTCATCCCAGAGTAAATTACATAGCATTGCGACGGTGTTGTTCTTGAATATCGGCAGTGAGGGAGACTCAGCAACTTCTCTATGCAACCTCTCTGGGCAGTCTGTCACTGCACAGTAAAGAAGCTATTCCTCATGCTCAGGTGGAGCTTCCTGTACATCCGTTTGTGCCCATTGCCTCTTGTGCTATTGCTCGGCACTAGCGAGCAGAACCTGGATCTCTTGACACCCTCCCTTCAGATACTCACAGGCATTGATAAGGTCTTCTCTCAGTCAACTCTTCTCGAGGCCTAGCAGGCCAAACTCCCTCAACCTTCCCTCGTAAGAGAGGTACTGCAATCCCTTAATTATCTTTTTGGTTTCCACTGAACCTATTGGTTTGTCGAAGGAATTTAAATGTGGGATAGCCATAACAGTTTTTTGAGGTTTTTTCTCCCCCAGGCTAGGCAAATGTAGAAATTACTGCATCTTTTGAGCAGTTCAAAAAGGGATGAGCTATTCCTGGCATAATAGCTGAAATAAATTGAATGGAATTGATCTCTCCAAGAAGTTTGACTCCCAGGCTGTTTTCTGGCTTGGGTGTCAGCTGAATCACATGGAAATAACTGGGCCATGTTTGCCCTGAGTGGTTGTGCTGAGGACCTATGCTGTCACCAGGATTTTGAAGGAAACTTCCCGGTCTGACCATTCACAAGATTCCCTGACAGTCACACTCCCGATGCCGGAGTCTTTCGACTTTCACTGCTAGGACCGAAGGCCCTTCACAGCAGGTGGCTTCAGTGAGTCACTGAAGTGAGCCAGCCACTGGACTGCCTACACACCTCATGTTCTGTCAGTGTTGCTGAACCTTTGTATTTAATATAAAAAATTAAACCGTTGAGTGAAAAGGAATGAGAAAACTGCCAGATACTATACACCTTTTCATTCCTTTTTACAGAAATAAAAATATTGCCTGCCATTTCTCACCTTTCCTTTCACTATGGGTTTTATAAGCCTGCTTACCACAACTTTTGCAATACTTTGCATCCACCCAATATGTAGAATAAAATGTGGAAAGCAGTATCTTAATATTAAGAAATAAATTTTTATCAGGGATCATGTTGTTCTTTATTAACACAAGGAAGGGGAAAGAGTGGTACTGGAGAATGATAACAGGAGACAAAACATGCACTGTCTTATTAAAGCTTAGGTTCCTCTGAAGTTACTTCGTATTGTTTAGAGAAATTACAATCTCAGCCTTTCCAGTTCTTGAGTTTAGCATCTTTTTATATTGAAAAACAGCAGTAGTACAAAAAAAAATTGGACCAATAAAACAAAAATGTGATCAGCAGCTTGTGCATGCCAAATGTAACTTTCAGTGTATGTGTATTAGTGTCCATGCACTAATACATGTACATGAGAATATCTATGCAGCTGGCTTTCTATAAATTTCTTGCACAAAGCCAGACATATTTCTTACAAGCTATCTCTAGAGAAAAGTGTGAACACAAGGTCTTGTGTTCACTCAAATCGTGTTTCAATCACGTATCTTCCTATTTAGCTGTGGACAAGCTAGATGTTGAATCTGCTCCCATCCATTTAAAATTACAAAGTTGGGCTTTGGCATTATGCATCTTCAGAATTATCTTCTACCAGTTTTTCAAAGTAACTTTACTTTGTAAGTCTACAGCTCCTTAGGGTTTGGGTAAAATTTCTTTGTCTTGTTTAGATATTCTGGAGAAGGCATTCTGAAGTCAGGGGAGCAGGAATGTCCTAGATTAAGTATGATTTCTTTTGATCAAAGTAATACAATTTTTATTTCAGTATTGCAAAGAAAATTTAATGGTATGAGGGGTTTTTTGAATTCACAAAGTGTGGGTGAATCTTCCACAGCAATCAGCTAGGCTTGAAGAACTCCAGCTGCTTACTGCTGATGAGCTGCTAGTCCTAGGATAGATGACTATGGACAAACATGTGTTTCCTACTAGGGGCTCTTACCTACTTCGAAATCAAGGCACAGGGTTCAGTCTTTTTCCCTTTCATTCCTCTTCATGTCCTGCAGCTCACTAGCAGGAGCTGTGCAATTTCAAGCCCAGGCTGGATCACTATCTGAGAAGTAAGCATCAAACAGTGGGCCATCTGTGGGGTATCCTTCTAGTCCCATGAACCAAAGTTTCTTCCTGGCATTTCCACAAAATTTGGGAACTCTGTCTACATACATGACACAATCAGAGCCAACATGACAATCAGAGCCACCTGGACAGCAGTTTTTCCCCTTGAGCTCTTGATCTGTATGTTCCTGCAGTCTCCACTGAAATCAATTAGTAATTACTCTGCTTTTCCTATTTTGATAACCAAAGCTTCTGAAGTGCTTAATGGCACTTCACACCTGACAAAGCTATTTAACATAGCTGGATGTTAGCAACCAAGTTTCTGGGTTCCCTGCTCATAGAATTTCTGCAGGCTGAGCCCAGTGGCCTCCAACTTCTCTGTGACAATGAGGGATTCCATGTCAGCTTTCTGCTGCCCTCTGTGTGAAGACTGCTAAGACTTCTACTGAAGTGACTCAGCATCTCACAGGTCTGCCGGGATCGCAGATCATCTTCAGAGCAAGTGGTGTCCTCTGCTTCAGGATAATCACAAGCATCTTTCATTAGAATTCAGGAAAGTAAATTTGCTCATTTAATTTAAAAACAAACAAACAAACAAAAAAAAAAAAACCCTGAATCCATTTTAAAATATGTTTCTCCTTGGTTTTGCTCTCTTCAAAAAACTTTTGACACTAATTCCCGGTGTCTAATGAAGTTACATAAGTTTAGGCATACTGCCATGTTTCTATGCATTTTTCATGTTCGTAAATATGAGTGTTCTTATCCTTGTTTTTTCCATGTTGCAGATAGTGCTTTCAAAAAGGTTAATTCAAAGAAGCATGAAATGCAGTGAATAGAGCAGGGTGTACTGTAAACCTCCTTAGTGTGTCCCCAAAAACTCAAAAGCCAAATCTAACAGGACTTTCAAAATTTTTGAACTATTTCTTAGAGAATTTTAGAATATAGCTGCAGCAAAACCACACACCGCAGAGGTGCCTTATTTCCAAATCTTTCAGTCACCTGTTTTTGAATCTCATTCAGAATCAGCTGAATCATGGTGGAATGTTTGCTCTGCTTACACACACTTTTTCTCAAGACAAGGTGTAATGTGTAAGTCGTACAATTCTTCAATTACACATGCAACAATATAGTTACTGCTGAAATGTGTAGTAATCTTAGTAAATCAGTTGCACTGAGCGTGAACTGCTTACAGATTTTGAAACCGAAAGACAAAACTAGAATTTTTTTACCTACTCATGCTGTGCAATAAAAACTCCAAGGTCTTCTTATCAATAAAACATTTCAGCTAAATTTTAAAGCCAGTTCTTGCAGTCAAGGAACAAACTAGAGAGTAATTATATTCTTCTTGTCATCATCAAAGGAGTGCATTCAGTGGCTTGATAAAATAAAAACTTTAGAAGTCCAGTGACCTTTTTAACACTATCACTGAAAAGACCCTGATCTTCAAGCTTTGTTCAAATTGTAGTCCAACATGGCAGTAGACAAAACATGTCTCTCTAATAGATTTGGCATATTGGCAGATCTAGTCGATTAAAAAACTTAGGAAGTACCATACTTAACGTTATGAATACTGTTTTTATACTTCATTTACATATATATAATTTACACCAGATATCTCAATTTGCATTTCATTTTACATTTGGTAAATCATTGATAAGCACTGAAAAGCAATATGACTTAGAAAGAAAATCAGAATTGGAAATACTTTGTTGGCATGTGCAAAGTAGTACACGTGTGTCTTACGATCTGGAAATAGTATTGCAGAATAAATTTAAATCTGACACTGGGCATATTTTGTTTCATGTCCTTGCCTTTTTCTTTACTCATCAAAATATGTGTCAGTCAACACAAGTAAAGCCCTGATTTCAATCAAAACAAGTTTACTGTCAGAAATTATTGTTAATGGAAAAATTTTATCTTGATGAAGGGCACCGTCTTCACTTTGAGCAGATATGAAGTAGATTACTTACATTTTTAGTAGGCATGGTTCTGCTTTATATTGAACAGAGGTATTAGAATTAAACCCATCAACTTTCCCAGAAGTTTTAATGGAGTCCTCCCTTCTTCTCATTCTTAACTCTTATTTATACTATTTCTTTACATTTTGGTGAATATATAGTCACTATCTTGGCAGCAGATATCTCAGTATAGTACCAGACATAATCTTGGGACAGGGACATGTGTTAGTCCAAAGAGTGATTTCACCACAGTTGCTGATTCAACAGCAGGACGTTTCTTTATCTCACTTGGTTTTCAGCTGCTGTGTAGCTTATCAGCTAGAAAGTACCACCAAGTTCCTCCCTTTTCTGCAAGGGTGTAACAAAGCCTGGTCATGGTGTCCCACTCCACCCTTCCTTTAGCTCTTCTGAGATGGTATTGTGTGTGACAGGTCAGATATGCTGGCCACATTCCATCCAGGGAATAGCAACTGTGTTTTCCCCTCTGCTTTCCATACCATTATCTTTTTACACTGTCATCTTCAAACACAAGCAGTATTCATGGATTTTGCAGTTTATCTATCCTTTTCAGAGTAGGCATTTATCCTGGGTTTACAAGTGATGGAAGGAGAGATTTTTTTGAGGTAATTATGTAGAATTGTTGTAAATTAAGAGCCTGC